TTTGAGTAAATTATTTATAAGTATATTAACGAAAGCCTAGCTTCGCTTTTAGCGCTGGCTAAATCTATAAACTATAATTAGGGTTATAGGTGTTAACAAGCGAACTGAAGACATGTGGCCAGCCTGCATAAATCTGTTATTATAGAGTTCTCATGGAAGCTTGATGTTTGGGTGTATTGTTTCTTTTGTTGTATGTAATCTGTCTCGGCACTTTAATAGGGACCGTGTACCCTCGACCATTTTTTCTTGCAGACAAATTCAGATTAGGCAAAACATTTCCTTAGAACCTCTGAAAATCTTCATGCATTAGAAGGTTAAGGTTATGGCTGGTTGTGTTACATGTTAAGCTATGAAATCAGCGCAGTCATCAGTGGCGTTAATTAAAAAGGATTCAGAAGTTCCAAGTTACGCTCTAATTTTCGAAGCCGAATTGATATTAAATTTAACATTACAACTGCATGCAAAAAAAGTCCTCCATTTGTTAAATAGCTTAGTTAAATAATTCTTCATAAGATACTCAGCCTCATTCATTAACTGTTAAATAACGTCAGTAACTAATGATGTACGCACCATAAAATCATCAAAGATTTTCTATCAAGTTACATTTTCAATAATTCTTTCCTCTTTTTGAACGTAAGATTAATATATTTGACTATTATTTTACAAGTATTATTGTCTGCTGTTAATTAATATATTTTTCTGTCATGGGCAGTAAGATTCACAAAAGCAACATCCTTACTTGAAACAAAATTAATTAACTCCTGTCGCAATACATTGTACCCATTGCAAAACATAAAGAAGTGTTGTTCATCTTCGACTTGGTTTTGTTTGCAAACCAAGCACCTTCTGTCTTCTACAGGTATGGAAACGCCGCAGATTTCATATTTTCCAGTTTGTATCCGTGTTGAACTTGAGGAAACACAATTTTGGTCATTAAGCCAATTTTGGGAGCTGCTGGCTGAGAACCGCACGGCAGTTCTCCCACGCATACGCGGGGAAGGCAGATCAGGAGTTACCCCTTGCTTTCAGTTTGTCCACGTGACACTCCCAATATATGATGCAAATTCTCGCACACTTGTCCCGATTTGCTGATACGGTCAGGCCAAGTAAAAAAATGATTCTCGTCCGCAGAGCGAGCGAGCGGGCGCAAGAAGAGTGTAGTAAATTCTGTTTACTTGAAAGAGCGCCACGGCGCTTATTGTTTTTCGATTTTAAGTTGCGAAAGTTATTTGAGGGCTGCGCTCTTTGGATTAAATGCACTAGAATTGTGTTTTTCGAAAGGGTGCCGCTAGCCTGCGTAGGAGGCGTTAGGAAGTAAATGGGCGCAAGAAAGAACGGGCGCGCGCGAGTGCGCGCGCCCTTTCCCTTCGCGTGTTTCCTTCTCGCGCGCGCGTTTTTTCCTGCGCCCATTTATTTCCTAGCGCCTGCTACGAAGGCTAGGGTGCCGCGGAACTTATTTGTGTCCGCCTGTAATTTAAAGTGGTACTCTTTCGATTAATATACGGTTTTGATAGCATTTTAGGTTTCTATTACATTTGTGGCTAATTTTTACTACATTTGTGGTCAATTATTGCATTTGTCACTTCAACAGTACCCCTTTCGTCTACCTTCTATTGATAAATGGTACCCCTTTCACATACCTAGTTTAGAACTTTGTATCCCTTCCAACTGCTGTAAATGTACTGTCTTTTAAATGTGAACAAATCAGAAAGCCAGAAAGCTTTTACGCGCCGACTCTCTCACAGACATGATGCATCTCCCAGTTGTGTTGGGCCTTTCTACGGACCGAAATGACAAATTTCCATACCGTTTCATTTATTTCAACAAGTGAAATCCTTACCCTTTCATGTACCTGAGGCATGGAATCGGGTTGAGCCTCCCCGCATTGGTCATTATAGGGACTAACCTCTAGGCCAGACATACGATACGCGATTCAAAGGAATTAGGCTATAGACCTTTGTCACGCGGCCGCCATTTTGTTTCAGGAGATTTAAAAAGCTTTGTTTATGCACGGCTAGCCTCGTTCTCTCTACGTGGCTAGCTGTGCATAAACAAGAGGCGGTCCGTGAAAAAACCGACCTCTCGAATTTCGGCGGAAAACAGAACGTTTTTTCTGCGACATAATTAGTCCATTCCATTAATAAAAACCAAATTTATTTGGCTCATAGTGCTTTTTAAGGGCCGGTTTACATGAAGGTGGGGGTCCCCAGGTAGGTGAGGTAACTCGCTTAGGTGGGGTAAAAAAATAACCCTCCTTTACATGCAATCTTACAACCCCGCCATCCCGGGACACACTTTGTCAAGATTATTCAATGGTCGCTTTCACGTACACAAGAAAAATGCTGGCAAACCACGTGTTTTGGCTATTAATGCTATTCAACACTCACCTGCTGCTCTTGCTGCAACCTGCAGTCCTATGGCTCTCTATTTTTACCTTTAATAATGATGCAAAGCCACCGCCAAAGTGATTTTTGCGCGAATTCGATGTATCACGAAACCGACCCCGGCTAGGCGGGTTACCCCACCTCGAAACGTTTATGGTAAAATTTCACCCCGGCAGGGAGGGTTACTCGGTCTCCCGCCTTGGCGGGTCACCCCACCAATCATGTAAACGTGATCAACTTAAACTGAGAGATTATATGAACAGGCGGGTTACCCCACCTAAACGGGTTACCTCACCTACCTGGGGTCCCTCGCCTCCATGTAAACAGGCCCTAAAAGAAATTTGGGCGGCGATTTGCCTGGACGGTCCAAAGCTGTCATGATCGTCTTTTTTAAGGTCAAATTTAAGCGTTTTGTTCAAGGCTCGCAAAAAATTTCACATTTATCCAAGTAGCATAAGACAAAAGTATGATTTTAATTCATGCTTCCTTTATTCAAAAAAGGCAAAATATTTAAATTCTGACTTAAAAAAAGGAATTATGATGTTTTGAAAATACAACGTGAAGCGTCCTTGAAAAAAATGCGCGGTTGTCCTAGTTTTGAAATGAGCTTTTTTCAAAAGTCTGACGTTATCTGGAGTCTTGGTCACTATGCCTGTTCAGTACTAGGGTAGTGTATTGAAGTCAAGAAAAACATTTTTGGGCACTGTTGATTCCGAAGCACAAGAGTTCGATAAAGTTGGGTAATATTCTACTGTAAAATTGTGCGTATGACGTAATTTACACATTTCTTGATTCCAAACTTTCCCACTAAAAAGCCGAAAATCATTACTGTCAGGGAACAGCTATTTTCAAACTCCGGTGAATGTTGCCATGTCAAGTTGTGGCTAAACAGTTTAGAAATTTCCCTGAAATAAAGGGGCTACGAATGGTAAAAAAAATCAAAATACATTATCAATTGATTTACCTTGTAATTACCACCTCAAAAGTTATAACACGATTCAACAAAGAAATCGTTTACCAAAATGTAGCGAATTTTCTAGCCACAAGTTTTTGTGTGCAGACGACATAATTTATGTTGTGTCTGACGATGTCAAATTCAGATTTCAGTTCGCAGTGCAAAACATGTTGGATGTTATTTTATAGAAGCTGAAACTACTTATCAGGCTTAACGAGGTAAAATAAACAAAGTACAAAAAACTGGCTACTATTAAGAATGAAAATGTTCTGCTGGTTTACTATTTCTTCATGTTTTTAATTTAATTTTAGTTAATTTTTCTGGCGTCATTCACTTAATTTAATTTCGTCTTCCTGAACATTTAATTTTAACTAGATACTTTCGTTCCTAATCTAATTACTTAAAAGCAAGCTATATACTGAGGGGAAGTCCCACTCTATATATTTCCTGAACGTTAAACGATCGATCTCGTATTTGATAGTATTTTGCGGCCAGAAAATCATTTCCAAACAAATGACATATCAAATGATCATAATTTGGTTTTTGTAGTTCATTAGCAATAGTTCTTTGCTGTGCGTCATCCATAAATCTGGTCGCTGATTTATAGACCATATAATATCATTTCCAAGATGGGATACTTAACGATTATTCCTCGCGCCCGAATGGGCTATTAACTCAGAGGCCATGAGGGCGAGAGGAATAATTGTTTTAGTAAAATCCAAGTAGTTGGTCGAAAATACCGAAAAAGAAAAAAACTTTAGCAAGCAAAACGCGACTCAGCCGCCATATTGTTTGGGTTTTCAAAGCCGGCGCTTTTCGCTACTAGGGGGCTATAACATAAAGCCTAGTAGTAGCTCAACCAATCAGAACGTATCTTTGATAATAGACCACTAGTTGGATTTTACTAAAAAGATATACAGTAGTTTCTTTTATCAACGTAGTAGTAAATCTAGTATTTTTTAACAAGTCTTTCCAGGTTGCAAAACTTTTTTTTGTTTCTTTTTGTTACTAGCTATTTGCACAACGTGCAGAAAGAAACACAGTGAAGAATTAGATCGGAAATCAGACTGGCTACACCCTGAGGAAACTGAGGGAGATGTGCTCCTTCAAAGGTACTGTCGGGAGGGTAGCCTTTCCATTTCTATTCTTCACAGACCTGCTAAAGAGGCTGCTGTGGGAGCCATCGGTCGCATGGTCACTTCGACTCCATTTCTTGAAGACCAATCAACGCCAACGTCTTGGAATCCCATAACACCATGCTGAACTCCAGGGTCAGAGGAGGCCTCTTTTACTTCACCCGTGGTAACCGATGCAGTCGGCAGGTATAACGAGGCGATGGATACAATTGCGAGTGTTATTACACAAGAAAAAGTAGAACGCGAGCCCCTTAAATATCAGCTTAAAACTTCATTCCAAAACTTAAGCGATGGGGAACAGTTGAAAGTTGTAAAAAAGGCTAAAGAGGACTGCTTGCACGTATGTAGTGTAATTGCCCCGAGGTAACGGGGGAGGAGCTCTTCGAGTCAATGATGTCTGTACAAAGAGAAATATTTGATGGCTCAGCTCCCGATGATCTTGTGGTGCTCAAGACTGCTTATAAGAACGCGAAGACCAAGAATTTAAAGAAACAGATTCTGAGCCTTTACGCTAAAAGATACCCTATGACCAAGATGAAGAAAATTTACAAACCTTACGGAAGTCTCTCTACATGGGAAATAAAGCACGCACGTTCTCATGCTAAAATGTACGGCCCTGGGATCATCCCTGAAATCAAGACGAAGCATCGCGTACGCCTTGATATGGGGAAGGTCGACCACTTTGTAGAATTCATTAATGGACCGTATTTTTATCAGGATGTTTCACATGGTAACAAGGTACTCACCCTAGATAATGGTGACAGAATTGAGATGCCTAACGTTGTAAGGATCCTGACCAGGTCTACAATGATTGAGCAATACTTGGATTATTGCAAAGAGCAATGTCACGAGCCACTTAGTAGGTCTACGCTGTTCAAAATATTAGAAGTTCGAGAAGCGTCTCAGAGTAAATCGCTCTAGGGCTTAAACAATACAGCTGCAAATGGTGCTGAGGGCTTTCAGACTATCGAGACGCTGGTTGAAACTCTTGAGAAAGGAGGAATGGAAAAACAGTGGTGTCTACGTATTTGCCAAAACCTACGCGATGGTAAACGCTATCTCAAAACTGACTACCGTGTGCACTGTCAACAGTCTCACTCTACTTGCTGTAGAAAGCTTGCGCTTAGTGATCCTGTTAATCCCGAGCTCCAGCATCCTTGTTCGCATCAGCATCAATCGACTTGCGAGCAATGCCAAGGGCTGAAGAATGTTCTAAAGGAAGTGAGACTAGCGATTGAAGAGTCATCATGGAAGCCCTATAGTTCCGAAAGGCGAGAAGATTTCCTTTACGACTTTGACCGTGCACATTCAGACATCATGCTGTGGAAAGCGCACATTGTGTGCTCAATAAATCAAGAGGAGGCGAAACAAGATGCACTGAAATCAGAAGACCCACAGGCAGCCATTCTGATCATGGACTGGGCCATGAAGTTCCTCCAAATAAAATTTCGTGAGAAACGGTCTAAATGGTTCGGCAAACGGGGGCTCAGCTGGCATATTTCCACCTGTATAACTAAGAATGTTGACTCTGGAAAAATTGAGCTGAAATCGTATGCTCATATCCTCGACTCTTGCCAGCAAGACTGGTACGCAGTATGCTCGATCATCGAAGACACACTTGAGGTTGTCAAGAAAGAACATCCCCAGATTACCCAAGTGAACCTAAGGAGTGACGAAGCAGGCTGTTACCACAATACCTTTCACTTAGCCGCCGTTAGAGATGCCGGAAGACGAGTAGGTATTGAACTAGCACGGTATGACTTTTCCGAGCCGCAGTATGGAAAAGATATCTGTGATAGAATCCTTTGCCCAATGAAAGCATCCATCCGACGATATTGCAATGAGGGACACGATGTCGTCTCTGCGAAAGACATGCGTGTAGCGCTCTCAGAACGCCCTGTTCAAGGTACAACTGCCTCCGTGTGTGCAATGAATGAGACTCAAAAGACACTCGAAGTACATAAGATAGAAGGTTTCAGCAAGTATCACAATTTCAAGTTTGAAGTGGAAGGAATTAGAGCATGGAGAGCTTATGGTGTTGGACTAGGCAGGTTTATTCCTTACTGAGAGGTCATAACTGAACCTCAAGGTCCTACTGATCTCATTGTGCATGAGAACTTCTTTACTCTCAAAGAAGCTGGAGTATATAAGAGAGAGACAAACAGAGAAAATGAACAATGCAACGGTCTTTTCTCTTGTTCTGAGCCCGGGTGCAACATGGTTTTCAAGAAATTCAGTGAACTCGAAAATCACCTTGATCTTGGTGAGCACAGCCAAGTTCGCCGAAACTCTGATACGGTGTATGACAAGCTCAGAAGAGACTGGGCGGAGAAATTTCGTACTGTTGATAAGGACGAAGAAATTAAATCAGAAGCATGCCCGAAGCAGTTGGAGAGGAGCGTCACGAAAAGAATGAAACTGGCCGCTCTCCCCAGTGCAATGACTTGTAGACTGGATGGCCTCTACACAAGCCCCGAAACGAAGCTGTGCGTTTTCCTACCGAGGTTAAACAGTAGCTAACAGCGAAATTTGACCTTGGAGAAAAAACTGGCATCAAGTCAGATCCCGCAAAAATGGCAGCAGATATGCGAACTGCAAGAAACCCAGATAGTTCTCTGATGTTTGAAAGGAAACACTGGCTCACAAAAGGTCAAGTACAGGCTAGCGGCCTCGCGAAGAAGCAAAGCACATCGGGAAGCGCTCAATGAAGACGTACAGGCAGAACAGGAAGAGCAGGAGAGACGAGCCGTCCTGGAAGAGGTGGCCACCCACCTTGGTCCTAAGCATCCTATCTGCTATGATTCATACTGTTTATGTGACCTTTCACTCGATAAGAAACTTGAAACATTTAGCGTTGCTATGCTCAAGGACATGTTGAAATACTTTAAAATTCCCTTTAGTTCTCGGGATAGAAAAAAAAAATCTTGTAGCGAACCTATCCGAATTTCTTGAAGGCTGTGGCTGTAACCAGCCGCATTAAGGCACAAACTGCTATTAAAGTAACCAGCAGGATTTTTCAACTTCGAATTCATGAAAGGGAACGAAAAAAAAATCGTGAGGGCAGTCATTTTTCAAAAACTTGAAAAGACGTTTCATGACTTTTATAATTTTTAAAAAGTCGAATAAGAAAAGAACATGTTTTTTGTCAACCGTAATAAAAAAAAAGTAAATACGCGTGACAAGCTAAAAAAAACTGACATTCACGTGCAGCCAACGTGACGGGAAATTAACACTCTTCAGATGATTTGAAGTGCGGCTGCGTTCTACCGAGTGTTTTTAATAAATGTGTAATTCTTTTAAACAGAACTCACTTTCGTCAAATACTTATATGCTTAACTTGAATGAAAAGATTTTTTCTTTCTTTGTTGATCATGCAAACCTAAGACCAATTTAATTGAAATAAATTTTGTTAACAACTTTTTAGAAGAAAACTTAGACGACAACTGACGCCGGAATCGATAATTTCGGCTATTAAACTTCGCAATTTCTGCTTTCGTGTAGCATTTTGGTAAGTTGTTAGTTATTTACAGTTTATCTCGAACAATAAAAGCTACTTTTCAATATACCGTAAAATTCCAAAATTAAGCCCCGGAGCTTATATATTTTTCAAAGGCCCTTTTTGAGGGGCTTATATTCGGAGGGGCTTATCTACGGAGGGAAATTTGCGTTTCAAGATCGATTGGGCTAGCCTTATAGTTGAAAGTAAATTTACCGTTTTTGCTTTGTTTTACTTTGTATTTGAGGGCAATTTTCCAGGTAGATTTAGCCCCAAGGGCTTATATTTGGAGGGGCGATTTAGCGGAGGGTTTTTTGCGTTACGAGTTTGGGGGGCTTATATTTGGAGGGGGCCTATACATGGAGGAGCTTATTTTCGGAATTTTACGGTATTTGCTCTCTCGGTTCGATTTTCAGTGTGAAAGTTCGGGAATCACGAAAATGCGTAAATTACGTCATACGAACAATTAAAGTGGAATATTCCCCAACTTTATCGAACTCTTGTGCTTCGGAATCAACAGTGCCAAAAAATGTTTTTCTTGATTTCGATACACTAGCCCTAGTACTAAACAGGGATAGTGACCAAGACTCCAGATAACGTCAGACCTTTGAAAAAAGCTCATTTCAAAACTAGGACAACCGCTCATTTTTTTCAAGGACGCTTCACGCTGTATTTTCAACAAAAATAATTCCTTTTTTTAAAGTCAGAATTTAAATATTTTGCCTTTTTTGAATAAAGGAAGCATGAATGAAAATCATACTTACGTCGCAGAAAAAAAATGAAGAAGTTCTGTTTTCCGCGGAAATTCAGGAGTGGTCGGTTCTTACACGGACCGCCTCTTAAATGGTATATTTTTACCATTCTTCAAAACATTTTAACTTTTTCACGTGAACTTTATTGAACTTTATTGTAATATATATTCTCAACAGTATAAACTACCAGTATAGGTTTCGTCTTTCTCAACAAATAGGCTGTGTTGTTCTTCTTATCATTAGTATTCTTATTAGTATTCTTCTTATTATTATTTTTATAATAATAATAATTATTATTATGTGTTGTTGTTGTTGTTATATCGGTAAATCTTTTTACCAATCTTGGTACATTCAGTATGGAAGATTTATTGATATAGTTTTGAACTCTCTCTTTAGTTAGTTATCTTCATCGCATGCACTATGGCTAACAAAATCTGATAAACTTTTTAAGACACTTTACTGTGCAGAACTTTTTGCCCATAAAAATTTGGAAACTGACGGCCCCTTATTTATCAAGTCACTTGTCCTAAACCACCTACGTACCTTTTTGTTTTTGCCCTCTTTCTGACTTTGATAAATAATGCTTTGAGATCGAGTTTCCGTTATTTGTTAATTATATTATTCCAAAGCAAACTGAAATCTCATCAACTTATACTCACTTGATCATATATTTATCCCTTTGCCTTCAAACAGGGAGTACAAGAAGGTTTCAGGTCTCTTTTATATTTAGTGTCATTTTTCCCACTGTACTGCTGGAAAGCTAATATTTTCACCGCTCAGAGAGAAAAAGGCAGAAGTTATTCTCAGTTAGATCCTTTCTTTAGTGTGGACCAATCGCAAAAATATTTCCAAGTATATCCAAAACAGTTTGTCGAATGTGTCTCATCTTCCAGCAGTAGATCAAGGGATTGAGGGATGAATTGAGAAACACAAGAGTCAATGTGATATACCATAAATGAGATAACAAGGGAGTTTCACCATTGGTCTTGGCAAAAACAACACAACATATTGGCAAATAACAAACTAAGTACACGAAATAAATGTAGAATGTAGCCAGTGAAGATTTTTTCAGCCTTGCGGCATTTGTCATATCTTCATTCTGTGTCGCCTGTTGTAATTGCAGAGCGTGAATCTGGTTTGTGTGGTGTCTCACGGCTGCGTATATCTTGCAATAAAGCAATCCTGTAGTTACGACACAAACAACTAAAATGACCGCTCGCATAATATCACAATCGTACAATTTACGTAGGATGGAAATTGATGCACTAAACACCCAGACTGAGATCACAACAGCAACAACACGTTTGTGAGTCACAAGCTCCTGATATCTGAGATGAAGATAAATGGCCAAAAATCTGTCCACAGCTAATGCAAAAACACCAAAATTCGAAGCAAAGACCAATGTTTTTTTCTGGATTAAATACGCTTCGTTTACTGCTTTATAAGCAGTACTGTTTGTGTTTTGTTTTATTTTCATCACAAGAATTGCAACATACAGTGGTTGGACAAGTAAGTCTACACCCAGATCAGACACAGCCAAGCTTAGTAGCAAAGTTTTTAAAGTCTTAGGTAACGACGACGTTTTTCTGAGCGCTTGCATTGTTATGATGTTTAATACGATGGCGGTGAAAGACAAGAAAGCGTTGAAGAAGCAGTTAATAACAAGTGTCATATGCAAGTCTTCAGCACTTGCCATCTTTTTTTTACATAACCCTAATCAGTGTTCAGTTTCTATAATATGCAAAGAATTTCATTGCTTTCTAGGTTTTTATCCGTTTTTGAATGAGACTGACCTTCAGCTTCCACCATTGAATGGAGCGTTATATACAGTCTTAAGTTTCAGCAGCTGTGTAGAACGTTTGAAGAACTCTGCATATGTTTTCTTTTTTAAACGAGACTGAGACTGGAAATTACTCTTTGCTAGACTTACTGAATATTCTCCAGACGTCCTCCTCCGATGGCAATTGGTTTTTAACTGAGTACTGTTGAGTCTTCCGCGACATTAGTAAAAAAAAGTCCCTGTGAGTAAGTCGTGCTCGCTCACAATATCCAAACTGTCACCTTACTTGAAATTGAAACTTTGCATGTCTGAACCCGGAGTTAAAACTTTAAATGCAACTTGATCATCACAAAGTAATTAGTATTAATTTTCTTTCAAGCGAAACGCAATAGTTCGTATAATGTTGACGTTTGTCAGTTAAAAAGGAAGAAAGTTGTATTTAACTACTGACGGAATATTAAATAAGCAAAGGCAGTTGGTTTTCAATCATGAATCGCAAACATGCAGTCAAACAGAAAGAGTTGAGCGGTGACTTTAAAGGAAAACTGATTTTTACGTCGCAAACCAATCCAACAGTATTTGCTGGACCCATGAACACATTTTTTGATAAACTACATGTTCACGTGTGACTTAAAGAGTGTGAAGCGGCCTAAAGGTACAGCACCCTAGTTAATTAATAAATCATCCGTTCCTTAATTTAGTATCAATTGCAAATAATCAGAACACCTGTTTACAGCTATTTCGTGAAACGGTGTCGGAAAAAGTGCACGCGATAATTCCTAATGGTATTGTTCGTAGTTTTGAGTTTACTGTTCTTCAAAGAAATTTGAAAGAATGGCACGAGAGGCCATGGATGTATGTTTGCGAAAGCTAAAGGAAAGCAACAAAAGCAGGTTCGACAGCTACAGTGTCAGAAAAAAGTATATTGGTCATATCCCATATTACCTTTCGGGCATTTTCGTGTGCACAGTTTTTCCGACAACCTTTCTCAAAACAGCTGTATACATGACGTGGTAATCCGAAGAGTAACTATGTGTCAAAAAGTATAATATATGCCAAAAACTGCAATCGAATACAACAAAATCAACTTACACTAGTATCCTTTATTAACTTGAAGGCAGCTAATAAGATGTAAGTCGTATTAGCTTCAGTTTCTTCAGTTTAAAACACACAGGCTGAGTTAATTCTTATTTTTTTTCTGTCGATTTCAGGCTGAAAATATTCTCGTATTATTCTTTAATTGTATTAAAAAAAGAAAACAATTATTATGATACTTTTTATTTTGAAGGTTTATTTCTTTTGTGCTGTATACTGTAGATGTGTGTAACATCATGATGTATCGTTCATCAAACTGTCATTAGCATCAACATTTGGCTATAGCAACTAGCGCAGGTTTTTTCATTTTGTTGGTTATTTTTGCCAGAACAGTAAGTTCGTCAGTCAAATGGAAGTAAGTTATTCGAACTTTTGGCGCGATATCAAAGTAGAAATGGCAGCTGGTTTACGGTGAATCGTAAACCCAAAGTCAAACAGAAAAGAGTTAAGCGATCGTTTAGAGGAAATGCGGACTATTAGGATAGATAGATAGATAGATAGATAGATAGATAGATAGATAGATAGATAGACAGATAGATAGTTTATTAAAAATAAATACATGGGCAGCCAGAGGCTGAATTGCGTATTTACAAATAAAACTAACTGTAAAAATAGAATAATTTACCATACATCAATATTGAAAATATTAAAAATTCATGCATATAAAATATAAAAGCATTCAAACCGAATCATTTAATTGTACTTTAGGCACAATAACAAAATAAAAGTGTTCTTAAAACAGTCGTCTTACCCTTTGGAAGTGCAAAGTGTCGGTGATCTCTTAGTAAATAAATAAATAACTTTAATAGTAACATCCTCGTGAGGTTTTTCAGGAACTATTTACAAACTATTTACAATTTATAAAAGCAAAAATGATAATAAAACTCGAAAACACAATTTATGATGGTATTCTACTAAATTCTAGAGCTTATGAAGGAAATGTCTGCCTCAATAGTTTGTCTTTCAGGGCGCGCTTGAAAGATGTCAATGAGGCACTTTGCCTAAGTTCATTATGCAACTTATTCCATGTGTTGGCCCCTCTGTAGGAAAATGTGCGCTGGCCTATAGCCGTTCTGTATAGCAGAATCTGCAAAGATTTCCGCGTACGAGTGTTACAAGTATGTATATTTGAGCGCTTGGTAAACTTGCTCGTTAAGTATTGAGGCGCAAGATCTGCCTCGTACCCAGACGTTTCTCTTTTCATTCCCATGGTCCCTTGCGGTTCATCACCAGTCACTCGTTTCGCGCTCGCCTCTGCCATGCGAAAAACGAAGCGCCTGAGGAGGAGGCTGGCGCAAGATCGTTCTGACATTTAAAGGTCAAACGGAGTCTCTATAGAATAATTGTTCTTTAACAGGAAGCCAATTTAGCTCTCGAAGCAAAGGTGTTACGTGGTCAAACTTCCTAGAGTTTGTTACGATCTTGCTGGCAAAATTCTGAATAGATTGTAATCTGTTTATATTCTGGAGTGTAGTATTTGACCATACAGATGAGCAGTAAAGCATCTTACTAAAGACTAATGACGTTATTAACAACTCTAGTGTTTCCTTGTCGAAGCTCCTTTTGACTCTATTTATTTGGCAAAGCTTTGCAAAACAAGATGAGACTACACATGAAATATGGTGATCGTAGGTCAGATGGGGGTCAAGAAAGACTCCCAAGTCCTTGGCAGAGTCTGTTGGCTTCAGTGTTTTACCTAAGAATACCACTCTAGGGTCTTCTGGTAACCTGCTTAACATCTGTCTGGTACCGAGGAAAAGGAGTTTAGTTTTATCGGGATTGATAAGGAGATGGTTCTCACAGCACCATTGAGCTACACTGTGAAGGTCTTGTTCGAGCTTTTCAATGGCAGCATCAAGCTCAACGAGAGGAAATGACATGTATAGTTTTGAGTCATCCACATACGATTCTAGGTTGCAAAACGTCGGTGCCGTGGGTAAATCGTTGAGATAAATGCAGAACAACAATGGTGATAGGATTGCGCCTTGAGGGACTCCGTGAGTTATAGGTAGAGTGTCAGAGTAGGCGGAGCCAATTCTCACGTATTGCCTGCGACCAGTTAAATAGCTCTTGAACCATTTGACAGTAGAGGGTGAGGCTCCTAAGATGGAAAGTTTGTGGAGCAACCTTGCATGGTCTATATTGTCAAAGGCTTTGGATAGATCTAATAGTACTAGTGCTGTTATCTGCTTTTTATCCATTGCTTCGAGTATCTTATCCGTGAGCAGGATGTTTAAGGTCTCTGTAGAATGAGCTTTTTTATTGCCGCTTTGGTGTGAGGTAAGGCGGTTGTTTTTTGTGAGATAGGCGCTAAACTGATTCAAAACAATCCTTTCGAGGACCTTTGAAGCTACGGCTAGCAGAGATAACGGTCTGTTGTTGGCAGCTTTTTCATGGTCACCGTCTTCAAGAATCGGAATCACCTCAGCCTCTTTCCAATTGTCAGGAAATGTGCTAGTAAGGATAGAGCAATTGATGATGTCAGTAAAAGGGCCCAATATGACAGGGAGACAGTCTTTTAGTACACGGGCACTGATCTTGTCCGGTCCCGGAGATTTATTCATTGGGAGAGATGTTACAATTCGGCGAACCTCTTCACGTGACACTGTCCTTAAATTGAATAATTCCATAGAGGTAGTATCTATGCCAGTTTCGGATGAAAAATCTCGGACTATGATGTTATGTTCTTCCCTCAGGCGCTGTACTGCGTCAGCGGCATTTAAGCCGACTTTAGCAAAAAACTGATTGAATTCGTTGGTTAAGACTGTCACATCCTTTGTAAAGGCTGGTCTCTGTTTATCTTTGGAGGGGATGGCGCAATTAATAATTTTCCAGAGTGAGCCAGAGTTGTTTTTATTAGCTGTGACCTCTTCAAAGGTGTGATCTCTTTCAGCTTCTTGTAGCTTTTTCTTGACCAAGTCACGGGAATGTTTGAAATTTATATATTCACTCGGTGTCTTGGCGCGACTGTATGAATTGCTTCAGCAGGAGATCTCGCGATCTCATAAGATCCTTGATTTCCTGGTTCACAAAAGGGCACGGTCTACTCCGAAGTTTAATTTGTTTCACGGGAGCGTGTAAGCTCAGGACAGACTGCAAAGTGTCATTTAAAATATTGAGCTTAGAGTCTACATCGGTTTGATCGAAGATAGTGAGCAGGGAATCCGCTTCCTTAGCTAGATCCGTGACAAAGAGATCCGCATTATACTTCTTGTAACTTAGAGTGGTAATGTACTGAGGGGTAATCTTGGGTTTCTTAACCTTGAGCTTGACAAATATGCAGTCTTATTGGCTTCAGTTAATAACTTGTTAAGTTTGTTATCCTTGTTGCAGAGGGCAGCGTTAAAAACCTTGTCACATATGTCCTCGCAATATGAAATAATGGTCGGAATACCAGTTTCATTAAGTACAACGTCATAAGACAGACTGGGGCAAATGATTGATAATGCCCTTTTGTTTTAGTAACCGTGACAAACGACGAGTCTTTTGGGTTGAGAGAAGGAACTTGTTCCCCGTAAAAAAAAAAAAAAACTTACTAACTAAGCTTTTAAAACATAGACCAGCACAGTAGGTAGTTAGTCTCGCTTGTGTGCGCGCCAAAAGGGAATCATGGTCCCAGGCGTTACTAGTGGAGATCATGGAAACTGAGGATGGGAATTGCTACCTGTCACAGCACCATGCTCTTTTTTGTAAAGAAAGCTTAGGAAAGATTGATGCAGAGATGTTGAGCTTTCCGGGAACGGGTCGGTCCACGAATTCTATTGCTTGAAAGCGTTGATTACTTTGGAACAAGTGAATGCTTCAGTGAAAACTTCGATGGTGGGGCTATAAACTGGTCGGGCGTTGTAAACTTTCATGGTATAAAAATGAGTCTTGTGAGGAGCTTGCGATTTATTTTTGGCGATGATTGAAATGACGCGCCATGTTCATCACGTTATTACTTTCTAGCAATGATTTGTCTTTGTACACGCGTATATTCAGAAGAAAATACTCATTAAATATTCTGAAAATTACTCGACCGTCGATAAAGTGGGAAGTGAAACCTTTTAGCGAAGAAATCCTGCTTCGAGTAGAATTAATCGCCTCCTGATCTCTTATCTAATCTCCAAGCAAGCGAGACTAGCCCTTTTAAGAGCGTTCTTGTTGTAAGTTAATCCAGGGAACATATTACATCATGACTAAAGGCTTGGTTACCAACATGGTGGCATCGCGTGTTATGAATGGCAACGATCGTTTACGAAAGGGAAATAGGCGTCGGCGAGGCTGAAGACTTTAATATATTTTGCCGTTGCAAAGTGCTTGAGCAATGCCGTGACTTTACGCTCGCAATAGATATTAAATTATGTTCATTGAACCAATGTTTAAGGTTGAAAGCTGTAATTCCGTAACTTTTGCTCAGCGGATAGTCGGTATAAAGTTTTAATATTTTTCTTGGAGACAAATTCAGATCAGGCAAAAAATTTCCTTGAAATCTCTGAAAATCTTCATGCCCCAAGAGAAGGTTAAGGTTCTACGAGGCTAGCTGTGCATAAACAAAGCTTTTTAAATCTCCTGAGACAAATTGGCTGCCGCGTGACAAAGGTCTATTTTGGCGTTTTGGACGTCTTGTTTCACCACAAACATTTTTGGCGAAGCTCTCGCGCACGCAGCAGTGCACCATGGGTACGAATTTTGGTTCACTATGCATTAATAGTCACGTGAGCGTACGCACACCCCTCCGCACCACAGGCATACCAACGTAAAATAACTCAATCAACAACAATGGCAAATGTAACACGGGGTTTTTTGGCGGGAAACCTGGAGTCCACCCTGACTTTTTAGGGAGGCAAAGACCATCCGGACTTACGGAGAGAGAAAACCAAGGACAAAGTCAAGTCCGATTAAATTTTAAAGTCTTTAATGACGTCGACAACAGAGCTAAAGCGTTAGACAGAAAACAAGAGACAAATTTCGAAAACATGGAAATTGGCGGTGAGAAAATGAGAAAAAGCGACCAACAAGGTGAAAATGAGCGGCAGAGTAGAAAAAAGTGAACAGGAACCCGACAAAACATATGGTGAGCACATACGACATATTCCAACATAAAGTTTCACATTGTAGTCGTGTAAAACAACGTCAAAGAAATGTACAAAAAAGTGTGCTGCGCACGTGCAAGGTTGTTGTTGTTGTTGTTTTTTTGCTAATATTTGCCACAGTAGCAAAATTTTTGGATCAGACAACAAACCAAAAACGTCACTCAACTAAGTAAATTCGCACTGTTTCAAATTTCATCGAACTTATTCAGTTTCATTTAATGTGTTTAATGTTGACAAAATTCTCTGAAAGGACAGTGCCTGAGTTTAGAAAAAGAAAATTTTTGTGCTGTGTTGACCAACTCCATAGAGCGGGAGCGTGAAATTAGGAAGTTCCATGTCGCAGTCGTGCAACGACAGCTAAGAAATGTAGCTAGAAAAAAGCTTGATGCACGTGCAAAGTTGTTGTTTTGCTAAACCTATCGCTTTTTGCCGTTCGCATTATTTTCGCCGTCATCCTTGCTTAAGCTCTTCATTGTTGCCATCCAGAATTTTTGCTACCATGGCAACGTGACGTCACACCTTTCCTCTTTATTAGACCTATTTGCTATATTTTTTGTCGTTTTCTTTGCCGTCACCGTTTAGCGTTGCTTTCTGCTTCTGTTATACAAGGTCCGTTCAATCTTGAAAAGGTCTTGAATTTTGCTAGTCGTCTTGAAAAGTCTGAGTCCTTGAATTTGGTTTAGGTCCTTAAAAAATACTTGATGTCTTTATTAGGTCTTGAAAAGTCTTTGAAATTCACACTCTTGTATACACCTTCATTTTTCTGTAAAATTACTCGGATTATTTTACCGAGGAGAATTTGGCTTATCCTCGGTTTACAAGAACCTGTAAAACTCGCGGGTAACGTAAAAACATTTTTGTGCACGAACAATATTTTATTTCTGTTTCTCTATTTCAAATGCTATTTCTGTACCTCAGATGCAACTGCAAGTCATACCCAGTCAGTCTTGTTGCGGAAAGTAGTATGGAGGTAAAAATTAATTGTAAAGGCTAGGGTTTTAGCCAATAGAGTGATCAAAGGGGGTTGAAGAATGCCGATTTTTAAAATAAATCTTAGTCCTTAAAAACTGTAATTTGTCTTTGAAAAATCCTTGAAATTTGTTTGTCTGAAGTTGCAGCATCGGATCCAGGGGACGGGCCCAGGGGGCCCGGCCTCCCCTCGTCTTATTTTTAGACCAGACTGAGGCCCGAAGGGCCAAAAAAACTTTTTTTGGAGACTGGGCCCACCCTTATCTAAGGGTCTGGATGACCGCCCTTCCCCCCCCCCCCTTATTTCAAGGTCTGTATCCTGCACTTAGTTGTACTTATATCTTCTTGGTAGCTATTCTCCTGATTATCGGCCAGTTAATTAACAGATTCTCTTTTAGTGTTTTTTCCCTATTACCTTATCTTACAGTAACGGTACAAGGTAAACACTTCATCTTGTCACTCAAAGTTCGGGGTTTGAGAAATCGCCTCAAAAGAAATAGTATTTTTAGCTTTTTATAAGATAGAAATGATTGGAAATTGTCAAAAAGCTCGATTTTACTCTTCTGCTTGCTAAATATTACTTGTACATGAATAAGTTAGCAACTAAAGATTTAGCTCTCCACGAATTTAAGGCTAGAATCAGTTGGAGGTATGATTTCGAAAAACTCCTTCCTTCAATTAGTTAGAAAGAATTCAACTTTACCAGAATAATCTGTTAATTAACAGGTCGATGCTATTGTGTGAACTGCTGTGTTATTCTTTTCCGTTTTTATGTAATCATTATGGTCCAATCTGTAATATTTAGTTGTTAGATACCAGTCTTTTAGTTTTAAAATTTGTAACTGTAACATGTGCATGTGGGAACGCCGCCGATTTCATATTTTCCAGTTTGTATCCGTGTGTTGAACTTGACGAAACACAATTTTGGTCATTGAGCCAATTTTGGGAGCTGCTGGCTGAGAACCGCAAGGCAGTTCTCCCACGCATGCGCGGAGAAGGCAGATCAGGAGTAACCCCTGGCTTTTAGTTTGTCCACATGACACTCCCAATATATGATGCAAATTCTCGCACACTAGTCCCGATTTGCTGATACGGTCAGGCCAAGTAAAAAAATGTTTCTCGTCCGGAGAGAGAGCGAGTGGGCGCAAGAAGAGTGTAGTAAATTCTGTTTACTTGAAAGAGCGCCATGGCGCTTATTGTTTTTCGACTTTAAGTTGCGAAAGTTATTTGAGGGCTGCGCTCTTTGGATTAAATCACGGCAATAGAATTGTGTTTTTCGAAAGGGTGCCGCGGAACTTATTCGTGTCCGACTTTAATTTAAAGCGGCACTTTTTCGAGAAATATACGGTTTTGATAGCATTTTAGGTTTCTATTACATTTATGGCCAATTTTGACTTCATTTGTGGTCAATTATTGCATTTGTCACTTTAACAGTATCCCTTTCGTCTGTCTTCTATTGATAAATGGTACCCCTTTCACATACCTAGTTTAGAACTTTGTATCCCTTCGAACTGCTGTAAATGTACTGTCTTTTAAATGTGAACAAATCAGAAAGCCAGAAAGCTTTCTCGCGCCGACTCTCTCGCAGACATAATGCATCTTTCAGCTCTTTTGGGCCTTGTTAGGGACCAAAATGACAAATTTCCCTACAGTTTCATTTACTTCAACTAGTGAAATCCTTACCCTTTCATATACCTGAGCCTCCCCGCACAGGTCATTAGAAGGAATAATTAACCCCCAGGCCAGACAGACGATACGCGATACAAAGGAATTAGGCAATAGACCTTTGTCACACTGCGACCATTTTTGTTTCAGGAGATTTGAAAAGCTTTGTTACAAAGCCTCGCTCTCTCTACGAGGCTAGCTGTGCATAAACAAAGCTTTTTAAATCTCCTGAGACAAAATGGCTACCGCGTGATATAAATCTATTTTGGCGTTTTGAACGTCTTGGATCACCACAAACATTTTTGGCAAAGCTCTCGCGCGCGCAGCGGTGCACCGTGGGTAAGAAAATTTGGTTATCTGTGCGTCAGAGAAATACAATGAAACCTGTATTAATGCAATTGTAGCTACCTGTATATTTAGGATGCCTTCTCCAAAGTTTGAACCATCCCCGAACGTGTAAATTAATTCTGTTCTTAGCGGAGCTCTACGCGCGCTCGAAGCGCCCGCTTGCGGAGCCACATAGCAAAGTAAATCGACCCATGCTAGAAAATTTGCTAATCACGTGACCGTACACCGCCCGACCGAGCAACCGACCGTCTGTCCGCACCACAGGCATACCAATGCAAAATAAGTCAATCAACAGGTATGGCAACCCAAATGCAACTCAGGTTATTTGGGCGGGAAATCGCATAGCCACCCGAGTCTTGTAAAGCAGAGACAACTAAAGAGTCAATAAAGACGAAAACGGAAAGCAGAAATTGTTTCTGTATCCGTGTTGTCTGAAGTATTGTAATACTTCTCCACATCTTTAGACATGACAATTAATCTGAGCTTAAAAGCTTAGACTAATTGAACTGTCATGCCCAAAAAATTGGAAAATAGAGCAAGAGAAAGACAGAGAAAAAGAGAAAGTAGGCGAAACGGCTTGGAAACTAAAATTTGATAGCATTTTGTTTTGAATAAGGGTATGGGCATGATTTTCAGTTGAACATGCCTAGCGAGCGTAAAAATCGCATCCAGTCTGAGGATTAATGAGGGAGGGAAAATTTTATATATTTAGGCATGACAAAATTCAAGGGAACATTGGTACTTAGAAATAACATCTCATAGGCATGGAAAAAATGGGTTCATGCCCTCGCAGCCTAAAATTGACCCAGCTAAACTTAGGTCCCAGATCTCTCGCCGGGTTGATCATTCATTCCCAGTTTTTGCTCCTCTGGTTTGGCATGCCGGGCATGCGGATGGTGAAGCCACTTGGTTTGGCATGCCCGGCATGCCAGGCAACAAATTGGCATGCCCAGCGAGACTGATTTTGATGCTCGCTTCAGCATCATATCCTGAGAATCACATATAATCGCCAAATACATCTTAGGGAGCTTGAAGTTACAGGTTTCAAGCCTGGCAATAAATGCAGATTATAACAAAAAAAGTCATGTTTGTCACAATGTGTGTCACGGGATCGACTGGCAAAACTGAAGACTTATTTGGATTTATAAATAAAAAGCACAACAAAACAACATTATTCATGCATAAAATAGAATACTTAACTTGCAATCAAAGATCAATCCTTTTATTTCAAACCGATACTGACATTTCTGGGTCCAGATTTAAATTTGATCGGGGAAAAGCGTCTTAAACAATAAGATAACAAATCTTCTCAGTATGAACTTATCCATGCTTAAGTTTTATGGCGTCGGAATGTTTCCCGGCCGACAGCATTAAAAGACTGGTGAAAATTAAGCTTACCAGGTCTTTCAAGTCAGTACGAGAGTACGACGTTAATACTGCAAAGACGTTCTGATTGGTGAATTTGGACTGCCTTCTCAGAGAGATTTTGCAAAGTTTTTCAGCGCGCTCCTTGTCGGCTATGCGAATCTCGCAAACTGTTTTACTCCTTGCTGACGATAGTCCTTTGAGCAACGTCATCTGCGTCATCCGAAGATACCCCGAGCACGCACGAAATGGGCCGAATTTCCGCAGAAGTGTTTTCGGATGACGATGAATCTAGTTTGTTGTAGCGTGGCAGTTGTCGCGTCACGATATTGTCATGTCTCTTCGCACTTGTTTGTCTTTTTTTTCTGCGGTGCATGGTTGAGATGTTGGTGAATGCTGAACAAGAAATGGACTCTGCGAGAGACTGTAAGAACAAATTTAGTATTAATTTGGTAAAGAAAAAGCCTGAATATTGAACAAATCCCGTGAATTAGCCTTTAGGCATTCAGTTTATCTTGCTGTTGAGCATGCCTAAGAACTCCGGCATAAGTGGTTGTCATCTCGTTCACTTCGGATTGTTTCTGTTTGTATGTCTTGTAATCTTCTTCTGCTGCTAAGAAGACTAGAGAAAACTTCAATAATAAGAAACCAAAGCTAAAAAAAGTCAGATCTAATTTTATAGCTCGAGTATAATTATTTTTGCCACCTACGGTCATATTTTTGTCACTGTACTGGTAAAGTTACTTGTTTTTGCTGCATAGTTTGACTGTTGTTTGGAAGGCAATCAAACGGATATTACAATCACTTTTGGAGACAAAATAAAATATCCGTAAATCAAATGCCAAAATCAGATTTGGATTTCGCTTTAAAAAAATGAACATGCCGCGTGTGTCAATGCAAAGTTGTAAACAACTCAATATAAGCAGTCTGTGAATGTGCGTTTAAGTCCACAAAACTAATTTTTCTTTTGGACATCTCATCCAAGCAAAGACTTAAGGCTTACATTGCTTGTCTACGAGTGTACTAAAAATTGCTTTGCTACAGTAAGCCTCTGAGAGACGATTCTGGTAAATTTATAGGACGCTAAAATGCAAATAATTCTAAGCTTAAACAACCTGGCTGGGTCCGACTTTTGAATTACAAAATGTTCACGTTTGCCGGCTCTACTTTCAAAGAACATGGTTTTTGAAATGATTTTGTACTATTTTATGATTAAATTATGATTGGGTTATAAAGCTTTTAAAACGGACGAAAACTAAGCTAATAAACATGTTCAATGTAAAAAACTAAGATTTAGTCGGTTTTTCAACTTTGCTTTGTGGGCCGAAAAATTTACCTTTAAGCAAAAACAAAAGCAAACAATGAGGCTTTTATTCGACATATTTTCTGAGAATTTTATCTGATCAATTTAATGTCACTAGCATTATTTTCGTATAGGAATTTTCCTAATTATGTGAGCTTTTAATTTAATAATTTTGATGCTCTATAAACTTCTCATTTGATAGCCTCACTTTTTTATACACCGATTGAGAAACAAATTCGCACTCGTTAAATCCTGTTTTATGACCTGTTTATTAGAACACTAGGTAACATACGAAATGGTGTAACCGGACAGGCTTTAACCTTTGGTCCTAATTTATTTTTTCTTCGCAACCCCTAATCAGTTGACGGGCCGTGAGAGAATATCGCCACAAAAAGATGCGAAAAAGTTTTCGCTGAGTTTCCTTCACATATTCCGGCTTTATATGGGTCTACACCTTACCTGTTTAAAAATGAAACTGTTGTTCTATTAAGTGTCAGTCAAACTCGGTATAATCTTGACTTGCAAATCCAAATGCAAAGGTTTATTTCGCAGTAGAAAAGCGTGTAAACATCATCGAACAACGCAATGTAAATTAGCTAATGTGAAACCACGTTTCTTTCACTTTATTTACCATGCATTTATCTCAATTGCACATTCTTGTGAAATTAGCCTCAGACAATTAGTTGCGACCTTTAACAGACTCAACAAGCCAGTATGAAAATATGTTAAGAGAAGCTGAGTCTACATGTTTTATTTCTTTTTTTTCATATTGCCCTTGCATGTGTTAACATTCCATTTCTTTTTTGTTACAGGTAACTTCCAGACATGACGAGGAGATAATTACTTTTCTAGAGAGCAATTCTTTGATACTGTCAGTTATTACTGACTTACTTTGAGTTAAAAACAAAGAACACAGACACTGGTAATGACACAAAAACATTAATCACTGGCAAGCCTACAAAACAAGAAAGAGGAACTCAGACTTTCTAACAGCTTTTCTAACGTAGGGAAAATTGCGTTAGAGAGATTTGTAATTGCAACGTTATATTCAAGCACATTGCATTGTCAAACATCATAATTTACTGAATAATGAACAATGATTTTGGGGCTTAGCTCAGTTTGTAATGAACTTTGAAAGATATTCTATAACCTTGTATCTTTAAAAGCTTTCATGGAACATAGATGCATTTTATTATACAATGAAAATAGTCTCTGTCTCTCTTTTTACTGATTTCAGTCAATTCCATTTTATTCCCAATGTGAAATGGGAATCCTATTAAAGACTCATTAAAAGGGGTGAGGAGTTTTTACAATCCCCCAACGGGTCATCTCCACGATGACGCTGTTTTATTACTACGGACGAATCCCTCAGGGTTTTACTTGCTTGTGAAAATTAGAGCTTTTGTTATTTAAAGTTCTCTGGGACAACCAAATCTATGAAAACGAAAGGAATAGCAATGACGTCATCGTGTAACCGTACATCAAAAGATAAGCACTGTGATCTGTTTAGTTTTTTTTTTTGTTTTTAGCCAGGCTTAAAATATCTGTAGATTCAAGAAATTATAACCTGTGCGTTGAGAGCATGCCAGAGACCAATTTTGGCATGCTCGGCATGACCCAGATTATGGCACGCCCGGCATTCCAGAGAATTTAGCATGCCGGGCATGTCAGAAAATTTGGCATGCCCGGCATGCCGGAGATTTTGCTGGGTATGAATTACTTATTACTAGAACCTAGGCTTCTCGCGGCCTGGGTGAGAAGGTCACAGAACCTCAAATTATGTTTACAGGGCATGCGAAATTCTGTTGCATGCCAATTTCAATGCAAAACCACTCTGGGGCCACCCCCTCTATTACCAGTGAGCAAATCATTGACGATAGGCACGCGAAAAATCCTTGCATGCTAACCAACAATGAAAACATAGCAGAAATGTCCTCAATTGCTGAGTCATGCCCTAGGGGAGGCTTTAAAATACAGAATTTCCTGACATGGATGAGGGAATTTTCCGTAAACAGCATGTAATCATGCCGGCTAGGACGTATTGCCTCCGTATTGCCCCTTTTTACAGCTAGCTAGGCTCATTTTTAGGTTCCATGGCCTGAAATGACGAAAAATTCATGCCCTAAATGTAAAAAGTCCTAAAACGTCCTCGAAATTTTAGTTTCCAAGCCGTTGGCGACATGCCAGAGAAGCTCAACAAGAAAAAGGGCGACAGAGATATAGAGCGAGAGATAAACAACAAAGGAGACATGTTTTTGTTACAAGAACAACATGACAATTTTGCAGCTGCGGTGAGAAAATAAGAAATGCTAGCGGCCACCAATGCAAGGTGAAAGTGAGCGAGAACATGTGCGACATTTCCTCCATAAAGCGTGTAACTAAGTACCCTGCAAGCAGTTGTTTCTCCAGGCCGGACGCTACGCTACGAAGGGAGAGAAACCACTGCGAGCATCCGTCTGCTTCTTTGATCGAGCCGCCGTCCAGCGCTATGGACGAATAAATTAACTTTAAACATGTAAATCCTGTTTGAAAGCAAGTTTAGGCTCTCGCGCATTTGCTTACGCTTACAATTGCTGCCTTAACGCGAGCCTGCTGTGGATATTCAGTATTTCTTTGGATTATTTATTCCTATCTACTTACTTTGTCAAATGTAGGCGAACCCAAATGGAGTTGAATTCCAAGGGACCATATCCAAGTTCAAGAGCGAAAAGGAGAATAAATTTCGTCGTTGCTTGTTTACGTTATCCATAAAACGCAAAATTAGGCATCTTCACGTCGTAGTCGTGCAAAAATGGCAAAGAAATGCAAAAATAAAACCGTGATGCATGTGCAAAGTTGTTGTTTTGCTTATTAAACCTATTGTTTTGTTGAAGTTCTCGTCGCCGTCTTCTCGTTGGCTATTTGTAGTCATCACGTGGACTCGCATGCTCGATGGAAAAGCAAACGGTTGCTCGCAGTGGTTTCTTTCCCATCGAAGCGTAGCGGCCGGCCTGGAGAAACCACTGCTCGCAGGGTAGTAACTAAAAAGTTTGTGGAAGTTTCACGTTGTAGTCGTGCAAAAAAACGGCAAAGAAATGTACAAAAAGTGTCCTGCACGTGCAAGGTTGCTTTTTTGCTAATTGGACCTATTGTTGTTTCTCACCCTTCTCCGGCGTTGCCGTCGCAGCTTAGCATTACACGAGTTTATATATTTTTTGAACAAACTATAAATATGAAAATTAAAAACAAGATATACATGTAAAATGTAACAACGGCAGTTTTTCTCAGCCTTGCGGCATTTGCCATGTCTCCATTCTGAGCTACTTGTTCAGGTACTTGCAGAGCGCGAATCTGGTTTGTGTGGTGCAGGGCGTAAGAAGCTAGGGCGTTGAAACGATCATGGTTCAGCTATGATGCGGAGTAGGACTGGAACTGGTTGGGCTTTCCGCTCTCGATCCGCTGTCAGGGCAAGAAAAATGGCGCCGTCTAGCTGGGGGTAGGTTCGGATTTATTGCTTTATATCTTTAGATCGCTGCAATCGTATTTCTATGTGATATACAGAAAGTATTTAGGTGATATTTTACAGTAAGTCTTGTAAGTTAAGGTGTTTTCTCGCTTTTTATGTTTATGTAGTGTCAAAATGGCCCATCGAATATTACAGGTTGAAGGTCGCGTTTTATCCTGCCAGTCAAAACCAAATGATAATAAACGGCTACAAAAAAACATGTAATCGTTTTATAAATTTTATTTGTGCATGCAAATTTTTAGAGTGAACTTTTATGAACCTTTAAGGTTTTTTTACTTCTGAAGTGACGACTTCATAATGGCGATGGCAAGGTTTTTGTTTTGTGAGTCGGCGTTTAGCTTGTTAGTAAAATAAAAGATTTCAGTTGCCCAATTTAGCGATTTTTCTCTTTTTTTAATATACACTAAAATGGTAAATAATTTTTTTTAGTTACAGAACCGCGATCCAAGAAGGTTCTGACTATTTTTAAAGTTCTACTAGAAAATTGCATTCGATCTCGTGTGACAGTCTGTGCATGAACAACAACAAATTCTGCTTCTGCGGTATAAATCTAAAGGTGCATTCGATCTCGTGTGACAGTCTGTGCATGAACAACAACAAATTCTGCTTCACTGCGGTATAAATCTAAAGGTTGTATTGCACAGAAACAGAATGAAGCCTATGGAGAAATTTGCTTTTAAATCCCCACCAAGATTCGACGACTATAAAATTAAATCATATGATGTGTTTATTTGTTATTATAATGATTTTCTGCAGGACAACAGTGAGTGCCCGCCTGAAAAGACTACTAGTCAGAACACACACTGAAAGATAAACGAGTTCATAATACCGTGAATATGAAGAAGAACATGAAGAGGTCTTAATTTGATTGCAAGTAGAATAAATTAAGACTGCTGTGTAACATTGTATTTTTGTCGTCAGAGGCTTAAGTGTGGTGTTGCACAAACTACAGTCAGTTCTCAGATGGAAACTGTTGGGACTGGCACAAAATGTCTGTATTAATGGACAGGTGTAACTCTTATAGAGAGTAAAAGAAAATGATTGAAGAATAGTAGGGACCAACTCGATTACCTGGAGGTGCCTTATCTTTTGATTGTACTACTGTATAATATTTCTAGCATTATATTCTCCCTCTTAATATTATATATTGTAGACAAGGAAACAGGAAAGTATTTTTTGAATCAAGTTTGATTAAGCCTGGCTGCAGTTAATAAATTAACCAAGAATGAAATTAAATCATACTGGACATGAAGTATTCAAGTGTGCTAGGGTTGCTGGTCACACTAAAAAGTTTGTTTTTCAATGGTTTAATAGCTGTTACAGGCCATTTGTATTTCATTTGTGCATAATTCTGTATAATTTTCTTGTTTTACAATATACTTTTGAATTTGTATGTTATATAAATGTTTTATGTTGTTTCTGTAAGATATATATATATAGCAATGTCTGGTTTCAATGTAAGACTTGTGAATGTTTAGTTTCTTTTAAGTTCCTTAGTATGTCTTGCATGGGTAGTTGTCAGTGACCATTTCATTACGAAAAGCTGTCATTATCAAACAAAAATATTTGCTGGGCTACTTATTTGTGTTCTTGCAACCTCTTTGTTAGTTTTTCAAGGGCAGTGCATTATATTTTTTTCACATACTTATTCGTCATTGCAAAGCAGTATTATAGTGTACAAGATAAAAAATGATTAAAAATGATTTTATTATATCTTAAATTTACCCGGACGTTAGTTTCACAATCTGTCCAACCGTAATGTTCAATATTGGAGATAGCTCAATAAGGTTTTTAGAGAAGAATACTGATGTACACCAACAAACCCAAACTTTAACAGATCATCTGGCCTTGAAACTGAGCAGCAAAAAATTAATGCCATAGCAGATGATGAATTACACAACTTGATATTAAACTGAAGTAGAGAACCGATAATGTTAGTCTAAAAATGATGTCAGTGCTATTATCTGAGTTGTGATGCCATTTTCTTACCAAGTCACGAAATTTTCAGTAATACGGGTCACGGAGCTGGGACTATATTCAATACAGATATTTGTTCGCGGGGGAAAAATTGAAAAAAAACAGAGCACGAACGTGAGAAAAAAATAATTTGTTCCTTCGCTATTGTGCGCAGTAGATGAATGCCACGGGATAATGGCTAACGTTCGCTAGATAATCTCTCTACTCTGACGATCCAGTATAATGTCCGCCATCTTGTTTTGTCTCTTTGGTAGTACCCAAACCCTTGCATCACAGCTAGATCGCTCGACCCCCGCTCGTTTCAACACCCTAGCTTCTTACGCCCTGGTGTGGTGTCTAACGGCTGTGTATATCTTGCAATAAAGCAATCCTGTAGTTATGATACAAACAACTGACATCACGGACAAAACACTTATCGATTCATACCAGAAGCAAGCAATTACACTGAACACCCAGAATGAGATCACTACAGCAACAACCCGTTTGTGAGTCACAAGTTTCTGGTATCTGAGATTGTGAAGATGAATGGCCAAGAACCTGTCAACAGCCATCGCGAAAACACCAAAAAATGAGGCAAAAACAAATAAACTGTGAGGGATGGCATATGCTTTAACAACAGCCCAATAAGCAACAATGTTGTCAATGTTTTTATTGTTTTTTTGTTATTTCCATCGTAAGATATGCAACATAAAGTGGCTGGATAAGAAAACCTAAACCTAGATCAGAAATACACAGGCTTAGAAGCAACGTCTTAAACGTCTCAGACGTCTTAGACGCCCTCTCGACTAGTATAAATACGGCCAATGGTATAAGAGAGTCCCTGAAACGCACTCACAACATCTAAAATTTCAAATTAAAACTGTCTGTGCAATGCTCGGAGTTCTCCTCATTGCACGGAAATTTGGATATAGCTTTCTTTTAACAGAAACGCGAAAGGTCGAGCTTTGTAGGTGTTGAGAGTTTGTCAGTCAAATGGAGGAAAGTTATTTGAACTACTGACGCAATATCAAATTAGAAAAGGCAGTTGGTTTGCAAAGGATCGCACATAAACAGTCCAACAGAAAGAGTTTAGTGATAGTTTATAGGAAAAGCAGACTATTAGGTCGGACACCAATCCAACTTGTTTTCTGAACTCAAGTAAAAACTATAAAAACGAACAAATTGTAATTAAATACGACTTACGACAAGTCTTAGTACTGGGGGTTCAGGGAAAATAAAACTTATTACCTATAAAAAAACAAAGACACAGCCTAATTTTTTTCACTGCTTTCGCCACAGAACGACGTCAACGAGCTTGTAAATTCTTTATTATTTGTAGCTGTTAAATAAAGGTAAGGCAGCTCCAGCCAGCAGTATTTCATCACAAAAAAAACACTCAAATTTTTTTTAGAAAGCGCCATCTGCACGTATTTAAAAATTTTCTCTTCCCTAAAATTGATTTCGACGAAAGAGATATTATTCCCACCAAAATTTGATTCCCCTCTGGTAACCGCTCATTAGCTAATAACATGACAGGCAAGTGGACGTTAGACTATGTAAATTAGGGGGCGGTTGATGGCTTGTTAAATGAATGGGTCAGGCGCTATTTTTTCCCTCTCGCGCCGAAGAAGCAACTGAGCAAAAAAAAAAAAAAATAATAAAAAATAATAATAACGCCTGATCTCAGGTTATATGTGTCAAACTTGATCATTTGCAAACTATCAGAACGTTTAAAACATTCCTTGTAGTCTCATCTTAATAAAACCAGCCAGCACCAGGTGGCAATTCAATGAGTAATCATGTTCCAAAAAAGCAATATATGTTTTAAGCTACAATCAACTCGGAAAGTATGTTTCAATTTCATTTTATTAAAAAAGTATTTAAAAAAATATACTATGCTAGAAAAGGCAGTTGGTTTGCAAAGGATTGCAAATAAACAATCAGACAGAAAGAGTTTAGTGATAGTTTATAGGAAAAGCAGACTATTAGGTCGGGCACTACAATGGATGTTTTAAACGTTCTGATCGTTTGCAAATGATCAAGTCTGGCACATATGACCGAATGATTTATCAAGTAACTACCCACTGTGTCTCTGTTTTAAAAACCTAGCTAGTAAGGTTTTTTATAGGTAATAAGTTTTTCTTCTGAACCCTCAGTCTTAAGACTCGTCGTAAGTCGTATTTAATTAAAATTTTTTCTTTTTTTATAGTTTTTACTTGAGTTCAGCAAACAAGTTGGATTGTAGTCTTATCTTAATGAAACCAGCCAACACCAGGTGGCAATTCAATGAGTTATCATGTCCCAAAAAAGCAATATATGTCTTAAGCTACAATCAACTCGGAAAGTATATGTTTTAATTTCATTTTATTAAAAAAGTATTCAAGAAAAATATACTATGCTTTATTAACTTAATGGATGGTGGTATTAAATTCATCCGAGGCAGCTATCAAAACGCGAATCATATTATCTCCAGTTTTTTTAGTTTAATATAAAGGAAGTTCATCATTGCTCGCAATTTAATGCGCATTTAATAAACAAGACGACTTCTCACTCCATTAAACATAAAGTTGTACTCATAGCATCCGAGATATTCACTTGTTTGGAATTAAAACTATTTCTTACTAGAGCCCAGGCCTCCTGCTAGAGCCCGTAATTCAGAATTTAAATATGACGTCCTCATCACACAGTAATTTGAATATATTTTCATTTAAACCGAAACGCGATAGGTCGAATTAAGTGTTGAAGTTCGTTCGTTGAAGTTCGTCTCTCTTGTCAAGTTTGGGCATTGCTTATAATAAAAATAAGTGTTGAAGTTCGTAGGTCAAAAAGGAAGAGATTGAAACTACTGAAGCAATATTAAAGTAGAGCGATTTTCGTATGACCTTGAAAAATGGTTTTGGGAAGTGTTCGTTATTTGTTTTATCAGCCAATGGATGAAAGGATCAAAACATGACCTCTTCGTTTTCCCGCCAAAGAAAACCCTAATATGGAGAAGGCATTGTCCGATTAGCCAATCGTGTTGAAGTATGACGTCAAACCGAAGTATTGATTGATTTCAAGAAAGTTCTCGGGCGTGAAGTTTTTTCACCCAAGCGTTCGCTTAACCAAACAAATGCCACGCGGGTTTTCATTCGTTCAATAAACCAAACAAATCGCTCTATTTCGGTTCGTTTGTTGTTTCTGTTTTGTTCGCGCTTTTTCGTTTCAAGGTCATACGAAAATCGCTCTATCAACAGCAGCTGGTTGCAATCAATCGCTAATACAAAATCATACACAAAGACAGAGTTTAACGATGGTTTATAGGGAAAACCGACTATCACGTCGAAAACCAATCCAAAGTATATTGCAGAACAGTCGGTTTTTTTTCTCAGAATTAGTAAAGAAATCGGAAAATCGTGGCGTAAGAGTCTTACGCGCTCGAAGCGCGCCAGTCACACACACCCTTTCGGGCTTGTGAGGCGAGAGAAAAAAAACCGTCTCTCCCCAGCCTCGCTCTCTGTTTTCAGCCTTGTTCCAGACCTTTTGTTTGACTGCTCGCGCGTACTTGAATACGCAAAAATACGGACTGTTTTGCAGTCTAAATCCAATGTATTTACTGGACCCATGCAAACAATATGGGGCAGACCTTTTGATAAACAACGATCTATGACGAGTCACAGGGAGGAGTTAAGATAAGAAACTTATTATCCATTAAGAAAACTTGCTAGCTAGGGTGTTAAACAAAGACACAGTAGGTAGTTACTTAAACAAATCATGCCGTCTTGGACTGTCTTGTGTGTCAAAGTTTAATCAGTAGCAAATGATCAGAATGTTTAAAATATCCATTAAAGCCTCAACTTTATGACACCGGCCAACACGACGTGGCAATTCGATGAGTAATCATGTTGCAAAAAGCAATATATGCCTTGAATGACAATCAACTATTTCTCAATTTCATTTTATTGAAAATGTATCGAAAACAATATCATTTTGCGCAATTTAATGCGTACCAAATAAACAAAAAAAACTCGCTTATTTCCATGTAAAATGTCTTCTTATACACGTATACGGAAGGAAGTGGTAAAATTGTTTTTTGGATAAAACTGATGTAATTAGCCCCACCCCCTCCCTGACAAATGATAAATGTAAGTAGTAAAAACGTTCGACTTTATTGTCTTTATTGGCTGGCACATTTACCGGTGGACCCAGAAGTTACATCGTAGGCCAAAAAAAAAAACTTCAGTGTGTATGAAGTGTGCATGTATTGTGTTTCTCTTTGCGGTTAAAAGTTGCTAAATGACAGGAGCATGCTTTTCTCCACTCCCCTCCCTTGAAATAGAAATTGTGGGCGAACTTTCATGATTATGAAAGAGCGCTCGTAACCACCGAACAGGAAAATTAATGTGTCGCAGAAAACACATTTTAGTTTAAGAATAGTGGAAAATATACGATTTTGAGATTTTTTTTTTCATTTTCACGTTGTTACTGTTGTTCTGTGAGTGGTTACAATAATTACTTTTTTGGACTCGCTCTTTCTAAATATCTATGGAAACATTAAGTACGGGGTCTCGTACAAAAGTTTCAACTTTATTGTAAACGCACGTACCGAGAGTTGCTTGCAAGACGTTGAACTGGGACAAGAGGAAACTGAATAGGTTCAACCCTGGGCCTTATACTTCATTGTTTCGTCAAACATTATGGTTCTAAGTAATCTCAGAGCAAGAAGCCCTTTGCTTGATATTGGAGCCATATTATGACTGCTTTGTGGTTCCATATCATGGTATTTTAGTATTATGACGTCATTTAGCTATCGATCATTTGTTCCAATCGGTTGCGCTGTCAGGAGAGCTCTTTCCTGATTAAATGGTATATTTTTAGCATTCTTCAAAACATCTTAACTTTTTCACGTGAACTTTATTGATATGAATCAGTTACAAGTATTGTAATATATATTCTCAACAGTATAAACTACTAGTTTTCGTCTCTCTCAACAAATAAGCTCGTGTTCTTCTTCTTATCATTATTATTCTTATTAATATTATTCTTATTATTTTTATTAATAATAATAATAATTGTTATTATTATGTATTGTTATTGTTGTTGTTATACCGGTAAATCTTTTTGCCACTCTTGGTACATTCAGTATGCAAGATTTATTGACATAGTTTTGATCTCTCTCCTCTTTAGTTAGTTTTCTTCATTGCATGCACATGGTTAACAAAATCTAGTAAACTCACTTTACTGTACACAGAACTTTTTGCCCATGCAAATTTGGAAACTCGGCCCTCCGTTTATCAAGTCACTCGTCATTCGTCCTAAACTAACTAGTTTTTTCTCTTTGCCCTCTTTCGGACTTTGATAAATAATACTTTCAGAGTTTCCGTTATTTGTTAATTATTCCAAAGCAAACTGAAATCTCATGAACTTATACTCACTCGATCAAATATTTCTCCCTTTGCCTTCAAACTGAGAGTACAAGAGGTTTCAGTTCCCGTTTATATTTAGTGTCATTTTTCCAATTGTATTGCTGGAAAGTTAATATTTTCACCACTCAGAGAGAAAAAGGCCGATTAAGTTATTCTCAGTTAGATCCTTTCTTTAGTGGGGAAAAATATTTCGAAGTATGTCCATAACAGTTTGTCGAATGTGTCTCATCTTCCAGCAGTAGATTAAGGGATTGAGGGATGAATTGAGATGCAAAAGAATCAATGTGAAAGACCTTAAATGAGATATCAAGGGAGTTTCACCGTTGACGGTATTGGCAAAAAGATAACAACAAAATGGCAAATAGCAAACTAAGTACGCGAAATAAACGTAGAATGTAGCCAGCGAAGATTTTTTCAGCCTTGCGGCATTTGCCATATCTTCATTCTGTGTCGCCTGTTGAACTTGCAGAGCGTGAATCTGATTTGTGTGGTGTCTGACGGAAGCGTATATCTTGCAATAAAGCAATCCTGTGATTATGACACAAACAAAGAAAATGACCGCTCGCATAATAGGATGACTTGGAAAGGAAATTGATGCACTAAACACCCAGAATGAGATCACAACAGCAACAACACGTTTGTAAGTCACAAGCTCCTGATATCTGAGATGAAGTTGAATGGCCAAGAACCTGTCCACAGCTAATGCAAAAACACCAAAATTCGAAGCAGAGACCAATATTCTTGCCTGGATTGAACGCGCTAACCTTACTGTAGAATAAGCAGTACTGTTTTTTTCTATCACAAGAAGTGCAACAGACAGTGGATGGATAAGTAAGCCTACACCCAGATCAGACACAGCCAAGCTTAGTAGCAATGTTTTTAAAGTCTTAGGCAACGACGACGTTTTTCTGAGCGCTTGCATTGTTATGATGTTTAATACGATGGCGGTGAACGACAAGAAAGCGTTGAAGAAAACAAATGTCAAATTCAAGCCTTCCGCACTCGCCATCTTTTTTTTTTTTTTTTTTTTTTACATAGCCCTAATCAGCGTTCAGTTTCTATAATACGTAAAGATCTGAATTTCATTGCTTTCTAGGTTTCATCCGTTTTTGAATGAGACTGACCTTCAGCTTCCACCATTGAATGGAGCGTTATATACAGTCTTAAGTTTCAGCAGCTGTGTAGAACGTTTGAGGAACTCTGCAAGTGTTTTCTTTTTCGCACGAGACTGAGACTGGAAATTACTCTTTGCGAGACTTACTGAATATTCTCCAGACTTCCTCCTCCGATGGCAATTGGTTTTTAACTGAGAACTGTGGAGTTAGTAAAAAAAGTCCCTAAGTCGTGCTCACAATATCCAAACTCTCACCTTGCTTGAAATTGAAACTTTGCATGTCTGAACCCGCAGTTGAAACTTTAAATGTAACGTTATCATCACACAGTAATTAGTATTAATTTTCTTTCAAGCGAAACGCAATAGGTCGGATAAATGTTGAAGTTCGTCAGTTAAAAAGGAAGGAAGTTATATGAAACTAATGATGCAATATTAAATAAGCAAAAGGCAGTTGGTTTTCAATCATGAATCGCAAACATACAATCAGACAGAACGAGCTGAGAGGTGACTTGAGAGGAAAACGGAATTTTTACGTCGAAAACCAATCCAACAGTATTTGCTGGACCCATGAACACATTTTCTGATAAATTGCATGCTCACGGGTGACTTAAAGAGTGTGAGGCGGCCTAAAGATACAGCACCCTAGTTACTTAATAAATCATCTGTTCCTTAATAATTAGAGCAACTAATAAGATGCAAGTCGTATTATATAGCTTCAGTTTCTTCAGTTTTAAAACACACAGGCTGAATATTATGTTTTTTCTGCCGATTTTAGGCTGAAAATATTTTTGTATTATAATTCTTTAATTGTATCAGGATAAAGTTCGTCAGTCAAATGGAAGTGAGTTATTCGAAACTATTGGCGCGATATCAAAGTAGAAATGGCAGCTGGTTTGTGGTGAATCGTAAACACAAAGTCAAACAGAAAAGAGTTAAGCAATGGTTTAGAGGGAATGCAGACTATTAAGTATGAGACCAATCCTACATGTTTGCTGGACTCAAGCGAAAGAAACGCACGTTTTTTTAGTAACTATGACAAACGACGAGTCTCTTGACATGAGAGAAGGAACTTGTTCCCCGTACAAAAAGAAATTACTAGCTAAGCTTTTAAAACATAGACCAGCACAGTAGGTAGTTAGTCTCGCTTGTGTGCGCGCACAACACAACTGAACACTATTTTTTCTCCTTCTAATTAGCGAAAACCTTTCAGAAACACAAAGTTTTTCAGTATCAAATGCCAATACTCTTCTGGATTTTTCCAAATTGGAAATCCACATTTTAGTTTGGAAGGCGTTAAAAGCTGACTATTAGGTCGGACACCAATCCAACGTGTTTGCTGAACTCAAGTAAAAACTATAAAAAACGCCCAAGTTTTAATTAAATACGACTTGCGACGAGTCTTAGGACTGGGGGTTCAGAAAAAAAAGACATTTCCTATAAAAAAACTTACTAGCTGGGGTTTTAAAACAAAGATACAGTGGGTAGTTACTTAAAAAATCATTCGGTCACATATGTGTCAGACTTGATCAGCTGCAAACGATCAGAACGTCTAAAACACCGGCCCATTGTCTGAGTCTTAGCTTAATGAAACCAGCCAACACCAGGAGGCAATTCAATGAGTAATCATATTCCAAAAAAGTAATATATGCCTTAAACTACAATCAACTCGAGAAGTATGTTTCAATTTCATTTTATTAAGAAAGTAATCAAGGACCATATACTATGCTTTATTAACTTACTTAATGGATAGTGGTATTAAATTCATCCGAGGCAGCTATCAAAACGTGAATCATATTTATTTATCTCCAGCTTTTTAGGTTAATATAAAGAAAGTTCATCATTGCTTGCAATTTAATGCGCATTTAATATACAAGACGATACTTTCTCCCTTCATTGACACATAAAGTTGTACTCGTAGCATCCGAAATATTCCCTTGTTTGGAATTAAAACAAGAGCAGAGCATTAAAACAGAGCCAGTAATTCATAATTTATAAAGTCCTCATCACACAGTAATTTGAATATATTTTCATTTAAACCGAAACGCGATAGTAACTAATTCACATTCGCATAAAAGCCACCTTATGCCTTTTGATGGATAAGTTATGGGTGAAAAATTTTGCATAAGGCATAATGTGGGCCGATAGAGAAAATTTGCCAGCGCCGCTGAAGGGGAGGAGGGTGGGGAAACTTGCTTGCCCGTTGTAGAGTAGACTTGCGAGAAGACGGTGAATTTGTTTGCTAGGGCGTATAAAAGGCCTAGGGAATTTCCCTGGGGACCGTAAAGGAGCAATAGACTGCTTCGCGGGGGAGCACACACTAATCTAGTTGATTAAATCGTCAAGCGGCGGCTTTTATACCAATGAGAATAGTAACTAATTAGTAACTATATTATTCTAATGATATAAAGATACAAGACATACAATAATTACGAAATTACAGAAGAGATTATGCAATTATTTGATAATGAATTCAAAATACAATAATTACAAGCGGCTAGAGGAGGGATAGAAAACTTGCAGATGTAAATGTAGATTTAGAGGCCAACAAAACCACAAGCACATAAATAGAAACAAGAAACAAGACCTTTAAATTTTTTTTATTTCATTTATTAACAAAAGAAAATTTTAAATTCCTTTCATTTCATTCATTAACGTATGTATATCGAGATACGAATACTGTTTTAAAAAGATTTGAAATAAGGATTCTTTTTTTTTCATTTTTTCATTTGCCACCTTATGGCCGTGGGGTGATTAATTACAATAATGAATTCAAAATATATTATTCTAATGATGTAAAGATACGGCAAGATATACGATAATTACGAAATTACAGACGAGATTAATTACAATTATTTTGTAATGAATTCAAAATACAATAATTACAAGCGGCTAGAGGAGGGACTTGTAGGTCCGTGCACACTTCGGCCAATCTAATTTTCTATTTTTCCAACAAAAACGGAAAAAGGAAATATAACTTATCGTTATCATATTTACATATTTAAAAGTACAGAAAAAAATAGAAAAAAAGAAAATGGTCAGGAAAACTGATCATTTTTTCATTTTCCTAATTTTGAAGTCCGCTTCTTGAAAAATTCAAAAAATACTGTAAACGACGAAAAGCGATATTTTGCTATTTTTTATTTTCTTGATATTGTTAGAAAATGAGAAAAATGAAATAATCTCCGATTCTTAACTCATTTTTCTATTTTTTCCGTTTTTCGCAAAAAATAGAAAAAAGGAAAAATGAAAAAATAATATTTATTCCCACCATTTTTCATTTTTTCCATTTTGTTCAAAAAATGAAAAAATAGAAAAATAGCGTACCTGTCGCCTAATTTTCCATAATTCCATTTTAACAAGAAAAATGAAAAAAATGACAAGTGTTGCGAACAATTTTTTCATTTTTTCAATAAATAGAAAACAAACAAACAAACAAAAACGGGCAATTTTTCATCTTTTGTTTTAATGAAAAATAGCAAATAAAAATGACAAATCATGAGCATTTGCCAATAAAGAAAAGAAAAACCTAATCCACTTTAGACTCACTAGTTTTAGTGTTAGACGATTTACACAGGGTCGGCGGAGGCGTGGGATGGGGAGGGTGGGTTTGGGTCCTTTAGTTCTCGGAATGTGAACGTAGTTTCATTCAGTTTTGGATTTGATTAGCTGATTCCTTTACCTCATTACTTAGGACTTACTCTGTGACCTGATCTAACATCTCGTAACCATAAAGTGTTCCTGTTGCATTTAAACTGTGGGACGTTTCCCCATACTTGCTCTTTGCTCTCCTCTTTCCAGGGCTGAGTTGCTTAAAAGGTGGATAACTATCCAGTGGATAACGCAATTGGTTTCCCTAAAATACATGAAAAATGATCAGGCCGCTGGATAGTGATTTATCCGGTGGATCGTCGCTATCCAATGTATGAGCAAATGTATGGGCCAGAGCATTAAGATGTTCTTTCCAGCGAGTGTATACTAGGCGCCTCGTTATTTTTCTCCTCCATAATAATAGTTCAATATACTTTACTCTTGCAATCCTAAAACACCAGTTCTGCGGCAAGATCCGTTATTTCGGCAGGCTAAGCAGTCTACTTTTGAGCAACTATTTAATTTAAAAACGTCTGACCTCTTCACTGGCGCGCTCTTTATTTATTTTGTGCATGTGACTGTCCAACGACCTTCTTGTTTTCCCCTTAATATCTCTCACGAACCGCTTTTTTTGTGCTGGGACCATAGTGTTGCTGGCATGAAAACCGTTGAGTTAACCCCCTTTTCTCGTACCAATTTTCACGCCTTCTCCTCCTCCCTCGTACCCTTTCTCATATTCTTCATTTCCACGACCACAGTCGACTCCCGACAACTCAAACCTTCAGGGGAAATCGAGATCAAAAGAGAATGGAACTAGGTCCGCATCTCGAAAACTAAGCCGCCCCCCCCGCCGACCCTGTGTAAATCTTCTAACCAAATTAGTGAGTCGATAGTGGATACGAATTAGGTTTTTCCTTTCTTCACCGTTAAATATTCATAACTTCTCACTTTTCTGCGCCATTTTTCAATAAAATGAAAAATGAAACTGTCTGAAAGGGTGTATCGTTAAAGTTTTTCTATTCATCCAAAAAAAAAAAAATGGAAAATTGCTCTAACAATATCAAGAAAATAAGAAATAGCAAAATATCGCTTTTAGCCGTTTACAGTATTTTTTGAATTTTTCAAGAAGCGGACTTCAGAATTAGGAAAATGAAAAAATGATCAGTTTTCCTGACCATTTTTTTTTCTATTTTTTTCTGTACTTTAAAATATGTAAATATGATAACGATAAGTAATATTTCCTTTTTCCGTTTTTGTTGGAAAAATAGAAAATTAGATTGGCCGAAGTCTTGTTCTTCTTATCATTATTATTCTTATTACTGTTATTCTTATTATTTTTATTATAATAATAATTATTATTATGTGTTGTTGTTGTTGTTGTTGTCGTTGTTATATCGGTCAATCTTTTCACCACTCTTGGTACATTCAGTATGGAAGATTTATTGACATAGTTTTGATCTCTCTCCTCTTCAGTTAGTCTTCTTTATTGGATGCACTATGGTTACCAAAATCTAGTAAACTTTTTAAGACACTTTACAGTACGTACACAGAACTTTTTGCCCATGAAAATTTGGAAACTCGGCCCTCTATTTATCACGTCACTCGTCATTCGTCCTAAACCACCCAGCTTTTTCTTTTTGCCCTCTTTCTGACTTTGATAAATAATACTTTCAAAGTTTCCCGTTATTTGTTAATTATTTCAAAGCAAACTGAAATCTCATGAACTTATACTCACTCGATCATATATTTATCCCTTGGCCTTCAAACAGAGAGTACAAGAAGGTTTCAGTTCCCGTTTATATTTAGTGTCATTTTTCCAATTGTATTGCTGGAAAGCTAATATTTTCACCACTCAGAGAGAAAAAGGCCGATTAAGTTATTCTCAGTTAGATCCTTTCTTTAGTGGGGACAAATCGCGAAAATATTTCTAAGTATATCCATAACAGTTTGTCGAATGTGTCTCATCTTCCAGCAGTAGATCAAGGGATTGAGGGATGAATTGAGATACACAAGAGTCCTTGTGAAATAAGATAAATGAGATAACAAGGGAGTTTCACCATTGGTCTGGGCAAAAACAACACAATACAATGGCAAATAGCAAACTAAATACACGAAATAAACGTAGAATGTAGCCAGTGAAGATTTTTTCAGCCTTGCGGCATTTGCCATATCTTCATTCTGTGTCGCCTGTTGTACTTGCAGAGCGTCACGGTGAATCTGATTTGTGTGGTGTCTCACGGAAGCGTATATCTTGCAATAAAGCAATCCTGTAGTTATGACACAAACAAGTGCAATGACCGCTCGCATAATACGAGGACTTCGGAAGGAAATTGATGCACTAAACACCCAGAGTGAGATCACAACAGCAACAACACGTTTGTGGGTCACAAGCTCTTGATATCTGAGATGAAGCTGAATGGCCAAGAATCTGTCCACAGCTAATGCAAAAACACCAAAATGCGAAGCAAAGACCAATATTTTTGCCGGGATTGAACGCGCTAACTTTACTGTAGAATAAGCAGTACTGTTTTTTTCCATCACAAGAAATGCAACAAACAGTGGTTCGACAAGTAAGCCTACACCGAGATCAGACACAGCCAGGCTTAGTAGCAATGTTTTTAAAGTCTTAGGCAACGACGACGTTTTTCTGAGCGCTTGCATGGTTATGATGTTTAATACGATGGCGGTGAAAGACAAGAAAGCGTTGAAGAAAACAAGTGTCAAATGCAAGCCTTCAGCACTTGCCATTTTTTTTTTACATAACCCTAATCAGCGTTCAGTTTCTATGATATGCAAAGAATTTCATTGCTTTCTAGGTTTCATCCGTTTTTGAATGCGACTGACCTTCAGCTTCCACCATTGAATGGAGCGTTATATTTAGTCTTAAGTTTCAGCAGCCGTACTTTTGAGGAACTCTGCAATTTTTTTCTTTTTTGCACGAGACTGACGCTGGAAATTACTCTTTGCGAGACTTACTGAATATTCTCCAGACTTCCTCTTCGAATAACAATTGGTTTTTAAATGAGTACTGTGGAGTTAGTAAAAAAAGTCCGTAAGTCGTGCTCACATTATCCAAACTCTCACCTTGCTTGAAACTTTGCATGTCTGAACCCGGAATTAAAACTTTAAATGTAACGTCATCATCGCACAGTAATTAGTATTAATCTTCTTTCAAGCGAAACGCAATAGGTCGTATAAATGTTGAAGTTCGTCAGTTAAAAAGGAAGGAAGTTATATGAAACTACTGATGCAATATTAAATAAGCAAAAGGCAGTTGGGTTTCAATCATGAATCGCAAACATACAATCAGACAGAACGAGCTGAGAGGTGACTTGAGAGGAAAACGGAACTTTTACGTCGAAAACCAATCCAACAGTATTTGCTGGACCCATGAACACATTTTTTGATAAATTGCACGTTCACGGGTGACTTAAAGAGTGTGAGGCGGCCTAAAGATACAGCACCCTAGTTACTTAATAAATCATCTGTTCCTTAATAATTAAAGCAGCTAATACGATGTAGGTCGTATTATATAGCTTCAGTTTAAAAGACATAGGCTGAATATTCTTATTTTTCTCTGCCGATTTTGGGCTGAAAATATTCTTGTATTATTCTTTAATTGTATTAGGATAAAGTTCGTCAGTCAAATGGAAGTAAGTTATTCGAAACCATTGCCGCGATATCAAAGTAGAAATGGCACCTGGTTTGCGGTGAATCGTAAACAGAAAGTCAAACAGGAAAGAGTTAGTCGATCGTTTAGAGGAAGCGCGGACTATTAGGTCTGAGACCAATCCTACATGTTTACTGGACTTAAGCGAAACAAACGCCTATTATTCAAAAATAAATACGTGGGCAGCCAGAGGCTAAATTGCGTATTTACGAATAAAACTAAGCTAAAAATAAAATAATTTACCATACATCAATATTAAATATATTAAAAATTCATGCATATAATATATAAAAGCATTCAAACCGAATCATTTAATTGTACTTTAATTAGGCACGATGACAAAATAAAAGTGTTCTTAAAACGGTCCGTTTTCCACTTTGGAAGTGCAAAGTATCGGTGATTTCTTAGTAAATATGGAGCCTTATTGGCTTCAGTTAATAACTTGTTAAGTTTGTTATCCTTGTTGCAGAGGGCAGCGTTAAAAACCTTGTCACATATGTCCTCGCAATATGAAATAATGGTCGGAATACCAGTTTCATTAAGTGCCTCTCGTCATAAGACAGACTGGGGCAAATGATTGATAACGCCCTTTTGTTTTAGTAGCTGTGACAAACGACGAGTCTTTTGAGTTGAGAGAAGAAACTTGTTCCCCGAAAAAAAAAGAAAATTACTAGCTAAGCTTTTAAAACATAGACCAGCACATGCAGTAGGTAGTTAGTCTCGTTTGTGTGCGCGCCAAAAGGGAATCATGGTCCCGGGCGTTACTAGCGGAGATCGTGGAAACTGAAGATGGGAATTGCTACCTGTCACAGCGCCATGCTCTATTTTGTAAACAAAGCTTAGGAAAGATTGATGCAGAGATGCTGAGCTTTCCGGGAACGGGTCGGTCCACAAATTCTATTGCTTGAAAGCGTTGATTACTTTGGAACAGGTGAATGCTTCAGTGAAAACTTCGATGGTGAGGCTATAAACTGGTCGGGCGTTGTAAACTTTCATGATATGAAAATGAGTCTTGTGATGAGTATGCGGTTTATTTTTGGCGATGATTGAAATGACGCGCCATGTTCATTACGTTTTTACTTTCTAGGAATGATTTGTATTTGTACACGCATGTATTTTGAAGAAAATATTCATTAAATATTCTGAATTTATTAAATTTTCTGAAGAATATACGACCGTCGATAAAGTGGGAAGTGAAACCTTTAAGCGAAGAAATCCTGCTTCGTGTAGAATTAATCGCCTCCTTATCTCTTATCTAATCTCCAAGCAACCGAGACTGGCCCTTTTAAGGTGGCTCCGTCATTAATATTGGAGCATTTGGCTGTGACAAATTTTCCGTCATAACTTTTTCGTTTTAAGAGCGATGGCTGCGAAACTTTGCAACGAACAACAGATATCATTCGGAAATAGTACGAAATATTCCGATTTTATTGATTGTAAATATTTCTTGAGAAATTAGCGCTTAAAAGGACCCTGGTGTTCAAAGAAAATCGCGTCTAGTAAAAAATTTTGCTGATACTTTTTATTGACATTTTTGGTATCGGCTTTCATTGACATAATAAATGTGCCAAAGAAATTTCAGAAAAATCGTTAGAGCAGAAGTCAGTAACTAAAAGTCGCTCAAAATTCAGCTGTGAAATTGTTTTGGAATTTAAAAAATAAATTACTATCAGGTAGAAGGAGCCACCAGTTCAAATTTTCGGGACAAGTAAATTCAGTGTTTGCTAAAAATGAAAACAAAAGCTGATTGCCTATCGTGCTATTCTTTAAAAGCTACTTTTTAGTTTTAGAAGCACTATAAACTGCTCCAAACCTTGCTCTGACGTCGAATGACTTGTTCCTCGACATTTTTAAAATATCAAGCGGGCAAGATGAGCCCTTTTTACCCACTTGGGATTTCCCGCATTGGTCCCGCAAGTAAAAGGTCTCTTCTTGGCCATGTAATAATTCATTTATTGACCAAGCTTGTTCGTTCAAGATGGCTGAATATTGGCCTCATTCATTTTTGCATTTTTATTGACCAAGACCAGGCTGTGCTCTGTGGCCCGTGGCACCTACATCTGTAACTTTTGTTCTCGGGTAACCAGAAAATCTTTGCTTTTTCATAGAAACATCTTTTGTTGGGCGCACTGGATTTCACAAGTTGAGAGTGCTGGACTGCCTTCAATTGTTCTTAGAGCACAGCCTTTCAAGAGGAAGGCAGGGTCAATAAAGATGCAAATATCCAGCCATCTTAACCTTACACCCAGTCAATAAAGGATAATTATTTATCACAATTTTATGGTTGAATCCATTAGCGGGCAAGATGCATGAAGCAAATCCTGTGATCTAATTAGCTACTCATGTGGGCAAACCAATCAAGCTTGTTTGGTGAAGATAGCTGGGTATTGGCCTCGCAAAAAAGAGTTTGGCCAATATCCCGCCATCTTGACCGAATGTTGGTCAATAACGCATAATCATTTATAACAATAATAATTATTAGAACTTTGTGAACATCTTTTCCAGAAAGGCATTTTATATTGCTTAAAAAGGGCTAGGTTATGCTATATTTTGTTCTGTGAGAGGCTTAAATGTGTCGTGGCGTAAATTAAGCTCCAAAAATAATGGTCCAGTTTTGTTATTTAATACTTGATTGAGGCATTGGGACTGTTTCCTGTCACCTCTTGCTATGTATGACAAGGATGAACATGGACTGACACTTGGCCAACTTTTTCAAGCTTAAAATAATACTCTGACTGCGTAAATCACCAAGAATTATTATGGTTTGTACTTCCTGATCAAATTGGCTTGATTCATGTATCTTCTTCACAATTCTACAAGTCGAGCATTTTGTGTATGGGTAAAGACACTAAGTGATGACTTCAGCATAGAAGTGACCTAAAACGTACACATGAAACATACTTTGTTTGTTGTTGTTCTTTTTTTGCATTTGAATCTTTGCACTGGTCATAGAAAATTGTGTAGTTTAGACTACCATGTCAGAAGAGTAATATAATATTACACAATATAATATTATCCTGAAGCAGAATGGTGATATAAGTAAGTGGTATACGATCATACAGGTTAGTATAGTACTTAGTGGGACTGTTGACAGGAACTGATATTTGGACAATGCCCATGAAAATGATGATTACCTTGTTGTCAAAACGTTAGTCGCTGTCAACAACAGTCCTACTCGGGACTACAATGTACATTCACCCGACAAATCATATTCCACTTTGCTGAAATATTATAGACAACCAAACCTATCACTAGCCATAAGCAGCACATGGAAGTGTTTATCACTATCTGCTATAAAGGATATTAATTTGTTAACAGATTTGACATTTTCTTTACAAAAAAAACACCACGTTGTCTGCGTTGTCCTAAAGAAAATTTCTAGTGGATTTCCTAAAGGAAGCCTCTTACTATTCTTGTTCATTGCTAGTGTGAATAGGCACTCACACTTAAAATGTAATTTAACTTAACCAAGAATACCTGATTGTCAATTTAGGAAGCAAGGAGAATAAAGAAAGTACTTGGAAACAGGGGCACCCAACGAGAGTATAGTTCAAAACCACATAAACATAGCATTGTTGAACGTACTTTAGTATTTAAACGGTAGATAAAGGCTTATTTTTATCCCCTAAAAATTTTTCATCTGTTCGGATTTCCTAGCTGAAAGTATAGTGATCCGAAAACAATAGGGATCAAAATTTACCTTTTAGAAAATTTCAGCCAGAAAAAAGGCTCCCGAAAATTCTAGGTGACCTTTCTAGGGTAAAAATCCGTTAAAAATGGGCAATTATACGATTTTTATGAAGTTCGAAAATCCTAGGAGAGGCAGGCAAGCAAGAAATTTGTCAGAAAATGATCCGAAAATTCTAGACCTCAAATCGTCTTCCGAACAGATAGTTTTCCGAAAATTGTCGTTGGGTGCCCCTGTTGGAAAGATTGCTTTGGTATTATTTTGTGCAATAAAAATGTCGAGAGAATGGGTTTTTGTTACTATAGATGGCGGGAAAACCACCCCAAGATAGTGAAAAGCGCTTTTTTCACGATGGAAATAACTTGAAAACACCAGTTTCCGACTCGTAAACTCGTGTTTCCTCAATAGTTACATCCGATTACGTTGACGGAAACATGAAATTGATTCTTGAATTCCCCGCACCCAAAAAAACTGACAACCAGAAATGCGGTGCGGGATAAGCAGACAATTCTTAGCCCATTTATTGAACTAACCAACTAATCACAAAACAAAAACAACTGTTTACACTGTTTAGACACCAAAAAATTAAACAAACTCTATACGTTCGATCCGGCCAAAGTAAATTGAATAAACAAAACCACTTATAATGACTGTCAATCATCAGGAAAGCACAACTAAAACCGTTCCGAGGAAATGGATTACAGGATTTCAACCAAAATATAAAAAAGAACAAAATTTAACTGTCCGCTTGTAAAAATCCACAATGAAACTTGTTTACTGTTCAGCGAATATATACTTGCTAGTTTACATATCACACTTTCTTCCCATAATCTCACGCCGGCACTTAAAACACACTGCCGACAAATGCACTTGTGCTTGGGAATTCAAGAAACCATTTATCTTTTGTTTCATTACGCTTCGCTACATTCAGGCAAAGATAAATGAACAATTCTTGAATTCCCCGCACCCAAAAAACTGACAACCAGAAATGCGGTGCGGGATAAGCAGACAATTCACAATCAGTGGCAAAAGCATATAAGGATACAATATAAGGCAATGTTCATTAAGCAAACATATTTACAGTATAATAGATAGCTAATCGCTTGGATACCATAAGGGTACTGTCCAAAAATTGTTAAGCATATCCACCTGCGGCAAGGATTCTGTGTCATCAAGCAACGTTAAGCCATCAGAATTAATTGGGCAAATGTAAATCTCTCCATACTGCAACAAACAACACAACTCGCGCAATGTTTATCAAGCAAATCACATACTGAAAATTAAAGAGCCAAATTTCTAGATACCACAAGGGTATTTTCCAAAGATTCATCGACATAACCATCTGCGGCTTGGATACTGCGCCAACCACCATGTCTACGCCATACTCTCCCAGAAACTCCGCTGCGTGCTGCTTGGGAAGCACCACCTGAACGAAGGCTATGTAAACCAAATTCGTTCGAGTCTAAACCAAGTTCGGAAATCATTTGACGAAACTGTTCCCGTGCCCGAGAATATGACAGAGCAGCTTGTCGCAGCTTGTACCCGGCACCCAATTTCTGGCAGAGACAAAATAAAGGCCGAGATGGTTGATGCTCTCCGCGCTCAAGGAATAACTCTAACAGTTTCACTGGACAAGAGCTGGAAGGTAAACGAGCAACTTTAACCACAGATCCCTGACGGAATTGATCGTTCTTACGCCTGTCTAGGAAAATAGACATGTCGGTGGCGCAAAACCTTAAGTCACAGGCACGTAAGTCACGCAGCTCTGACCAACGTAGGAAAGCACAAAAACCAAGCGCAACCAGCGACACCATTTGTAGGTTCGGTAGAGAAGCACGAGGGTGACCATAGGAACGAATCAGCGCCCTGACGTGATGAGATTGAATAGGCTGCTTTTTCCTAGATGGACCAGCCAGGAGGCGTTTAAAGCCAGCCAAGGTCTGAGAAACGAGCGGATCGTCGACAGGATTAGGACATCCAAGTTTCTTATGTAGCCATGCAATGCCATAAGCTGCGCCAAGGATTGACGAGCGAGATAAGCCTCGGTCTGAAAGACTTGTTAAGTAGAGAGCAACTGCGGTTGGGTTAGACTGTAAAGGAGGAAACGAGTAACACTTGCACCAGTCAATCCATCGATTGGCTGCCCCTGCATACGAAGACACGGTTGAAGCGGCACAGTCATTAAGTATGACAGTCCTTAACAGTTCTACAAGCCTCTGAATCTCCGCGTTGCTCCGTTGGTAAGGCGACAAGCCTAAAGTGAAAATCAACAATGTCCAAAACATGGCACTTTAAAGACAGGAACAACATCCAATTGCTACAGAACACTAAACGCGCAAGATACACATCGTCTGCAACGAGAACTGCCCACATGGCAAGTTAACACAACACCAGTACACACTCCAGCACAAGGAGGCTTGGCCCACTCGGCGTCAACTGGTAAGCAAATCCACACAAAGGATAGAGGAGTCCACTTGACTCTAAAAACGAACACACTACTGTGTCGGCAGTGCCCTCTCGGCTTGCTTCAGCTGCACAACTCGTGCGTACTAGTACAGTTCCAAGTCCACTGACTTGCAAAGAGCAAAGGCCCACACCTAGGCCAAAAAGGCTCAGATAGAACAAAAACAAATAATTAGGATGAACAACTCGTTCAAGGTACTCATCTAATACCCGAAAAACGTTCTACAGCAAAACTAAGGAAACACAATTCTCAAAGCAAATACCCTACACGAGGGAATACCATGCCCGAAAAGATCCGCGGCTGCGGAACCAGGGAGAAAAGTAGATTCATGTAAAGGAATCTCCCGCCAGTCAAGAACAAAAGGGTGGAAAACCCCGGGGCTTCGAGACACCAACGGCCACCAATGAGCAGATTGCCAAAAGGGGATAATGAGAGTGCCCTGTTCTCTACCCAGTTTCATGTGATTGATAACCCTGGGAATAAGGAACACTGGGGGGACCAACCAATTGTTTTCCCCTCCCCAGCTGACGGTAAAAGCATCAACAGTTTCGGTCCCAGGACACCACCATCGAGAACAAAACCTGGGCAACTGGAAAGAATTATGACTCGCAAAACGATCTACAGTTTGGGGTCCCCACAGAATATCCAACTGGCGAAAATGGACAGGGTTGAGCATCCAATCATTGGTGTCGACAACTTTCGACCAATAATCAGCTTTGAAATTAAAGTGGCGAGGTATCCACTCCGCAGAAAAGCGAATACCGGCTTCATGGCACAAATTGTAAATGGCAACCGCTTCTTTTTGCAAATGAGGCTTACTACTGCCGACGGACAAAATACTGCAGACGCTCTGTTTGTCAGATCTATGCTTGCACTCCTTACCCGCCAAAAGACCGGAAAACGACTGAAGAACAAATCTAATTGCACGAATCTCGCGGAAAGAAGAGCTGCTATAGGGCCTCGGAACCCAACCAGTTCCCTCTAGCGATGTGCGTACCAAATTGAACAATAAATCCCGCCCAACCCACATTGCTGGCATCCGAATAAGACAAAAGCTCTATCTTCGGGGAGGGCCTCCAGATTGGTTTGCCGCACAAACGAAAGAAATTATCTCTCCAAAAATTAAGTTCCTCTACAGCTTCACGCGTTAAAGCCACCTAGCAGCTAAGGCTATGAACGCTATTAAGGACTGCGTACAAGGCTCGGGTGCGCAAACGCACAATTGGACCTAAAGCGAGCTCCATGGAAATAAGGGTACCCGTAATACGAGACACATCCCTAGCCGTGGGTGAAACATCGTCAAGAAGCAGTGAAATCAGATTAAACAGGTGATCAATCTTGCCTGGTGGGATACTAAATTCTCCTTTGGTAAGGTCCAAAATAAAGCCTAAGTGCTCCCCTTTTTGGCGCGGTTCAAAATTGCTCTTCTCCTCATTCACTAGCAGGCCAAGGCAATCAAGATCGCCTCGCACTAGTTGCGCTTCCTGAGAACACGAATCTTTACTTGAATCGGTGCCGATACCGTCGTCCAAATAGACAGAAATCCTAATGCCTTGTGACCGCCAGTGTGAAACAACTGGTCTTAACAATTTGGTGAAAACGTAAGGAGACGTACTTAAACCAAAAGGAAGCGAACAAAACAAAAAATAGCGTGGCTTACCATCGAAAGTAAACGAAAAAGCCAAATACTTCCAATACTCTTGAAAAATGTCAACATGATGGTAGCCATTACGAAGATCGAAAGTAAAAAACCAATCACCTGGCTGAAGAATTTCCGCCACGACTCGAAGGTCTTCGAACTTAAACTTACGCTTGGCTAGGTGCTTGTTAAGAAAGCGAAGGTCGAGAATCAATCGAAGTTTGCCATTCTTTTTAGGAACTACACCTAAGGGACTGCAAACATGAACTCGGTCACGCTTGACTTCCACCGCGCTACCCGCCAACAACAATTGCTCGATAGCTTCACAAACAAAAGCTCTATTATCAACAGCGCTTTTATGATTACTAAAGAAATACCTCAATGGAATTGAAACAAAAGGTAACTTATAACCGCTTTCAATAACACTAAGAACAAAAGAAGAGGCCCCAATAGAACGCCAAACATGCAAAAACTTGCGCAAGCGGCCTCGAATCCAAAATACTGAGGAAACGCCCGTGTCAAGTTCAGCCTCGCCGCGATCCGAAAATTCGTCAAAATCAGAGTCAGCTAGTCATTTAGCGGAAGAGGAAACTTTACAATCCTTGATAAAATGGCCTGCTCTACCACAACCAAAACAGCGATAAACAGAAGCTTTTTTCTCCGGTACAGGATTAACCAAAAGTTGACCGACATCTGGGCGGAAATCCACGATTCTATGTGATGGGCCAAAATTAGCGCTGGGGCCGCTTTTGGAAGATGTAGACTGAGACTTGAAACGAGTTCCCATTTTGCTTCTCAGACTATTTTTTCGATTACGTTTCTCCCGAGACCTCTCTGCTTCCTTGCGCGCGACACGAAGTTTCTTTTCTTCTTCGTCATTTTTAGTGAGTGGGTCCGCCTCAAAATATTCTACCACGTCCCAGCCATCCCGGTCAGCAATAGAAATAAGCTTATTTCTGTTATCAAGGAGTGACATACCTTCGTTGGCAATCTTAGTGATGGCGTCATCCGCCCCAGCCCTCTCTAAAATCTGGTTGAAGTTATCCTTGACGTCAGTGTTGAACTTGAACTGTTTCTTGTTACTCTTATATTTGAACTCGGGCTCCTCCTCCGCAGACTTACGTTTTAATGAGTCGAGCTGTTCTTTGACAACCTTGACCTCTTGCGTTTTCGTCTCCAAGGCCTTTAAGATTTCCTTCGCCCACGTTGGGGGCTCAGGGCTGCGAGAAGCCGAGCGACTTCTACGGTGCGAACGCTCGCGGACACTCCTTCGCGAAGGCGAAGCACTACGACCAGAACCGCTTGAAGCTGCAACATGAGAGCGAGAACTACGACGGCCTGAACTTCGATGTTCTCTTGACCTGGACGGCCGGACAACAGGGTCTTCAATGTCCGCGTTGACTCTCGAAACATGAGAACGAACTGAAGCAGGGCGACCACGACGGCCCCGCGCCATATGGACGAGATAGGAAGAACGAGCTAAGAATTTAACTGTCCGCTTGTAAAAATCCACAATGAAACTTGTTTACTGTTCAGCGAATATATACTTGCTAGTTTACATATCACACCTTCTTCCCATAATCTCACGCCGGCACTTAAAACACACTGCCGACAAATGCACTTGTGCTTGGGAATTCAAGAAACCATTTATCTTTTGTTTCATTACGCTTCGCTACATTCAGGCAAAGATAAATGAACAACTTGTTTCCGGAACGTTTTCGCCTGTTTCCGCAAGGATGCCACGCATTAACGCTTGCGGGAACTCGTGTTTCCTTAGACGGAAATTTGACGGAAACGTATAAAAAATAATACGATTCCGCAGAAACTGCAGCGACGGAAACACGGGTAAACGTAATGTATCCGCTAACGGAAACATGTGATTGCCGTCATGTTTCCGCAACGGTTTTACGCGTTTACGTTAAGTTTTCATTTACGGATTCTTGAAATTTCGTCCTGTGCTCATATAAAAGCCATTTCTTCCAAAATGTAGTAATAATTCCTTATATGTTGTAATAGTTTGCCTTTTCTCTGTGAATCTTGTACTTATTAATTTTTATTCTCATTGTAACTTAGCAGCACATTGTAACTCTCTGACCTACGCCATATAAGCCTCTGGCTTTGGCATCTTATTATTGTTAACTTGTGCTTTGTATACTTATTTATCAATAAAGAAGAAATTATAAAGAAGAACTAAAATCGTCACTTAACTAAGTAAATTCGCACTGTTTCAAATTTCATCGAACTTATTCAGTTTCATTTACTGTGTTAAATGTTGACAAAATTCTCTGGGGTTGAATCCGAAAGGACCGTATCTGAGTTAAGAAAAAGATAATTTTTGTGCTGTGTTGACCAACTCCATAGAGCGGGCGCGTGAAATTAGGAAGTTCCATGTCGCAGTCGTGCAACGACGGCTAAGAAATGTAGCTAAAAAAAAGCGTGATGCACGTGCAAAGTTGTTATTTTGCTAAACCTATCGCTTTTTTGCCGTTCTCGTTGTTTTCGCCGTCGTCCTTGCTTAAGCTCTTCATTGTTGTCATCCAGAATTTTTGCTACCAAGGCAACGTGACGTCATACTTCTCTCTATTAGACCTATTTACTATTTTTTTTGCCGTTTTCGTTGCCGTCGCCGCGTAGCGTTGCTTTCTCTTTCTGTTATACATGGTCTGTTCAATCTTGAAAAGTCCTTGAATTCGGTTTAGGTCCTTAAAAAATACTTGATGTCTTTATTAGGTCTTGAAAAGTCTTTGAAATTCACAACCTTGTGGACACCTTCCTTTTTCTGTAAAATTACTCACATTATTTTCCCGAGGTGAATTAGGCTCATCCTCTGTGTACAAGAACCTGTAAAACTCACGGGTAAGGTAAACACATTTTTGTGCATGAACAATATTTTGCTAACCCTACCCTAAGCCTAACCCTAACCCCCCTTATCTAAGGGTCTGGATGACCGCCCCCCCTCGCTCTTATCCCAAGGTCTAGATCCGGCATTGAGTTGTACTTATATCATCTTGGTAGCTATTCTCCTGATTATAGACCAGTTAATTAACAGATTCTATTCGAGTGTTTTTTCCCCATGCTCTGATCTTACAGTAACAGTGCAAGGCAAACACTTCATCTTGTCACTCAAAGTTCGGGGTTTGAGAAATTGCGTCCAAAGAAACGAGTATTTATAGCTTTTTGAAAGATAGAAATGATTGGAAATTGTCAAAAAGCTCGATTTTACTCTTCTGCTTGCTAAATATTACTTGTACATAAATAAGTTAGCACCTAAAGATTTATCTTTTGATGAATTTAAGGCTAGAATCAGTTGGAGGTATGATTTCGAAAACCCTCTTCCTTCAATTAGTTAGAAAGAATTCAACTTTACCAGAATCAGAATCTGTTAATTAACAGGTCTAATGCTATTGTGTGAACTGCTGTGTTATTCTTTTCCGTTTTTATGTAATCATTATTATATTGTCCTATTTCTAATATTGTTATATACTTTCTTCTAGTTTTAAAATTTGTAACTGTAACATGTATTGTGTAAATAAACTACTCAGTAGTCTTGTTTGAGTAAATTATTTACAAGTATATTAACGAGAGTCTATAACTAGCTTCGCTTTTAGCGCTGGCTTAATCTATATATTATAACTAGTGGTAATCATAGATTAAAGAGTGCGTTCGATATGCGAAGTGGGTTATTTCCGGGCAGACCATAGCTTTTTGCAGGCTTCTATGAGTTAGTGTCCAGGGCCAAAAAAAAGTTGATGATGATGGCAATGATTAACATAATTGTTAAAAAACATTTTTATTGTCAAAAAGTTGATGTAGAACAATATGCACGAGGAGCCGCAAGAGGCGATATTTTTGCACGGCATCTGGCGGCACATCAGAGAATTTGGAATTGAAGGGCAAATTCCTAGAATATCTTCGCCAGTTAAGCTAGAGAAAAGGTGTTAAAAAACCTCAGGATCCAAAACAACACGTCAATCAAAATATCACTTGGACCTTTTCGCTAATGAAGAGCTATCAAGCGGCTAAGCTTGAATTAGACATATATTGAAATAGGAACTCGTGTCAATAAAGTATCAGAAGTGAGTGGGAATCGCTCCTGGTTAAAAAACTGGTTCACAGGGATATGCATCTCTTCTAGTTAAGAGAAGGGAATCAGAACTGCTTTTCATGCAGGAACAGGTTTTCTTCGGGCTAACTACAAAACTTCAGCTTATTTCACTCCTTGACATTGTCAAAGCGCATTTTGTAAAGATAACTTTTTCCGCTTTACCGGCTTTTTTTATATTCTATTCCATTAAACCTCCCTCAAAGAGCAAAATAATATAAATGCTGTTGTTAAAAAAAGCGTTTTACCTGTTTTCGTGAATTCGCTACCCAAAGATCACTATGCTCAAAGGACAGGGCAAAATTTCCGGGAGAGAGGCATTAATTTTTTTTCCCACAAGGTTACAAAGAGAAAATGCAATGATTATCATTATTAATGTAACCATCAGGCATACTCTGCCCACGAGTTTACGGACAGCAAATGCAGTGATTGTTATTAATGTAACCATCAGGTATGTTCTACCCACGAGGTTACAAAGAGAAAATGCAATGATTATTATTAACGTAACCTTCAGGTATGTTCTACCCACGAGGTTACAGAGAGCAAATGTAGTGATTATTATTAAATGTAACCGTCAGGTATATTCTACCCACGAGGTTACGGAGAGCAAATGCAGTGATATTATTAATGCAACCGTCAGGTATATTCTACCCACGAGGTTACGGAGAGCAAATGCAGTGATATTATTAATGTAACCGTCAGGTATATTCTACCCACGAGGTTACAACCTTCAGGTATGTTCTACCCACGAGGTTACAGAGAGCAAATGCAGTGATTATTATCAAATGTAACCGTCAGGTACACCGTAATTTTTAGGGAGTTATTATAACTCCAAAAATGGAGTAAAAATTTTAGGTACAGGATAACCCCTTTTTTGGGGTTATTTTAACTCCTAATTTAACTCCGAATTTGGGGTCATTTTTACTCCTGAAAAAGAGTTCTTTTTACTCCCAGTCTTGGAGTTAAAACTACTCCGAAATGGGGTTACTTGTACTCCTTACAGGGGTTGTTTTTACTCTTTTTGGAGTTAATTTAACTCTGAAAGTGGAGTAAAAATTTTAGGTACAGGATAACTCCTTTTTTGGGGTTATTTTAACTCCTCAATATCTGGGGTCACTTTTACTCCTGGAAAAGAGTTCTTTAAACTCCTTTTTGGAGTTAAAATAACTCCACGAAAAATAACTCCACTGTCAGGAGTTAACTTAGCCCCACTAGAGGAGTTATTATAACTCCCTGAAAATTACAGTGCAGCGTCAGTCTCGTGCAAAAAAGAAAACATTTGCAGAGTTCCTCAAACGTTCTACACAGCTGCTGAAACTTACGACTGTATATAACGCTCCATTCAATGGTGGAAGCTGAAGGTCAGTCTCATTCAAAAACGGATGAAACCTAGAAAGCAATGAAATTCTTTGCATATCATAGAAACTGAACGCTGATTAGGGTTATGTAAAAAAAAAATGGCAAGTGCTGAAGGTTTGCATTTGACACTTGCTTTCTTCAACGCTTTCTTGTCTTTCACCGCCATCGTATTAAACATCATAACCATGCAAGCGCTCAGAAAAACATCGTCGTTGCCTAAGACTTTAAAAACATTGCTACTAAGCTTGGCTGTGTCTGATCTGGGTGTAGGCTTACTTGTCCAACCACTGTATGTTGCAATTCTTGTGATGAAAATAAAACAAAACACAAACAGTACTGCTTATTATACAGTAGACGAAGCTTATACAATCCAGAAAAAAACATTGGTATCTGCTTCGCATTTTGGTGTTTTTGGATTAGCTGTGGACAGATTCTTGGCCATTCATCTTCATCTCAGATATCAGGAGCTTGTGACTCACAAACGTGTTGTTGCTGTTGTGATCTCAGTCTGGGTGTTTAGTGCATCAATTTCCTTTCTACATCAGTTGCATAATTCTGATATTATGCATGCGGTCATTTTATTTGTTTGTGTCGTAACTACAGGATTGCTTTATTGCAAGATATACGCAGCCGTGAGACACCACACAAAGCAGATTCACCGTGACGCTCTGCAAGTACAACAGGCGACTCAGAATGAAGATATGGCAAATGCCGCAAGGCTGAAAAAATCTTCACTGGCTACATTCTACGTTTATTTCGTGTACTTAGTTTGCTATTTGCCAATGTTTTGTGTTCTTTTTGCCAAGACCACTGGTGAAACTCCCTTGTTATCTCATTTATTGCATATCACATTGACTCTTGTGTTTCTCAATTCATCCCTCAATCCCTTGATCTACTGCTGGAAGATGAGACACGTTCGACAAACTGTTTTGGATATACTTCGAAATATTTTCGCGATTGGTCCACACTAAACAAAGGATCTAACTGAGAATAAATTCTGCCTTTTTCTCTCTGAGTGGTGAAAATAATTCAATGTTATAGCTTTCCAGCAATACAGTTGGAAAAATGACACTGCATGTAAAAGGGAACTGAAACCTCTTGTACTCTCTGTTTGAAGGCAAAGGGATAAATATATGATCAAGTATAAGATCATGAGATTACAGTTTGCTTTGGAATAATTAACAAATAACGGAAACTGTGAAAGTATTGTTTATCAAAGACAGAAAGAGGGCAAAAAGAAAACACTAGGTGGTTTAGGACGAATGACGAGCGATTTGATAAACAGAGGGCCAAGTTTCCAAATTTCATGGGCAAAAAGTTCTGTGTAAAGGAAAGCCTCTTAAAAAGTTTACTAGATTTTGTTAACCATGGTGCATGCAATGAGGAAAACTAACTAAAGAGGAGAGAGATCAAAACTATGTCAATAAATCTTCCATAGTAAATGTAGCAAGAGTCTCGAAAATATTTACCAATATGACAACAACAACAACACAATAGTAATAATAATTATTATAATAAAAATAATAAGAAGAAGAATACTAATAAGAATAATAATGAGAAGAGAACAACACAGCCTATTTGTTGAGAAAGACGAAAACTAGTAGTTTATACTGTTGAGAATATATATTAAAATACTTGTAATTAATTCATATCAATAAAGTTTACGTGAAAAAGTTAAAGTGTTTTGAAGAATGGAAAAATATACCATTTAATCAGGGTTTTTTTAAATTGTCGAGTCCAGAAATTACTGAATAAGATCACTACATTTGAAAGTTTCAGACTGGGAAAGAAAGAGCTTTCCTGACAGCGAAACCGATTGGAACAAATGATCGATAGCTAAATGACATCATAATACTAAAATACCATATTACGGAACAAGAAAGCAGTCATAATATGGCTCCAATATCAAGCAAAGAGCTCTTGCTCTGAGATTAAAAACTTAGAATCATAATGTTTGACGAAACAATTAAGTATAAGGCCCAGGGCTGAACCTAAGTACACAGTTTCCTCATGTCCTAGTTCAACGTCTTGCAAGCAACTCTCGGTACGTGCGTTTACAATAAAGTTGAAACTTTGTACGAGACCGTACTTAATGTTTCCATAGGCATTTAGAACGAGCGAGTCCAAAAAAGTAAATATTGTAACCAATGATATATAACACAACAACAGTAACAAAGTGAAAATGAAAAAAAAATTACAAAATCGTATATTTTCCACTATTCTTGAACTAAAATGCGTTTTCTCCAACACATTAATTTTGCTGTTCGGTGGTTACGAGCGCTCTTTCATAAGATGAAAGTTCGCCCCCAATTTCTGTTTCAAGGGAGGGAAGGAAGAAAAGTATGCTCTTGTCATTTAGCAACTTTTAACCGCAAAGAAAAACACAATCCATGCACACTTCATACACACTGAAGTTTCTTTTTTTTTTGGCCTACAATGTAACTTCTGAGTCCACCAGTAAATGTGTGAGCCAATAAAGACAATAAAGTCTAAAGTTTTTACTACCTACATTTATCATTTGTCAAGGAGGGGGTGAGGCTAATTATTGTTACATCAGTTTTATCCAAAAAAAAACATTTTTCCACTTCCTCGCGTATACGTGTATAAGAAGACATTTTACAAGGAAATAAGCGATTCTTTCGTTTATTTGGTACGCATTAAATTGCGCGCAATGATGTTGTTTTTGATACATTTCAAATAAAATGAAATTGAGAAATAGTTGATTGTCGTTTAAGGTATATATATATTGCTTTTTGCAACATGATTGCTCATCGAATTGCCACGTCGTGTTGGCTGGTGTCGTAAAGTTGAGGCTACAATGGATATTTTAAACATTCTGATCATTTGCTACTGATTAAACTTTGACACACAATACAGTCCAAGACGGCATGATTTGTTTAAGTAACTACCTACTGTGACTTTGTTTAACACCCTAGCTAGCAAGTTTTTTCTAATAGATAATTTTTTTTTGTTATCTCAACTCCTCCCTGTGACTCGTCATAGATCGTTGTTTACCAAAAGGTCTGCCCCATATTGTTTGCATGGGTCCAGTAAATACATTGGATTGGTCTTCGACGTGATAGTCGGTTTTTCCTATAAACCATCGTTAAACTCTTTCTTTGTGTATGACTTTGTATTAGCGATTGATTGCAACCAGCTGCTGTTAATAGAGCGATTTTCGTATGACCTTGAAACGAAAACGCGCCAACAAAACACAAACAACAAACAAGCGGAAATAGGGCGATTTGATTGGTTTATCGAACGGATACAAACCCGCGTGGCTTTTGGTTGGTTAAGCGAACGCCCAGGTGAAAAAACTTCACGCCCGAGAACTTTCTAGAAATCAATCGATACTTCGGTTTGACGTCATACTTCAACACGATTGGCTAATCGAACAATGCCTTCTCCATATTAGGGTTTTCTTTGGCGGGAAAACGGAGAGGTCATGTTTTGATCCTTTCATCCATTGGCTGATAAAACAAATAACGAACACTTACCGAAACCATTTTTTAAGGTCATACGAAAATCGTTCTACTTTAATATTGCTTCAGTAGTTTCAATCTCTTCCTTTCTGACCGACGAACTTCAACACTTAGTTCGACCTATCACGTTTCGGTTTAAATGAAAATATATTCACATTACTGTGTGATGAGGACGTCATATTTAAATTCTGAATTACGGGCACTAGTAAGACATAGTTTTAATTCCAAACAAGTGAATATTTCGGATGCTATGAGTACAACTTTATGTTTTAATGGAGAGAGAAAATATCGTCTTGTTTATTAAATGCGCATTAAATTGCGAGCAATGATGAACTTTCTTTGATTAAACTAAAAAAACTGGGGATAATATGATTCACGTTTTGATAGCTACCTCGGATGAATTTAATACCACCATCCATTAAGTTAATAAAGCATAGTATATTGTTTTTGAATACTTTTTTAATAAAATGAAATTGACAGAAGCATACTTTCTGAGTTGATTGTAGCTTAAAACATATATTGCTTTTTTGGAACATGATTACTCGCTGAATTTCCACCTGGTGTTGGCTGGTTTCATTAAGATAAGACTGCAATGAATGTGTTAAACGTTATGATCGTTTGCAAATGATCAAGTCTGACACATATAACCTGAGATCAGGCGTTATTATTTATGATGATTATTATTATTATTTGCTTCTTTGCTTCTTTGGCGCGACAGGGAAAAAAATAACGCCTGATACATTCATTTAACAAGCCATTAACCGCCCCCTAATTTACATAATCTCACGTCCGCTTGACCTGTCATGTTATTAGCCAATCAGCGGTTACCAGACGGGAATCAAATTTTTGTGGGAATAATGTCTCTTTCGCCGAAATCAATTTTAGGGAAGAGAAAATTTTTAAGTACGTGCAGATGGTGCTTCCTTAAAAAAAAATTTAAATTTTTTTTTTACCTTTATTTAACAGCTACAACTAATAAAGAATTTACAAGCTCGTTGACTTCGTTCTGTAGCGAAAGCAGTGAAAAAAAATTAGGCTGGAGCATCATATTTCACAAACTGAAAAGTGCTGTGAAAGCGAAGATCGCTCAGACTGATTCGCAGGTTTCTGAAGGAGAAACTACAGTCAAACCAGGTCGAGAGTCCATTCATGAATTGATTATTTGAAAAGTGAACCCGTTTGTCGCTTCTGTAACTTGTAGCCAGTATCAAATTGCATTCAAATGATCGGCGAATTTATGACGGCAATTTTTAGTAAAGGATGAAATGGAAAATATTTCAATGTCGGAAATTTCTATTTAGACGTTCTTCAAATTCAAGAAAACTGAGTTGGCAAAAATTTCATAACGAACTCGCGTGTGTATTAACTGCTCATTACGCAAGCAAAATGTAGACTGAAATCAACAACAACTAACGGATGGCGGCGTTTTGGCCAATCAAAACAGCGCAAATCATCCGTATTGTTTCCTATCCAATCAGGAAAAAGTCTAGATTCTGGCTTTTTTGCATGTGAGAAATGTATCATGCCCTCCTCCCGAAAACAGATTACAGAGATACAGGGAGAGGGCAGGATCGCAGGCTAGACACATGACCGAATGATTTGTCAAGTAACTACCCACTGTGTCTTTGTTTTAAAACCCTAGCTAGTAAGGTTTTTTTATAGGTAATAAGTTTTTTTTTTCTGAACCCCCAGTCCTAAGACTCGTCATAAGTGGTATTTAATTAAAATTTGTTCGTTTTTCTAATTTTTACTTGAGTTCAGCAAACAAGTTGGATTGATGTCCGACCTAATAGTCTGCTTTACCTATAAACTATCACTAAACTCTTTTTGTTTGACTGTTTATCTGCGATCCTTTGCAAACCAACTGCCTTTTCTAATTTAATGTTGCGTCAGTAGTTCAAATAACTTTCTTCCCTTTGACTGACGAACTCTCAACACCTACAAAGCTCGATCTTTCGCGTTTCTGTTAAAAGAAAATATATTCAAATTTCTAGCTGTGCAATGAGGAGAACCCCGAGCATTGCACTGAAAGTTTAAATTTCAGATAAGTTGAAATTTTATATTTTATGAGTGCGCTTCAGGGACTCTCTTATACCATTGGCTGTATTTATACCAGTCAAGAGGACGTCTAAGACGTCTTAGACCTTTAAGACGTTGCTTCTAAGCCTGTGTATTTCTGATCTAGGTGTAGGTTTTCTTATCCAGCCACTCTATGTTGCATATCTTACGATGGAAATAACTAAAAACAGTAAAAAGACTGACAACATTATTGCTTATTGGGCTGTTGTTAAAGCATATGCCATCCCTCACAGTTGATTTGTTTTTGCCTCATTTTTTGGTGTTTTCGCGATAACTGTTGACAGATTCTTGGCCATTCATCTTCACAATCTCAGATACCAGAAACTTGTGACTCACAAACGGGTTGTTGCTGTAGTGATCTCATTCTGGGTGTTCAGTGTAATTGCTTGCTTCTTGTATGAATCGATAAGTGATTTGTCCGTGATGTCAGTTGTTTGTATCATAACTACAGGATTGCTTTATTGCATGATATTCGCAGCAGTAAGACACCAGAAAAACCAGATTCGCGCTCTGCAAGTACCTGAACAAGTAGCTCAGAATGGAGACATGGCAAATGCCGCAAGGCTGAGAAAAACTGCCGTTGCTACATTTTACATGTATATCTTGTTTTTAATTTTTCATATTTATAGTTTGTTCAAAAAATATATAAACTCGTGTAATGCTAAGCTGCGAAGGCAACGCCGGAGAACGGTGAAAAACAACAATAGATCTAATTGGCAAAAAAGCAACTTTGCACGTGCAGCACACTTTTTTGTACATCTTTTTGCCGTTGTTTTGCACGACTACAACTTGAAACTTCCACAAACTTCTTAGTTACACGCTTTATGGAGGATATTTCGTACGTGTTCTCGCTCACTTTTTTTTCACTGCCGCTCATTTTCACCCTGCATTGGTGGCCGCTAGCATTTCTTATTTTCTCACTGCAGCTACAAAATTGTCATGTTGTTCTTGTACCAAAAAAAATGTCTTCTTTGTTGTTTATCTCTCGGTCTAGATCTCTGTCGCCCTTTTTCTCGTTGAGCTTCGCTTACATGCCGCCTACTTTCTCTTTTTCTCTGTCTTTCTCTTGCTCTATTTTCCATTTTTTTGGGATTGACAATTCTTTTAGTCTAAGCTTTTAAGCTCAGATTAATTGTCATGTCCAAAATTTTAGAGAAGTATCACAATACTTCAGACAACACGGATACAGAATCAATTTCTGCTTTCCGTTTTCGTCTTTATTGACTCTTTAGTTGTCTCTGCTTTACAAGACTCGGGTGGCTATGCGATTTCCTGCCCAAATAACCTCGAGTTGCATTTGGGTTGCCATACCTGTTGATTGAGATATTTTACATTGGTATGCCTGTGGTGCTGACAGACGGTCGGTTGCTCGGTCGGGCGGTGTACGTTCACGTGATTACCAAAAATTCTAGGATGGGTAGATTTACTTAGCTATGGGGCTCCGCAAGCGCGCTCTTCGCGCGCGTAGAGCTCCGTTAGGAACAGAGTTAATTTACACTTTCAGGGATGGTTTAAACTTTGGAGAAGGTATCCTAAATATACAGGTAGCTACAGCTGCATTAAGAAACGTTCCAGATAAGAACGATAGCAACAACGGCAACGAACATGTTGGAATGCAAAAAGGGTGCTAACTTTTCTATTGTCTGTACTTACTTCTGATTGGCTTAAACAGCAAAAGTTAACAAAACTTCATAAAGCGGTACATATATTCATCCTTACTTTCCAACCATCTTCCATATAACAAAATCTGGTCTCAGTTTGAGTAACAAAGAAATCCTATGTGGGGAACATGTAAAATTGTAAACTTTTCTTGGCTATTGTTTTCAACTCTTGTGATTGGTCAAAATCTTTTAATGCAAAAAAACACCCTTTCAAAGTGGAGTGTAAATGCATTTTATTGCGTAAACGGCCTTCATGTAGGTTTATGCATTCTCTGTGTAAAAATGAGAACATTCCTATGTGGGGAAAGCACCGTTGCCGCATAACAAAAGAAATTGCTATCCACCTTACCCGGATCGTTACTTAATACAGGTTTCACTGTATTTCTCTGATGCACAGATAACCAAATTTTCTAACCCACAGTGCACCGCTGCGCGCGCGAGAGCTTTGCCGAAAATTTTTGTGGTGAACCAAGACGTTCAAAACGCCAAAATAGATTTATGTCACGCGGCAGCCATTTTGTCTCAGGAGATTTAAAAAGCTTTGTTTATTCACAGCTAGCCTCTTAGAGAGAACGAGGCTTTTTAACAAAGCTTTTTAAATCTCCTGAAACAAAATGGTCGCCGTGTGACAAAGGTCTGTTGCCTAATTCCTTTGTATTGTGTATCGTCTGTATGGCCTGGGGGTTTATTTAGTCCCTCTAATGACCAATGCGGGGAGGCTCAGCACCAAAAGGGTACATTTTTCACACCTCAGGTATATGAAAGGGTAAGGATTTCACTACTTGAAGTAAATGAAACTGTGGGGAGATTTGTCATTCTGGTCCGTAACAAGGCCCAAAAGAGCTGAAAGATGCATTAGGTCAGTGAGAGAGTCGGCGAGAGAAAGCTTTCTGGCTTTCTGATTTGTTCACATTTAAAAGACAGTGCATTTACAGCAGTTCGAAGGGATACAAAGTTCTAAACTAGGTATGTGAAAGGGGTACCATTTATCAATAGAAGGCAAACGAAAGGGGTACTGTTGAAGTGACAAATGCAATAATTGACCACAAATGAAGTAAAAATTGGCCACAAATGTAATAGAAACCTAATATTAATGCTATCAAAACCGTATATTTCTCGAAAGAGTACCGCTTTAAATTAAAGTCGGACTCAAATAAGTTCCGCGGCACCCTTTCGAAAAACACAATTCTATTGCATTTAATCCAAAGAGCGCAGCCCTCAAATAACTTTCGCAACTTAAAGGACGAAAAACAATAAGCGCCGTGGCGCTCTTTCAAGTCAACAGAATTTACTACACTCTTCATGCGCCCGCTTGCTCGCTCTCCGGACGAGAAACAATATTTTTTTACTTGGCCTGACCGTATCAGCAAATCGGAACTAGTGTGCGAGAATTTGCATCTTATATTGGGAGTGTCACGTGGACAAACTAAAAGCAAGTGGTAACTCCTTGGTAACTCCTCGTCTGCCTTCTCCGCGCAGGCGTGGGAGAACTGCCTTGCTGTTCTCAGCAAGCAGCTCCTAAGATTGGCTCAATGACCAAAATAGTGTTTCCTCAAGTTCAACACGGATACAAACTGAAAAATATGAAAGCTGCGGCGTTCCCATACCTGTAGAAGACGGAAGGTGCTTGGTTTGCAGACAAAACCAAAAGGAAGATGAACAACACTTCTTGATGTTTTGCAATGGGGACAATGTATTGCGACAGGAGTTTAATTAATGTTATTTCAAGTAAGGATGTTGCTTTTGTGAATCTTACTGCCCACGACAGAATAAAATACTAATTAACAGCAGACAATAATACTTGTAAAATAATAGCCAAATTTAGTAATCTTATGTTCAAAAAGAGGTTTTCAAGAATTCGACTGAAAATGTGACTTGATAGAAAGTCTTTGATGATTTTATGGTGCGTACACAATTAGTTAGACGTTATTGTTTCTTAAATGTAAAAGACCTTTATTGTAAAGAGACCGATACCTCCATATGTAGAGTAACGCGCAAAAAAGATACTGTTAATGTTACTGTTACTCCAGCGAGTCTCACATAAAGTAAATACCATCATCAGTAGACTAAACGACTTCTTCCAGATAGATGTCTGTTAAATAGTACATGCGTGAAAGTCGTATTTTTCTACTTACAAGAAAGAAGAGAAATCTCACTTGATGAGAGCACGCTGATAGACCACTTCCGCTTTAGATTTATCTGCAAGACGCTGTTGAGAGGTTAAGAGTTTATAAAAGACCATAAAAAGCCGTAATTATATTTGTTTTCATGATAACTTTCGTGCCAGATATATATTGTTGAATGTATAGCAAATGTGGGAGCCATGATGTAAAGGAAGAAAGCTATTCAACAAATGCAGGACCTTTTTTGCGTGCAGTTGTAATGCTAAATCTAATATCAATTCGGCTTCGAAAATTTGAGCGTAACTTGGAACTTCTGAATCCTTCTTAATTAACGCCACTGATGACCGCGCTGATTTCATAGCTTGACACATAACACAACCAGCAACAACCTTAACCTTCTAATGCATGAAGATTTTCAGAGGTTCTAAGGAAATGTTTTGCCTGATCTGAATATGTCTGCAAAAAAATGGTCGAGGGTACACGGTCCCTATTAAAGTACCGAGACAGATTACATACAACAAAAGAAACAATACACCCAAAAAATCAAGCTTCCATGAGAACTCTATAATAACAGATGTATGCAGGCTGGACACAAGTAGTAATGCTTCAGCAAATTTAACCCCCTTTGGTGGATAGGTAAGGATAGTTTAGGGATAGGTAAATCATTGATATGGATAAGTGCCTAGTCTATGACGTCACCCATTGTTATAACCTGCATACTAATTAAGTGCCTTCCTCCATATATAATGAAGTGGATAGGTTTACTAATGAGCGTCACTCTACTACAATAGGAACAATAGGCTTGCCTCGGCTTGCCCGTTAAGTAACTTGAACCCGGTTTTCAGACTGTCTATTAAAAGGGAAATAGGAATAAGAGAAGCGATCACCTAGCAACGCGAGAAACGGCTTCCTATATCTTATTTAGCGCTAAAACTCAGATATATATAAACACAAAGTGGAGTTGAAAAGTCTCTATTTCAGTTTAGTTTATGTCTTCTTATTTAGCTCTAAACCTCGGATATATCAACAAAACATACACAAAGGGGAGCTGAAAACTCTCTATTTCAAGTTTGTCTGACTATTAAAGAACCGTTTTCTCCCATCTATCTCGAGGAAATTAAAGTCTCAAGGTTTCACGCGCCGTTAGTTAGGTAATTATGCGAGTTCACAAGCCCAAAGTTGAATACAAATTAGCTCTACAGGAAAAACCTCAAGGGAGCATATTGGCGTATTATTATAAAACAAATAACTTAACAAGGATCAATTGATTAAACACGCGACTAATAATTGCTAAAACAAAACGAGTCAAATACACAGCGATTTGAAAGAAAACTATTAAAATAGTCAAAGAAAGCAAGCTATCATTTTTTACCCCGTTTCCCTCCTCAATTTTTTTATTCCCGCCTCCACAATTTTATTATTTTCCCTCCTCATTCGTGAATTCCCACCACCACAATTGTAATATTTTCCCTCTATTTTTTTATTCCCACCACCACAATTTTAATATTTTTCCTCAATTTTATTATTTTCCCTCCTCAATGTTATTATTCCCTCCTCCACAATTTTATTATTTTCCCTTCTCCTTTTCCTTCTCCTCCACACTTCTATTGTTTTCCCAACACCACATTTCTATTGTTTTCCCTCCACCACCACCACCACCACCGCCACCACATTTCTATTGTTTTCCTTCCACCACCACCACCACCACCGCCACATTTCTATTGTTTTCTCTCCACCACCACCACCACATTTCCATTGTTTTCCCTCCTCCTCCTCATTTCTATTGTTTTCCCTCCAAGTTTGGCCTTTTAAGCCGTTTAGGCCTGATTTTGGCCTCTTTGGCCTTTCGAGGGAAAACAATAGAAATGAGGAGGAGGAGGAGGAGGAGGGAAAACAATAAAAATGAGGAGGAGGAGGGAAAACAATGGAAATGTGGCGGTGGTGGTGGTGGTGGTGGTAGAGGGAAAATAATAGAAATGTGGCGGTGGCGGTGGTCGTGGTGGTGGTGGTGGAGGGAAAACAATAGAAATGTGGTGGCGGTGGTGGTGGAGGTGGTGGAGGGAAAACAATAGAAATGTGGTAGTGGTGGTGGTGGGGGTGGGAAAACAATAGAAATAGAAGAGGAGAAGGGAAAATAATAAAATTGTGGAGGAGGGAATAATAACATTGAGGAGGGAAAATAATAAAATTGAGGAAAAATATTAAAATTGTGGTGGTGGGAATAAAAAAATAGAGGGAAAATATTACAATTGTGGAGGAGGGAATTCACGAATGAGGAGCGAAAATAATAAAATTGTGGAGGCGGGAATAAAAAAATTGAGGAGGGAAACGGGGTAAAAAATGATAGCTTGCTTTCTTTGACTATTTTAATAGTTTTCTTTCAAATCGCTGTGTATTTGACTCGTTTTGTTTTAGCAATTATTAGTCGCGTGTTTAATCAATTGATCCTTGTTAAGTTATTTGTTTTATAATAATACGCCAATATGCTCCCTTGAGGTTTTTCCTGTAGAGCTAATTTGTATTCAACTTTGGGCTTGTGAACTCGCATAATTACCTAACTAACGGCGCGTGAAACCTTGAGACTTTAATTTCCTCGAGATAGATGGGAGAAAACGGTTCTTTAATAGTCAGACAAACTTGAAATAGAGAGTTTTCAGCTCCCCTTTGTGTATGTTTTGTTGATATATCCGAGGTTTAGAGCTAAATAAGAAGACATAAACTAAACTGAAATAGAGACTTTTCAACTCCACTTTGTGTTTATATATATCTGAGTTTTAGCGCTAAATAAGATATAGGAAGCCGTTTCTCGCGTTGCTAGGTGATCGCTTCTCTTATTCCTATTTCCCTTTTAATAGACAGTCTGAAAACCGGGTTCAAGTTACTTAACGGGCAAGCCGAGGCAAGCCTATTGTTCCTATTGTAGTAGAGTGACGCTCATTAGTAAACCTATCCACTTCATTATATATGGAGGAAGGCACTTAATTAGTATGCAGGTTATAACAATGGGTGACGTCATAGACTAGGCACTTATCCATATCAATGATTTACCTATCCCTAAACTATCCTTACCTATCCACCAAAGGGGGTTAAATTTGCTGAAGCATTACTACAGACACATGTCTTCAGTTCGCTTGTTAACACCTATAGTCCTAAAATTATAATATATAGATTTAGCCAGCGCTAAAAGCGAAGCTAGTTATAGACTCTCGTTAATATACTTGTAAATAATTTACTCAAAAAAAGAAAATATATTTTTTATTTTACTTAATAGTATTTTATTTACACAACACATGTTACAGTTACAAATTTTAAAACTAGAAGAAAGTATATAACAATATTACAGATTGGACCATAATGATTACATAAAAACGGAAAACAATTAAGATAACAGTTCACACAATAGCATTAGACCTGTTAATTAACAGATTCTGATTCTGGTAAAGTTGAATTCTTTCTAACTAATTGAAGGAAGGGATTTTTCGAAATCATACCTCCAACTGATTATAGCCTTAAATTCATCCAAAGATAAATCTTTAGGCGCTAACTTATTTATGTACAAGTAATATTTAGCAAGCAGAAGAGTAAAATCGAGCTTTTTGACAATTTCCAATCATTTAAAAAGCTAAAAGTATTCGTTTCTTTTGACGAGATTTCTTAAACCCCGAACTTTGAGTGACAAGATGAAGTGTTTACCTTGCACAGTTACTGTAAGATCAGGGCATAGGGAAAAACACTAAAAGAGAATCTGTTAATTAACTGGCCGATAATCAGGAGAATAGCTACCAAGATGATATAAGTACAACTCAGTGCCGGATACAGACCTTGAGATAAGGGGGGGTGGTCATCCAGAGGGGGGGTCCAGTCTCCAAAAAAAATTTTTTTGGCTCTTCGGGCCTGAGTTTGGTCTAAAAATAAGAGAGGGGAAGGCAGGTCCCCCTGGGCCCCTCCCCTGGATAGGCACTGCAACGTCAGACAAACAAATTTCAATGATTTTTCAAGGACAAATTACAGTTTTTAAGGACTAAGATTTTTTAATAAATCGGCATTCTGTAACCTCCTTTGCTCACTCTATTGGCTAAAACCCTAGCCTTTACAATTCATTTTTACCTCCATACTACTTTCCGCAAGAAGACTGACTGGGTATGACTTGCAATTGCATCTGAGGTACAGAAATCGTTCATGCGAAAAAATGTTTTTACGTTACCTGTGAGTTTTACAGGTTCTTATACACCGAGGATGAGCCAAATTCTCCTCGGCAAAATAATCCGAGTAATTTCACAGAAAAAGGAAGGTGTCTCCATTGTAGGTTGTGAATTTCAAGGACTTTTCAAGACCTAATAAAGACATCCAGTATTTTTTAAGGACCTAAACCGAATTCAAGGACTTTTCAAGACGACTAGTAAAATTCAAGACCTTTTCAAAATTGAACGGACCAAGTATAACAGAAACAGAAAGCAACGCTAAACGGCGACGGCAACGAAAGCGGCAAAAAATAGTAAATAGGTCTAATAGAGAGGAGAGGAGTGACGTCACGTTGCCATGGTAGCAAAAATTCTGGATGACAACAATGAAGAGCTTAAGCAAGGACGACGGCGAAAATAACGAGACCGGCGAAAAGCGATAGGTTTAGCAAAACAGCAACTTTGCATCACGCTTTTTTCTAGCTACATTTCTTAGCCGTCGTTACACGACTGCGACATGGAACTTCTAATTTCACGCGCCCGCTCTATGGAGTTGGTCAACACAGTACAAAAATTTTCTTTTTCTTTTTCTTAACTCAGATCTGTCTGATCCAAAAATTTTTCTACTGTGACTTCTCCACCATTAGCAAAAAAAACAACAACAACAACCTGGCACTGGCGCAGCACACTTTTTTGTACATTTCTTTGACGTTGTTTTGCACGACTACAATGTGAATCTAATCTCGTACCCAGATCTCACTCTGTACGAGATTAATGTGAAACTTTATGTTGGAATATGTCGTATGTGCTTACCGATGTTTTGTCGTGTTCCTATTCACTTTTTTTCTACACTGCAGCTCATTTTCAGCTTGTTGGCCGCTTTTCCTCATTTTCTCACCGCCAATTTCTGTTTTTCCTCCAACGAAATTTGTCTCTTGTTTTTTGTCTAACGCTTTAGCTCTGTTGTTGACGGCGTCATTAAAGACTTTAAAATTTAGTCGGACTTGACTTTGTTGTTGGTTTTTCTCTCTTCTAAGTCCGGATGGACTTTCTCTCTCTAAAAAGTCGGGGTGCACTTAAGGTTTCCTGCCGAAGAACCCCGTGTTGCATTTGCCATACCTGCTGATTGAGTTATTTTCCACTGGTATGCCTGTGATGCGGAAGGGCGTGCGTACGCTCACGTGATTATTTATGCAGAGTGAACCAAAATTCTTACCCATGCTGCACCGCTGCGCGCGCGAGAGCTTTGCCAAAAATGTTTGTGGTGAACCAAGACGTCAAAAACGCCAAAATAGACCTTTGTCACGCGGCAGCCATTTTGTCTCGGGAGATTTAAAAAGCTTTGTTTATGCAGCTAGCCTTGTAGAACCTTAACCTTCTATTGGGGCATGAAGATTTGCAGAGATTTCAAGGAAATTTTTTCCCTGAGCTGAATTTGTCTGTAAGAAAAATATTAAAACTTTATAGCGACTATCCGGTGAGCAAAAGTTACGGAATCAAAGCTTTCAACCTTAGACATTGGTTCAATAAACATAATTTGATATTTATTGCGAGCGGAAAGTCACGGCATTGTTCAAGCATTTTGCAACGGCAAAAGACATTTAAGTCTTCAGCCTCGCCGAAGCCTATTTCCCTTTCGTAAACGATCGTTTCCATTTATAACACGCGATACCACCATGTTGGTAACCAAGCCTTTAGTCATGATGTAATATGTTCCCTGGATTAACATACAATAAGAACGCTCTTAATAGGGCAAGTCTCGCTTGCTTGGAGATTAGACAACAGATAAGGAGGCGATTAATTCTACGCGAAGCAGGATTTTTTCGCTAAGAGAATTCACTTCCCGCTTTATCGGCAGTCGAGTATTCTTCAGAATATTTAATAAATTCAGAATAGTTAATGAATATTTTCTTCACAATATACGCTTGTACGAATACAAATCATTGCTAGAAAGTAAAAACGTAATGAACATGGCGCCTCATTTCAATCATCGCCAAAAATAAACCGCATGCTCATCACAAGACTCATTTTCATACAATGAAAGTTTACAACGCCCGACCAGTTTATAGCCTCACCATCAGATCGAAGTTTTCACTGAAGCATTCACTTGTTCAAAAGTAATCAACGATTTCATGCAATAGAATTCGTGGACCGACCCGTTCCCAGAAAGTTCGACATCTCTGCATCAATCTTTCCTAAGCTTTCTCCACAAAATAGAGCATGGCTCTGTGACACGTAGCAATTTCCATCCTCAGTTTCCACGATCTCCACTAGTAACGCCTGGGACCATGATTTCCCTTTTGGCGCGCACACAAGCGAGACTAACTACCTACTTTGCTGATCTATGTTTTAAAAGCTCAGCTAGTAAGTCTTTTTTTTTTCCGGGGAATAAGTTCCTTCCCTCAACTCAAAAGACTCGTCGTTTGTCATAGTTACTAAAAAAATGTGCGTTTGTTTCGCTTGAACCCAGCAAACATGTAGGATTGGTCTCAGACCTAATAGTCCGCATTTCCTCTAAGCCCCCGGTGGGAGGGACTCTGCATATGAAAGGGGTGGCGATGCTCGTCGGAAATTTTGAATTAAACCCCTAAAGGAGACCGATCTGGGCGTGGCTCAAGCTTTTTTTGACCCCTAAAAGAGACCATGTTAACACACAGACAATATATGCATTTTTAAATTTTTCGCGTGCAACCCTAAACGAGACCTTCACGGCTAAATATGATGGCGTTTTGCCCAGAACACCCCAAGTGAGACCATAATCGGAAATTTACTCCCCTAAGCGAGACGACGAGCATCCCCACCCCTTTCATATGCGGAGTCCCCCCCCCCCGGTCTAAACCATCGTTTAACTCATTCACCGCAAACCAGCTGCCATTTCTACTTTGATATCGCGCCAATAGTTTCGAATAACTTACTTCCATTTGACTGACGAACTTTGTCCTAATACAATTAAAGAATAATACAAGAATATTTTCAGCCTAAAATCGGCAGAAAAAAATATAAGAATATTCAGCCTGTCTGTGTCACGGCAGTTCAGTTCATTTTGTTTAATTTTGCCAATTACTCGCCCTCAATCGCTATGGAACTTAAAGTAAGCAAAGAAATTACAGGTAAATGACAAAATCAGAGATCCGAGACAAACAAAATAATGTCTCCCGAGCATTATTTTTGAAGTTGCAAGCAGCAGGGATCAACTTTGAAAAACTGTTGGGCTGAACAGTTTTCAAAAGCCCTAATTTCAATCCGTTTCAATCTTCTTCACTTTTGCCCATCCGTGGCATCTGTTGTTTCTGTTATGTTATTTTAACGTTCCTTTAAAGTTTTAATCGGTTATTTTTATGTTTCTCTTAATTTAACGGGCATTTTGTAATTTCCTAATTTGGCTGAATTTCGTGACACAGCTCCTTTAAACTGAAGAAACTGAAGCTATATAATACGACATACATCTTATTAGCTGCCTTAAAGTTAATAAAGGATACTAGTGTAAGTTGATTTTTTTGTATTCGATTGCAGTTTGAGGCATATATTACTTTTGACACATGGTTGCTCAGCGGATTGCCACGTCATGTACAAACGGGTGTTCTGAATATTTGCAATTGATACTATATTAAGGAACGGATGATTTATTAAGTAACTAAGGTACTGTATCTTTAGGCCACCTTACACTCTCTAAGTCACGCGTGAACATGTAGTTTATCAAAAAATGTGTTCATGGGTCCAGCAAATACTGTTGGATTGGTTTGCGACGTAAAAATTCCGTTTTCCTCTTAAGTCACGTCGCAGCTCGTTCTGTCTGACTGTATGTTTGCGATTGATAATTGAAAACCAACTGCCTTTGCTTATTTAATATTGCATCAGTAGTTTCATATAACTTCCTTCCGTTTTAACTGACGAACTTCAACATTTATACGACCTATTGAGTTTCGCTTGAAAGAAAATTAATACTAATTACTGTGTGATGATGAAGTTACATTTCAAGTTCTAATTCCGGATTCAGACATGCAAAGTTTTCAATTTCAAGCAAGGTGAGAGTTTGGATATTGTGAGCACGACTTAGGACCTTTTTTTACTACTGTCGCGGAAGACTCAACAGTACTCAGTTAAAAACCAATTGCCATCGGAGGAGGACGTCTGGAGAATATTCAGTAAGTCTCGCAAAGAGTAATTTCCAGCGTCAGTCTCGTGCAAAAAAGAAAACACTTGCAGAGTTCCTCAAAAGTACAGCTGCTGAAACTTAAGACTGTATATAAAGCTCCATTCAATGGTGGAAGCTGAAGGTCAGTCTCATTCAAAAACGGATGAAACCTAGAAAGCAATGAAATTCAGATCTTCGCATATTATAGAAACTGAACGCTGATTAGGGTTATGTAAAAAAAAAAGATGGCAAGTGCTGAAGGTTTGCATTTGACACTTGTTTTCTTCAACGCTTTCTTGTCTTTCACCGCCATCGTATTAAACATCATAACAATGCAAGCGCTCAGAAAAACGTCGTCGTTGCCTAAGACTTTAAAAACATTGCTACTAAGCCTGGCTGTGTCTGATCTGGGTGTAGGCTTACTTGTCCAACCACTGCATGTTGCAATTCTGGTGATGGAAATAAAACAAAACGCAAACAGTACTGCTTATTATACAGTAAACGAAGCGTATTTAATCCAGAGAAAAACATTGGTCTTTGCTTCGCAATTTGGTGTTTTTGCATTAGCTGTGGACAGATTTTTGGCCATTCAGCTTCATCTCAGATATCAGGAGCTTGTGACTCACAAACGTGTTGTTGCTGTTGTGATCTCAGTCTGGGTGTTTAGTGCATCAATTTCCTTCCTACATCGGTTGTATGATTATGATATTATGCGAGCGGTCATTGCACTTGTTTGTGTCGTAACTACAGGATTGCTTTATTGCAAGATATACGCAGCCGTGAGACACCACACAAATCAGATTCACGCTCTGCAAGTGCAACAGGCGACACAGAATGAAGATATGGCAAATGCCGCAAGGCTGAAAAAATCTTCGCTGGCTACATTCTACGTTTATTTCGTGTACTTAGTTTGCTATTTGCCAATATCTTGTGTTGTTTTTGCCAGGACCAATGGTGAAACTCCCTTGTTATCTCATTTATGGCAAATCACATTGACTCTTATGTTTCTCAATTCATCCCTCAATCCCTTGATCTACTGCTGGAAGATGAGACACGTTCGACAAACTGTTTTGGATATACTTCGAAATATTTTCGCGATTGGTCCACACTAAACAAAGGATCTAACTGAGAATAACTTCTGCCTTTTTCTCTCTGAGTGGTGAAAATAATTCAATGTTATAGCTTTCCAGCAATACAGTTGGAAAAATGACACTGCATGTAAAAGGGAACTGAAACCTCTTGTACTCTCTGTTTGAAGGCAAAGGGATAAATATATGATCAAGTATAAGATCATGAGATTTCAGTTTGCTTTGGAATAATTAACAAATAACGGAAACTGTGAAAGTATTGTTTATCAAAGACAGAAAGAGGGCAAAAAGAAAACACTAGGTGGTTTAGGACGAATGACGAGCGATTTGATAAACAGAGGGCCAAGTTTCCAAATTTCATGGGCAAAAAGTTCTGTGTAAAGGAAAGCGTCTTAAAAAGTTTACTAGATTTTGTTAACCATGGTGCATGCAATGAGGAAAACTAACTAAAGAGGAGAGAGATCAAAACTATATCAATAAATCTTCCATAGTAAATGTAGCAAGAGTCTCGAAAATATTTACCAATATGACAACAACAACAACACAGTAGTAATAATAATTATTATAATAAAAATAATAATAAGAAGAATACTAATAAGAATAATAATGAGAAGAGAACAACACATCCTATTTGTTGAGAAAGACGAAAACTAGTAGTTTATACTGTTGAGAATATATATTAAAATACTTGTAATTAATTCATATCAATAAAGTTTACGTGAAAAAGTTAAATTGTTTTGAAGAATGGAAAAATATACCATTTAATCAGTGTTTTTTTAAATTGTCGAGTCCAGAAATTACTAGTAAGATCACTACATTTGAAAGTTTCAGACTGGGAAAGAAAGAGCTTTCCTGACAGCGCAACCGATTGGAACAAATGATCGATAGCTAAATGACATCATAATACTAAAATACCATATTACGGAACAAGAAAGCAGTCATAATATGGCTCCAATATCAAGCAAAGAGCTCTTGCTCTGAGATTAAAAACTTAGAACCATAATATTTGACGAAACAATTAAGTATAAGGCCCAGGGTTGAACCTAAGTACACAGTTTCCTCATGTCCTAGTTCAACGTCTTGCAAGCAACTCTCGGTACGTGCGTTTACAATAAAGTTGAAACTTTGTACGAGACCGTACTTAATGTTTCCATAGGCATTTAGAACGAGCGAGTCCAAAAAAGTAAATATTGTAACCAATGATATATAACACAACAACAGTAACAAAGTGAAAATGAAAAAAAAATTACAAAATCGTATATTTTCCACTATTCTTGAACTAAAATGTGTTTTCTCCGACACATTAATTTTCCTGTTCGGTGGTTACGAGCGCTCTTTCATAAGATGAAAGTTCGCCCCCAATTTCTGTTTCAAGGGAGGGAAGGAAGACAAGTATGCTCTGGTCATTTAGCAACTTTTAACCGCAAAGAAAAACACAATCCATGCACACTTCATACACACTGAAGTTTCTTTTTTTTTTTTTGGCCTACAATGTAACTTCTGAGTCCACCAGTAAATGTGTGAGCCAATAAAGACAATAAAGTCTAAAGTTTTTACTACCTACATTTATCATTTGTCAGGGAGGGGGTGAGGCTAATTATTGTTACATCAGTTTTATCCAAAAAACCATTTTACCACTTCCTTACGTATACGTGTATAAGAAGACATTTTACAAGGAAATAAGCGAGTTTTTTTGTTTATTTGGTGCGTATTAAATTGCGCGCAATGATGTTGTTTTCGATAAATTTTCAATAAAATTAAATTGAGAAATAGTCGGTTGTCGTTCAAGGCATATATTGCTTTTACTCATCGAACTGTCACGTCGTGTTAGCTAGTTTCATAAAGTTGACTCTACAATGGATATTTTTAACATTCTGATTACTTGCTACTGATAAAACTTTGACACACAAGACAGTCCAAGACAGCATGATTTGTTTAAGTAACTACCTACTGTGTCTTTGTTTAACACCCTAGCAAGTAAGTTTTTTTAAATGGGTAATAAATTTTCTATCTAGACTCCTCCCTCTGACTCGTCATAGATCGTTGTTTATCAAAGGTCTGCCCCATAATTTTTGTTTGCCGGGGTCCAGTAAATACATTGGATTGGTCTTCGACGTGATAGTCGGTTTTTCCTATAAACCATCGTTAAACTCTTTCTTTGTGTATGACTTTGTATTAGCGATTGATTGCAACCAGCTGCTGTTAATAGAGCTTTTTCGTATGACCTTGAAACGAAAACGCGCGAACAAAACAGAAACAACAAACGAACCGAAATAAAGCGATTTGATTGGTTTATCGATGAACGGATACAAACCCACTTAGCTTTTGGTTGGTTGAGTGGACCCTCGGGTGAAAAAAAATCACGCCCGAGGACTTTCTGGAAATCAATCGATACTTCGGTTTGACGTCATACTTCAACATGATTGGCTAATCGAAAAATGCCTTCTCCATATTAGGGTTTTCTTTGGCGGGAAAACGAAGAGGTCATGTTTTGATCCTTTCATACATTGGCTGATAAAACGAATAACGAACACTTACCGAAACCATTTTTCCTTTTTGACGGACGAACTTCAACACTTAGTCCGACCTATCGCGTTTCAGTTTAAATGAAAATATATTCAAATCACTGTGTGATGAGGACGTCATATTTAAATTCTGAATTACGGGCTCTAGCAGGAGGCCTGGGCTCTAGTAAGATATAGTTTTAATTCCAAACAAGTCAATATTTCGGTTGCTATGAGTACAACTTTATGTTTTAATGGAGGGAGAAAAAATCGTCTTGTTTATTAAATGCGCATTAAATTGCGAGCAATGATGAACTTTCTTTATATTAAACTAAAAAACTAGAGATAATATGATTGACGTTTTGATAGCTGCCTCGGATGAATTTAATACCACCGTCCATTAAGTTAATAAAGCATGACAGTATATTGTTCTTGAATACTTTTTTAATAAAATGAAATTGAAACATACTTTCCGAGTTGATTGTAGCTTAAAACATATATTGCTTTTTTGGAACATGATAACTGATTGAATTGTCACCTGGTGTTGGCTGGTTTCATTAAGATGAGACTACAATGGATGTTTTAAACGTTCTGATCGTTTGCAACTGATCAAGTCCGACGCATGTGTCCGAATGATTTGTCAAGTAACTACCCACTGTGTCTTTGTTTTAAAACCCTAGCTAGTAAGGTTTTTTTTATAGGTAATAAGTTTTTTTTTCTAAACCTCCAGTCCTATAACTCGTCGTAAGTCGTATTTAATTAAAATTTGTTCGTTTCTTATAGTTTTTACTTGAGTTCACAAAACAAGTTGGATTGGTGTCCAACCTAATAGTCTGCCTTTCCTATCAGAACTATCACTCCTAAACTCTTTCTGTTTGACTGTTTATTTGCGATCCTTTGCAACCCAACTGCTTTTTCTAGCATAGTATATTGTTCCGAGTTGATTGTAGCTTAAGACATATATTGCTTCTTTGGAACATGAATACTCATTGAATTGCCACCTGGTGTTGGCTGGTTTCATTAAGATAAGACTGCAATGAATGTGTTAAACGTTATGATCGTTTGCAAATGATCAAGTCTGACACATATAACCTGAGATCAGACGTTATTATTATTATTATTATTATTATTATTATTATTATTATTATTTGCTTCTTTGCTTCTTTGGCGCGACAGGGAAAAAAATAACGCCTGATACATTCATTTAACAAGCCATCAACCGCCCCCTAATTTACATAATCTAACGTCCGCTTGACCTGTCATGTTATTAGCCAATCAGCGGTTACCAGACGGGAATCAAAGTTTTGTGGGAATAATGTCTCTTTCGCCGAAATCAATTTTAGGGAAGAGAAAATTTTTAAGTACGTGCAGATGACGCTTCCTAAAAAAAAAATTAAATGTTTTTTTTTTACCTTTATTTAACAGCTACAAATAATAAAGAATTTACAAGCTCGTTGACTTCGTTCTGTGGCGAGAGCAGTGAAAAACAAATTAAGCTGGAGCATCATATTTCATAAACTGAAAAGTGCTGTGAAAGCGAAGATCGCTAACACTGATTCGCAGGTTTCTGAAGGAGAAACTACAGTCAAATCAGGTCGAGATTCCATTCATGAATTGATTATTTGAAAAGTGAACCCGTTTGTCGCTTCTGTAACTTGTAGCCGGTATCAAATTGCATTCAAATGATCGGCGAATTTATGACAGCAATTTTTAGTAAACAATGAAAAGGAAATTATTTCAATGTCAGAAATTTCTATCTAGACATTCTTCAAATTCAAGAAAACTGAGTTGGCAGAAATTTCATAACGAACTCTCGTGTGTATTAACTGCTCATTACACAAGCAAAATGCAGACTGAAATCAAAAGCAACTAACGGTGGCGGCGTTTTGGCCAATCGGAACGGTGCAAATCATCCGTATTGTTTCCTATCCAATCAGGAAAAAGTCTAGATCCTGGCTTTTTTGCATGTGATCTGTGAAAGAAATGTATCATGCCCTCCTCCCGTAAACAGAGATAAAGGGAGAGGGCATGATCGCAGGCTAGACACATGACCGAATGATTTGTCAAGTAACTACCCACTGTGTCTTTGTTTTAAAACCCTAGCTATAAAGGTTTTTTTATAGGTAATAATTTTTTTTTTCTGAACCCCCAGTCCTAAGACTCGTCGTAAGTCGTATTTAATCAAAATTTGTGCGTTTTTATAGTTTTTACTTGAGTTCATCAAACAAGTTGGATTGGTGTCCGACCTAATAGTCTGCTTTTCCTATAAACTATCACTAAACTCTTTCTGTTTGACTGTTTATTTGAGATCTTTTGCAAACCAACTGCCTTTTCTAATTTAATATTGCGTCAGTAGTTCAAGTAACTTTCTTCCATTTGACTGACGAACTCTCAACACCTACAAAGCTCGACCTTTCGCGTTTCTGTTAAAAGGAAGATATGTTCAAATTTCTGTGCAATGAGGGGAACCCCGGCCCGAGCATTGCACAGACATTTTTAATTTCAGATAAGTTGAAATTTTAGATGTTATGAGTGCGTTTCAGGGACTCTCTTATACCATTGGCTGTATTTATACCAGTCAAGAGGACGTCTAAGACGTCTGAGACGTTTGAGTCGCTGCTTCTAAGCCTGTGTATTTCTGATCTAGGTGTAGGTTTTCTTATCCAGCCACTTTATGTTGCATATCTTACGATGGAAATAACTAAAAACAGTAAAAAGACTGACAACATTATTGCTTATTTGACTGTTGTTAAAGCATATGCCATTCCTCACAGTTTATTTGTTTTTGCCTCATTTCTTGGTGTTTTCGCGATAACTGTTGACAGATTCTTGGCCATTCATCTTCACAATCTCAGATACCAGAAACTTGTGACTCACAAACGGGTAGTTGCTGTAGTGATCTCATTCTGGGAGTTCAGTGTAATTGCTTGCTTCTGGTATGAATTGATAAGTGTTTTGTCCGTGATGTCAGTTGTTTGTATCATAACTACAGGATTGCTTTATTGCAAGATATACGCAGCCGAAAGACACCACACAAACCAGATTCGCGCTCTGCAAGTACCTGAACAAGTAGATCAGAATGGAGACATGGCAAATACCGCAAGGCTGAGAAAAACTGCCGTTGCTACATTTTACATGTATATCTTGTTTTTAATTTTTCATATTTATAGTTTGTTCAAAAAATATATAAACTCGTGTAATGCTAAGCTGCGAAGGCAACGCCGGAGAACGGTGAAAAACAACAATAGGTCTAATTAGCAAAAAAGCAACTTTGCACGTGCAGCACACTTTTTTGTACATTTTTTTGCCGTTGTTTTGCACGACTACAACTGAACTTCCACAAACTTCTTAGTTACACGCTTTGTGGAGGAAATGTCGTACGTGTTCTCGCTTACTTTTTTTGCATTGCCGCTCATTTTCACCTTGGATTGGTGGCCGCTAGCATTTCTTATTTTCTCACCGCAGCTACAAAATTGTCATGTTGTTCTTGTAACGAAAAAAATGTCTCCTTTGTTGATTATCTCTCGCTGTAGGTCTCTGTCGCCCTTTTTCTTGTTGATCGAGCTTCGCTAGCATGCCTCCTACGTTCTCTTTTTCTCTGTCTTTCTCTTGCTCTATTTTCCAATTTTTTGGGAATGAAAATTCAATAAATCTAAGCTTTTAAGCTCAGATTAATTGTCATGTCCAAAAATTTGGAGAAGTATTACAATAATTCAGACAACACGGATAGAGAAACAATTTCTGCTTTCCGTTTTCGTCTTTATTGACTCTTTAGTTGTCTCTCTTTTTTACAAGACTCGGGTGGCTATCCGATTTCCCGTCCAAATAACCTCGAGTTGCATTTGGGTTGCCATACCTGCTGATTGACTTACTTTACATTGGTATTCCTGTGGTGCGGACAGACGGTCGGTTGCTCGGTCGGGCGGTGCACGAAAAACTAAAAGCAAGGGGTGACCCGTCTGCCTTCTCCGCGCATGCGTGGGAGAACTGCCTTGCGGTTCTCAGCCAGCAGCTCCCAAAATTGGCTCAATGACCAAAATTGTGTTTCCTTAAGTTCAACACGGATACAAACTGGAAAATATGAAATCGGCAGCGTGCCCATAACTGTAGAAGACAGAACGTGCTTGGTTTGCAAACAAAACCAAGTCGAAGATGAACAACACTTCTTGATGTTTTGCAATGGGTGCAATGTATTGCGACAGGAGTTAATTAATTTCATTTCAAATGAGGATGTTGCTTTTGTGAATCTTACTGCCCATGACGGAATAAAATATTAATTAACAGCAGACAACAATAATACTTGTAAAATTATAGCCAAATATATTAATCTTATGTTCAAAAAGAGGTTTTCAAGAATTCGACTGAAAATGTAACTTGATAGAAAATCTTTGATGATTTTATGGTGCGTACATTAGTTAGTGGGGAGGAGCGTTGCGTGATGACACTAAAAACGGCTGTGTAGCAGACTAATCATTAGTCAGACGTTATTGTTACTCAAATGTAAAAGACCTTTATTGTAAACAGACCGATACCTCCATATGGACAGTAACGCACAAAAAAGACACTGTTAATGTTACTGTTACTCCAGCGAGTCTCACATAAAATAAATACCATCATCAGTAGACGCAACGACTTCTTCCAGATCAATGTCTGTTACATAGTACATGAAAGTCCTATTTTTCTTGTTACAAGAAAGTAGAGAAATCTGACTTAATGAGAGCGCGCTCATAGGCCACTCCCGTTGGAACATCCCTTTTCTTATGCCCAGTAATCGCTAACTTTTAGATTTATCTGCAAGATTATTAAATGAAGAGACTCAGTTCTGATTTGCGCCTCCAGCCAGAAAATCTTCACCAATGGCACCTTCAGTTTCCTTTCGAACAGAAGTATTTATGGATTGACAAAATCTGGCAGGGGCCTTTCCTCTTGTTCTCTTCGGCCCCTTTTCTCACAAACTATGTTAAACTGTTCAACTGTCGCAAAATTGAGGACGATTGCAGTTGCATTGTGGGCACTGTATCGCAAATCTACGTTGTTATAAATCGTGTGCCAACAATAATTGTGGACCTCTGGAGCCTGTTTTTGGGGGGGAGGTGATGTGCGAGCCCACCCATCGCATTCCCACCCCCTCCCTACAGGCCTGCGTCGCAATTTTACATTGTCCTTGCTTTGAGTTGACATTCTACAGTAACTAAACCACCAAACATAACATTAACTTCCATGTCTTTCGAGGACTGACAATAACATTACATGACCTTTCAGGCCTGGTAAATGAAATTCTTAAATTTCACGACTTTCCAGGTTTTCCATGACCTGTGCGAACCCTGCAGAGATTCTTTTTTGGTCCGTGGGGAAAGAAAGTTCTTACATTTTTCTCTAAATGAACACTAACTATGGCCCCCTCAGTGTCCGTATTAACGGGCTATGACTGTGTCCTCAGTATTGAGAAAATTTCGTCTTCGTAGTCATACTCGTCTTCGATTTTAAAGGTCTCTTCACAGTCACAGCGTCTAAACTGCAAGATCTTTATGAGTAATTATGATAACAACGTTCAAGCACTGGCCTCTATACCGACTACTGTATCACGAAACTAAACTCAATTAGAATGAACAAACTGAGCCTTTTCACGTAAATACGAATATCAATTCAGCTCTCAATAAACGTGTAATTCACTAAGAATCTCCAACAAATGTGGAATCAAACACCCGGTAGAGGACTTTTCCTTGACCTTGATTTTCAGGAATATATGATAAGATACAAAGTTCTAGCCACGGTCTTATGTCATACTGGTTAGGTGCAACAATTTTAAGCGAGTTTTCAAGATTCTGGGTCATAGATAACATCCATTCTTTCAGAAGATGCTGGGAAGTAGTCTGCTCTACCAAATCTTGTGGTGAAGGAAGATTTGGAAAGAAAGTCTCGGCATCCTTGTCGAAGACCATGGCCTGGAGAACTCCCGAATTATCTTCAATAACAAAGGAAAACAGATAGACTAGAGTTGTCTCTTGGTTACATTTGGTACATAGCAAAGATGATTCTGAAGCACCAGTCGCACTGGAAGAGCCAGAGCAATCTCTATACATGCATCTACAAGATTGGCAGCACCTTCGCACGAAGTCTTTCACTTCCGATGGCAAGAATATCACAGCTTTGACTCTGCAACGGAATTTGTTAGGAACCGTTTTGCACGCTTTGATGTCCCGTATAGACATGAATGGTATACAGGGATGCTCGGTTATTGTGCATGAGGTTTGAAGAGCCCGGCTTTCAGTATTGTATATGGGGGCTATATTTTGACAGCTCTCTTCACCGGAGCTACTGGACTTTTGCTGTACTTCACCACACTGATTCAGAGGTTGTGGATACATTGAAGTTTGGAGAGGCTGGCTTTCAATATTGTGAACAGGGACTATACCTTGACAGCTCTCTTCACCGCCGCTACTCTTTTCCTGTACTTCACAGAACTGATCCAAGGGTCGTGTCGTCGTTATTTTGTTCCCTTCACTTTCAGAGGTGTCCATAGCATCACTCTCCTCCTGGTGTATCATTAATTCCTCTGCTTTGGCCATGAATGCCATCATTGCACTTGACGTCACTTGAGGGTCATTAGCTGAAAGAATTTCAACACCGCGTCCACAAATCGTACCCCTGTGGACTTCTAGGCTTACAAGAGGACGTGACTCTGCTAACTGCAAGTAAAATAAGACAGCATTGATTAACGTACGTTTTAAGGGTAAATTAGAAGAGGAGATTAAAGTTGTAAAAAAGAGTAAAAATTATACCCTAGAGAGTTTTAGACTGCGTTGCAAGCGCTTCCAATTGATTTATTGCGCGAAAAGCTGGAGAGAGCGCAAAACTTTCTGGACGAACTCGCGCGGAAACGCTTGCTACGCAGGAAAAGAGAATTTTTGCATTGACGTTGAGCACATGTACGAAGTCTGCACACAAGTGACCACGCTGAGTTTGTATGCTCTCTTAACTCCCGTGGGTCACAGTACGATGACATTTTACCCTCCAACTCACAATGGCAAATAGTGTTAAAAATAATACATGCATTGTGATAATGCAGTTACAAAAACGCAATCTTCTATTAAGCGGCCACCTTCGGAAAAAGAGACCGTGACATTGAAGTGCCCAAAAAATTAATAGAATAGTTATTTATTTCTTTGTCTGCGAAGAGTATTTTCCCATGCTTGTTCTTTTAACTAATGTTAGAGTCTGGACGGGAGGCTGGCATATGAGGTGAGGTTTATGTATGTGCACTAGATCTATTGTAGCTTCAAAACCCAAAGGTTTAAGTGAAAACTGCTGCACTGACATCTGGAAGAGTAGGCGATCGCATGGCTCGAAAAAAAGTTGATTTCCATCTTGTCGTTTGGGCAAGCAGCTCTTACATTTTGCTTGCCTGGGGCCACTTCTTGCTCATCTTAGTCAATGATTTTGTTAGAGGGTGACTTGCCCAGACCCTTACCCGAGCTGTAAAAGTTATTTGCCCAGCAACAAAATCCACTTGTCTATGATGACTAGCAAAGAGGTTAAAGAGATAGATGGGTGAATTGTAAGAACTCGAGGAGTTAGTACATATACAGAAGCTTTATGTCCTTTACACAATATTCACACGATTGTAAAAAATAAAAATGAAAAAAATGAAATTTAGATAAAAAATAATTCTTGAAAGTGATATTAAAAAACAGGTCTTAAGCTTTGATTTAAAAGTTGTTAAAATGGCATTAGATTTAATGTTATCAGGTAACTGATTCCAAAGCTCAGTGGTGGAGATGGCAAACGCCCTGCCACCACAGGTCCTCACTGTTATAATCAGTCCGGGCTAAAAGTGAGGAAGATGATGATCGAAGCATGTGTGCAGGACAATACAGAGTTAGAAGTTCTTTCATGTAGGAAGGGGATAGCTCATGGAGGCCTTTGAAGGTTGAAAAAAACAATTTTAAATTTAATGCACTCGGCAATGGGAATCCAATGCAGTTATATCAATAGAGGAGTTATGTAAATTGTACCTTTTACTGCCACAAATTACCTGACGATTATGTGCTGTAACGCTGCTGTCAGCTGTTCTCTCCTTAACATGTACATTCCTGATACAAACAAAATTGCCAGGGCAGATCTTTGTACCAATGCTTCTGACATGGTTGTCATAGAGAATTACATCAATGCAGCACTTAGATGCTTTATGCATGAGTTTATCAGACATGACTTGCCCCTGTTCACTGATTGGATCAACCAGTACTGATTGGCAGGCAGGAAGGGACCCATCCCACAATGTCAAGACTATGTCACCTTTTTCTGTCCACCTTATGGCTACCACTTGAGCTAGTAAGTTTATGAAATGGCGAGTGGTACTTAGTTCTTTCAGATTGGTGATTGAGAACCTTTTGTTGAGAGCCTCCTTGTGTGCACTCCATGCCTGTAGTTCTTCAAGGACACCTTTTTCATCATCGGTCAAATTGTATGACTTTGATGAGGATGCTCTCACTTGTGGAGTATCTGAGCTGTGTATGTCAAACACAACCCTGAAAAAACAATAATAAAAATTTCCTTGCTGCTGAGTGGCAAGTGCTTGAAATGGAGGAAGGGGCGGAGGGAGAACATGGAGGGGGGGCACAAGAACAAAAATATATCGGTGAAAAAGTGAGACAAGTAATCAGTTCTAGTCAATCAAGCTTTTTATCACCAAAGGAAAGTGTTTCCCACCTTCCTTTAATACTCCTGTGATCTCTATCCAATTTCCTATCCTCTTTCTTTTGATAAAAGATAAAAACATTTTTTCCCTTAAGTGAACATTTAAAGTAAATTCTGATAACGTTTCCTTTCATGATGTAGGGATATTGCTGGAAGAAAATTAAAAAAATATATCATTCCCGCTCATGGTCACTCTTAGCATTTAAAGGGTTGATCAGTGATTTTGTTACAAACAGTTATGGTGAGTCTTGGGACTCATCTAACTTGTGAAAAATCATGAGTCCCTGTCAATAACCAGTGAGTCCCACTCCAGTTAAAAAAAACAAACAAACAAGGAGTTCTAAATAGACCTTTTTACCGATACGGCAGCCATATTGAATTAATTCGATTTAAGGAGTATTATAGGATGCCCAGGGGGCATGAGCACATTTCGTTTGTATTTTCCAGCACTTTTCGGGACATTTTTTCTCAAAGTTTTCTTAGAATAAGATTGTAATGGGAAAAAAGACCCTTGTGCCGTGTTTTGATGTATATAATGATCGGCCTTCTCCTGAGAAATATACAGTGAAAGATCATATTTCTAATTCTATACTAGAAAAAGGCGATCATTATTACATCCAAACACGGCACAAGGATCTTTATTCCCAATACAATCTTATTCGAAGAAAACTTTAAGAAAAATTTCCTGAAAAGCGCTCGAAAATAAAAACGAAATGTGCTCATGCCCCCTGGGCATCCTATAATACTCCTTAAATCGAATCAATTCAATATGGCCGCCGTATCGGTAAAAAGGTCTATTGAAAATGCTTGTGCCTTTATGTAACCAGACAGTTAATCTGGAGACAGATGCCAAAACTCTTTATTACAGTTTTAAATTAGTAGTACAGTCCTTCTATATATTTAAAGCTAAAAAACTAAAGCAAATATGCATCTTTGAACAACAGCCACAGAAATCACATGAGCAGGATATTCTACCAAAAAATCTTCAAATCGATCAACTGTTCTTTGCATCCTGTGGGATGCATTTCATGAATTATTTTCGTCAGGGACGCAGGATGCAGAGATACAAAATCTGTGGTTAATTAAAACTTACCAAGAAGAATCTGCTGTGAATTTTCCCTGAAGCTCACCCTGATAATGACCAACTCCAAGATGCTGAAAATGAACTACATCTCCTACAGCCTTGACTGAAGGCAAGCCCTCCTTTGACTTGGAAAATAATACACATTTAAAAGAACTATCCAAAGAAGGCAGCGATGGATCCACTAAACTCAGGGTGCACACAAAATCAGAGCCTTTGGTCTTAAAAGGGCTCTTAAAAAATTTAACCACACCATACACATTGACGACAGTGTTTACTTTTAATTCTGCAAGCTTTGTGTAGATGTATTTTTCATGTCCAAGTCTCTCTGCCTGTGCCCCTGAAATGAATAACAAATTATTTTCCTCCAATTATCTGGTGCACTGCTGTAAAAACTGTCCCTTTAAAAACAAGACTGAAATGGTATCTGTTCATTATTTTCAAATTATTGGAAATCGGGTGAAGTAAAGAAAAAAACAAAGCAGGCAGTAATCAGCTAGTGGTGTGTGACCTCGTCTACTTTATAGTGAGAACTCAATCCTTCCAAAATTTCTCAAGAAAAGCAATCCTGAAGTTGCAAGGCCAGCTTTCCAAACATGACTGTAGCAAAATGCTCAACCAAAGGCTAACCTGAGATCAGGCCCAATTTTAGTGGATCTCATACATTCTCTCTAACGGCTACCGCTAAACTGATCTCAGGTTACCAAAGGCATTTGAGGTAAGTGCGTCAATCCAAATACAGCAACTGTTGTCAGGGCAAGATTGGGGTTTTGAACTGACAACAGTCGCAATGGGCTGATTGATGGATTTGGATTGACACGCTAACAGAGTGTGGTCTGCCTGTGCTACAAGTAGGTACCTGTGGCCAGTCTACTCTAGGGGAGGGGCCTGGGGGGCTTGAGCACCCCAACTTATTTTTTAAGCCAAATTGAGGCCCCCATGGTTCCATACTAGCAGAATTCTCTCATGGTAAGAGAAAATTGGGAGGAAGGAAAGAGAACTCTGCCAGCCTCTGATGCATTCTTCCATGTAGCTGCCAACCATATTTGAGGTCGAAACTGATTGGTTTTCAAACGAGTTTCGTTTAAGGTGTAATGCATATCCCAGGGGGATACTCTGGATTTCAAGTGATGGGGATGTTCAAACAGGGGCAAAAATCAAAACCCAAAAAATCCCTAGCGATTCCAACAAAACCTAAAAAAATCCCTGGACCAAATCTTACCCCCCCAAAAAAATCCCATGCCAAATTTCTGAGCCTTAAAATTTTTAAAAAGCATTAAATGACAACATGTACTTTCTTTGGTTGTACTTTATTCACAGAAATAAGCCGCCACGATATGTAAATACTTGCCAAATTTTCATATCCCCAAAAAACCTGGAAACGAAAATTCCAAACCCAAAAAATTCCTTTGATCATCCCTGTCACTTGAAATCTCGAGTACACACCCAGAAGATGCATATGCCATGTTGCGACTGTACACTGATTATTTCTGAGCCCACGGGTGTTATCACGCAAATCGGTTCTATAAGTTGTAACGCATGTGACTAAAACTTTACTAGTTGTTAAGGCAACACTAGTGCATGAGTGATAACAAAATCATCAGAGGCCAGCAGAAGTCTCTCCTTGAGCAACCCCTAGGGCTGATCAACAGAGATTCCAGGCAGAGATTCCAACCCTCTTAATTTGGCCGGAAACTTCCCGTTTTGGGTGAATATTTCTGGCCTCCCATTTTCGCTTAACAAACCTCTTAAGCACAATTCTTTGCCAGTTTTCTGTGGTTTCTCTGCCATTTTTACCCTTTTGACACGTGAGCATGAGTCTGGGATAATTTTGGGCACGGTATTTCAATTGACTGTGATCTCAAAAAGAGGATGCATGGAGGAGGGGGACCCCAGGTGGGTGAGGTAACTCATTTAGGTGGGGTAACCTGCCTTGTAATGTCTCATATGGTCACCCCACCTATCATGTAAACAGAAGAGATTGTACGGTTACCCCTCCTAAGCAGGTAACCGCCCCTAAAACCTCCCCTTTTTTCAGTTGACAGGGTTGGAATCTCTAGATCAAAATAATCGTCGAGGCCGGACCCACTGAAAAATCGAGTTCAGCAGATCGTCCCATTTAAATGATGGCGGGTAATGCAGTCATCTTTGACTGTATTCGAAATTCTACACCATTCTAATCAATAATTTTAGCGAAACTTAAACATACGTGTACCTTTCACATGGCATGCCGAAACATCAGTGTTCTGTTGGATATCTCTGACCCTGACGGGGCGATACCCGCTATCAGTGTCATTAAAGTGAGATGCATTTTCTAAAATGTGAACTATATCGTTTTGATTGTCAGCGATAACATTTGAAAACTCCGCCATTTCTCGCGCCATTTTTTTTCCAGAGAACGACTAACCAGGATTCCTTGCAGTATTGTTGAGCCTTAAGTAAATTGGTCAGCAAACATCCAATCTACTTTTCAAGATGGCAGACTTGATCAACTTTGTTTCTAAGAGAGAAATTGATGCTAAAAAAGAACAGAGACGAAAAGCAAGGGAAGACATCCTCAAAAAGGCAAGTCCTGATGAAATTTTATGATTCTTTTCAGATTTCAGGTAACCTAATCCATCTCATGCGGAATTTTGTCATGGTAAACTAAAGGTCGTTTTCACGTACAGTGGAACCGTCGAAAAATGGTCAAAACATGTAACTTTAAAATTTCGTTTACAGCTTGAAGGGAACTTCAACTGCTTAACTGAAAGTCTTAATTGAATATCCTTTACTTTGAAGGCCAAGGAGGATTATGAACGAGAGCAGAGAAAAAAGGAACGGCGGAAAGAAACTGGTGAAAGCTCGTGGATGCTTCCTTCTCTTAGTAAGAGACTAGCAGAAGTCGATGATAATGAAAAGGTATTAAGGGACTTATTCCCCATTTTCTCATAGTCCATTGCATCTTGTTTACCCCCCAAAATTTTGTATAACCATTGATTCCAATTTCTCCTGGGTATTACAGTCGTCCCAAGAGAAATAGATGACAATGGTTACAGAGATTCAAACCCTGTCAACTGAAAAAGGGAAGGTTTTAGGAGCGGCATAGCCACTCCCACAAGCGCCAAAGGCGCAAGCCTCTAATGGGGTCTGGGGGCATGCTCCTCTCTGAAAAATTTTAAGATATGTACCTCAAAGATGCCATTTTCTGCATGGTGAGATCCAAAATTGTTGCAGGTTCATGCTCGGATGCCAAAAGGTATAAAAATGGCTGAGAAACAACAGAAAATTGACAAAGAATCATGCTAAAAACACCTTTTGAACAAAGAAAACATTAATCCTTCTTTGGCTTGGAAAAGTTTCAAAACCTGGGACAATATTAATTAACCCTTTCACTACCAAAGCGGCCAAAAGCGGCCAGCCGGAAATGGCCAATTTTTTCCTAGAGCGGCCAAAAGCGGCCACGAGAAAAGGGTGCAAAAAATGCGCTGTATACCCTAGGTAAGGCAGTCATTGTCAATACTTAATGTTCCATTGTTATGGGCAGGCATAAACCAATCAAATCACAAGAAGTGCACATACAAAACTATAGCATGAGGCGAGTAGTGAAGCGCCGAAATTTGGCTTTGCTACAAAGATGTACGTGCGTAGGTTCACGCACGGGATTTGTATACTGGATTTCTCTTATGCCATAAAACACACCAAAAGCCAGATGGTTGAGCATTTCCTTCTTTTGTCTATTGCTTTTAAAAGAATTTAGTTCGCTTGTTGTAACATAATTATAGATATTCAGTAGATTTGAACGTGCTTTAGGCTTGTATTTTATCTTTGTTTATCAATATGGCTGCCGCCGAATCAACGCGATTTTTGGTTCTGACGATGATAGTAAGAATAATTCAAGTTTCAGTGATGTGAATGTTGATGCAGACTTATCTGACATCGAAGTGCAAGAATTTTCTAAGGAGGAAAGCGGCAAAAGTGAGCCTGAAGACAGTAAAAGCGCCAACAACTCAACCGCAAGTGATGAACCCGAGAGTTTCAATTTCGGATGTTTACACTTCTCGCATGGGCGGCGTGGATTGTGCTGATCAGCTTCGTTCTTTTTATTTGTTTAGGGCAGCAATGAAAAAAGTGGTATAGATACATATTTTGGTTTCTCTTTAATGTATTTGTTTGTAATGCTTTTGTTCTTGAATCAGAATGCGTTGAATCGAAGCGCAAAACACTTGATTTCAAACTTGACCTCGCACACCAACGATCGATGGTTTATTGCAATGAAAGCGAATGCATAGATGGAACAAGATTCCTTTACTGAACCATGCTGTACCCCCAAATCAATATGTTTCAGCTCATATGGAGGGCAGAAAAAGGAAATTTGTACAGTGCATAAACAGGGCGAAAAACACCCAAGGGCTACAAAGTGGAAACAAGATACGAATATAGCATTTTGCAACGTGGCACTATGACGAACAGGCTATGACAATGCCTTACACACACGGTCATAAAACTTTCACCTTTGTGAACACAAATCTGGCATATTTGTTATATTCTAACAATTTCCCTTGTTTTGCTGTAAAAATGTAAGCTACATTGTGATGGATTACAAATAAATTCTCATTCAAAGTTTGACAATAGGCACTGCAAATGGCGGCAAATTTGAATTTTTTCGTTACTTGCGATTTTATCTTAAATATCTCGTGAATGCAGGGATAGTTGTCTTTATTAATTGTTTAGACTTATAGAATGAATTCTTGGCTTCATGCCTGTGTAGTTGATTGTGTGAAACAAGGCTCTGAAATCTACTGAGCATACTTGTTTTGATTAAGTATCACAGCCATCTTAGATCCTTGATAATTGTTCAGGAAGATGGGGGGTTTGGGGCCATTAGCCTGTAGTAGTGAAAGGGTTAAGCAAAAGTGGGAGGCCAGAAATATTCGCCGAAAGTGGAAGGTTTTCCAGCCAGAACGGAAGGGTTGGAATCTCTGTGGTTATGCATAATTTTGGGGGGTAAACTAGGTGCATTATGGTCCATGTGAAAATTGTGAATACAAAACATGGTTCACCCCTGTGGGCCAACCCTAATTTTTGAACATGACTTTTAAACAGAGGTCTAAACAAATTTTAGAACTGTAGAGATAGTTTTACAACTCAATAATTATTGTAAAATGCAGTTAATGGAGTGTTATGCCCTCAATCACCAACAAGTAATGCAGTGTTATGCCAGCCCTTGTCACAACTGGTAGAATTTTACTCTTACTAGGTAAAAGTACAGTGTAGTACGTAAGTTCACGTTCTATTAAGTGGTACGTCCCTCGGATAGCAGTCTGACTATAAAAAGCCTAGTAAAAATCCTGTCTTATCCTGTATTGCTAAGTTGTAGTACTTCAACCGTCCTAAAGTTTTGTCATTCCCACCCTTTCCTCCCTTTGGACGTTTTGTTGTTGTTTTCAATAATCATGGGCTCACTGCTTTCTATCACCTTCAGTTTAAGTCTCACAGTCACTTCCCTATTGAAGCTTTGATTTTAATGCAAACCATTATATTTGATTGTATTCCAGCACATGCCGTCGAAGTCGGCTGGTAGTGCTGATAAGATAAAGTTCCTAGAACAGAATAATATTATTGTGTACACCGTTCCATTAAGTTTCACAATGCTGGCCAGAGGTTTCAGCTTGTAGTACTGTGGAGTGTTAAATCCTTTTTAACACCTGCGACATAGCAACATAAGATATAAGATGCTTACAGGTGTATGTCGCAAATGTGAACATCGACATAATGACATTACTGACTGTGAAGAAAACAAAATGGTGGAGGCACTACTCGTGGCATTTGCCATTGTGTTGTTTTTTTTCTAATAAAAGTCTCCAAAACAAGATAACTGTGTGTTTTATTCAAGCCACAGAGTGATACAGTACATAAATGTTTCATTTACATTAAGTGGAAAGTTTTATGTCATTTTGTCAGCAGTAAAGAACTCTTCAGGTTGATTATTTGAACTCGCTTCACTTTAATGAAACGTGTGGGTCAAGTTCTTATCACAGAACAGCAAAGGTTTCAAAATCTAGACCAAATATCTATTCTGTCTAGTATATAGGCAGGTCTACAATTTGTTTGTTTGTACCTTGTGTCTTTGTTTGACCTCATTTCCACAATGAAACTAAGACAAACCACAATGAAATTCCCATGCATTCAACATGTCACAAGTCACATGAAGGGGCAATTTTAAATCTGATTGCCTCACCCTTTATTGTTTTTAGTGTGTTATGTGAGACAAAAGCACGAGCTCATTAAAGTGTGCTGTAGCGTGCTTTGTAAGCATGTTAAAGTCAATTTCTTTTGTTTGTAAGTGGAAGCATGTTGTGAGCGTGTTATCACCTTTGTCCCTGAAATGATATGGAGGGTCACATATGTGACACACAGCGATTTAAAAAAAAAATTGAAAAAAATTCCATTGCTAACCTACGTGTTATAGAGAAGAGACTGGTGGTGCTAACAACTAATAAAGAGCATCAAGTCTTTGAAGTCACCATAGCCTGAACTAGTCAATCTTGTTTTCTCTATTAAATCAAACAGGTTTTTTCAGTGTGAGCCAATGCACCAAGCTCATGGCTATTACATAAAAGGCCTAGATTGGAAACTGTTTCCAAGCAAAATGTAGCACATGCTTGATTCATGCAGAGCCTTTCTATTATTGATCAAGTGGAGTTTTACGGACGCTTGTATGATGGGGTGGGGGGGGGGGCACAAACTTGACCCCAAACATCACTTTCAAACTTGGTGAGTTTACTAAGGAAGATTCTATTGAGAATCAACCTAGAATCAGCCTTTACCTGTAACATAATTATTCCTCAACTGCTTGGTTAGAAATAGAAAACTCAAGGTTAAGTTATTAAAATAGTAGCCTAATTGAACGTGCATACTGAGCATGTTTTTGTTTTTGTCTTCACAAGAACACGTCAAAGAAGAAAAAACACAGAAAAGACAAGAAGCAAAAAAAGTCCAAAAAAGAGAAAAAGGTGAGAGTTATTGTTTATATTGAATAATGTATATATATTAACATGCCTTTAATATGCCTCTTTATATGCTTTCAAAAAGAAAACTAAGAAAAGTACAGTAATTGTACATTGCTTGGGCTGTGTCTTGCATAAAGGTAAACAGTCCAACAATCTGACCTGTGCACTTTACTAAGTACCATGATCTATATAATTATTTGTCTATTGTGCAATTATTCTAATGCACATGTACATACACCGTACTACACTGCGTATATGAGTCATAAGTGTATACTTCTGTGTATCTTTGTCTTTAGCAGTTGTTGGGTTCAAAATCAATCTGCATAATTTTTCATGTCATACGAAAGCTGAATTCAATAATTGTGTTATTATTCATTCAAATATTTCCAACTTTTCCATGCTTGCAATGTATATGTACTTTGAGTTTATTGATGGATACATGTAGTTCCTGTCTTCATGACTCGGAAAATTCAGAATTTAAAGGGATGTTCTTCAAACATGGCAGCAGTCGTCATCTGCCGAGTAGTATTATTTTTTGCTGCTTTTGTTATAATTTCAGCTGGAACTAGCTAGTTTAGCTACTGTATTTCTGCTTTGCAAAATTATGTGAAATAAGCTCAGCTATATCACCTTCTGTCATCTCTTTTTCAGTCTAATTGACCGACAGTAAAAGTGACTTAATTTTTTATTGTACTGCCAAAGATGTTCCAAATTTGGTGAATGCTAGGTGTTTATGGTGAATTAGCTGTGGGTTAGAAATAGTTTGAATGAATAATATGGTACATTGTAATGTACTTTTTAGGGGGCAGTGTAAAAATATAGTGAGAGCATCAGACTTGCTCTGAATTCATGTCCCACCTTGAACACTGGCTGGAGTTGTTTGCAGGGTTCATACAGAGTCTTGAATTCTTAAAAAAGTCTTGAAATTAATTTTGCCCAGTAATTTTCCAAACCTGGAAAAGTCTGGAAAATAGAGATAAAGCCTTGAAAAATTGTAAAAAGTCTAAAGTTCTTTTTTTGAAAGCTGCAACAAGTACACTGCGTTCTAAGTGACTATTTTTTCCTTTTGGTCAAATCTTATTCACTTTTGCTCATACGTTTGTGTAAATCATGAAAAAAGCTTTGTTCTTGAATTTTTTAAGGTCTATATTCATTACCAATAGGCCTTATCACAGTTTTCGATGCCAACTTGAAGCGTAGGCAACAGTGTTTGCATGAGAATCTAGTGTCGAATAATATTTCTGTAAAACAGCTGAAAGAAATTGTAAACTAAAGCCTCACTCTTAACGATTCTACAGAAAAACATTTGAGGGCATTACATGCACCTACAAGTAAAACTTTCTATACATGTGTCTGTAAAAATTTCTCTTCCTGCCAACTAACATTTCCTGGGAAAAACTGCAGACATTTATGTATTTACATTTCGATATAATAATTATGGAAAATCTAAAGCAAGCATCTGGAGAAATTTGAGCCCAGGAATGGCCCCCAAAATTTGCTAGTAAGATCCTTTGCTGTGTAGCATTAGTTTACAATTCATATTTTTTCACAACGGCCGTTTTATGGAAATTATTCAACATTTAATTCTCGTTGTAATTTCTCACACGGTTGCCTACTTGTCAAGATGGCATCAAAAACAGTGTAAAGACCTACATGTATTTGATAACCTTGAATCTGGAAATTGTTTTAGAAAAGCCTGGAAAGAGTCTGGAATTTTGGGTCCAAGAGTCTGTACAAACCCTGTGTTCATAGTGGACTCCAGAGTTCAATTCATCATCATCATCATCATCATCATCATCATCACCATCATCATCATCATCATCATCATCATCACCATCACCATCATCATCATCATCATCATCATCATCATCATCACCATCATCATCATCATCATCATCACCATCACCACCACCACCATCATCATCATCATCATCATCATCATCATCATCATCATCATCATCACCATCACCATCACCATCACCATCACCATCATCATCATCATCATCATCATCATCACCACCACCACCACCACCACCACCATCATCATCATCATCATCATCATCATCATCATCATCATCATCACCACCACCACCACCACCATCATCATCATCATCATCATCATCATCATCATCATCATCACCACCACCACCACCACCACCACCATCATCATCATCATCATCATCATCATCATCATCATCATCATCCTTGTTTACTTATTTACTTTGGTTCATTTTTTATATAATATACCCACAAATAAATGCATGCATGTAAATTGGTCAAAAAAACCCTGCTTAACACATTTATAAAAATTTCTTATTCCAACCCAAAAATCCCCCACCTTTTTCAACTAACTTTAAAACTTGCCTTTTATTGTTCTGTTGTGATCTGAAAAATAATCTAGTTTAATAACAAAGTATTATCAGAAAGGAAAGACTGTCTCTTAAGAATTATACATACATGAAATTAAGCATTTGCACACATATTGATGTGAGTAATGAAAACGGAGGAGTGTTGATGTTTTGGTATCATCTCATGAACTTTTAGGATAGGAATTCTTAAATGTTTGACTATTTGTAGCACAAGAAGTCAAAGAAAGATACCGCAGAAGAACAAGGCTCATCAGAATCTGTAAGTGTCTTAAGAAAATGGTTTTAATAATGTTCTGTCACATACAACATGTATAAACTATTATTTTTTCTAAGTTAGTACATGGTTGCTGATGATCAGTAAGCTGGATATCACCTGTTTTATGTATAACTGTGAAAGGTTTGAACCCAGGAGTCATTTGATAAGTAGGTTGAGTATGATCATCCGGGTGATTGTAGTCCTGAATAGGACTGTAGTCTGTTGTTTTTGACAGTGACTGGCATTTTGACAACCTTTACGGTAGTTACCTTCAGAGTCAAAGTGAGTTGTATCTCGTCAGTTGATGGTATTAAACTCTGGTTATTGACCTGACTGGTCAATTAACTGACAGACGACCAATAACATCGCAACTTAGTCAACCAATCAGGTCAATAACCAGAGTTTAATACCATCACCTGACGTGATACAACTCACTTGACTCCGAAGATGACTACTGCACAGGTTGTTGAAACATTAGTGGCTGTGTTCACCCGTATGATCATACTCAACCTACTTATGTTTTTTGTATAGTTGGCAATGACGAGGGCCAGGGAATTAATCTGGTCCTAGCCGGATACAGATGTTCTCAAAGGCTTTTTCATGTATTCCCCCCAAAGCTCTAAGAATCTTCTGAGATGGTGTTTCTTTCACATTATGCTGGCAATTTTCTTTGTAAATATTAAAACAGCAATGTAAATTATTAAAATTTTAATTTTCTTTGTAAATGTAATCATAAAATTATTGTTATGGCTCTCCTTCAACGCCCCCGCCCCACCCTTCCCCCGCCAGCTACATTTTAGTGAGCCAAATGAAGCAAATCCCGTGCTCTGCTGATTGGTGGCTAGAATGGGTAATCCTGCTTTTGATTTTGCGCTTTCTTTCTGCAGGGAAAAAAAACTTATTTTGATCAATAATACACAAAGGTAACTCCCTTTTTAACCAATCTTGCTCAGACCGGATGGGCGGTTGGATAATGGCCTTGTTCTTATCGTGTTTGTTTGTTTGTTTGTTTGCTGCTGTGGAGCAAGGTGAAAAAACTTGGCCAACACATCCAGCCATCTCAGTTGACCTATCACTTAAGTCAGAAAAACGTCCTATTTGTTGTTGCTCGTTTTTTTGTTTGTTTGTTTGTTTTTTTTGGTTAAGATTATCATTGTCATCATTGCTGTAGGAATCGGAGGATGAGTGGGTGGAAAAAGGACAAGACCCAACAGCAGCCAACACAGAGAGCAAAGAGAGCTCTTCTTCAGGTCAACCTCAGGTATTAAGTCTATACTCTATATACATGTGGAGGGGGACATTAGGGGTACCCAATACCGTAATACCGTAAGAAAAATTGGTATTGGTAAATACTGAAATAGCGTGTCGGCAATGGACAAAATATCGATACTGCATTTATGATCGGTCACGCTTACTTAAAGTTGTATCCATCTTGCTTGTTTGTTTATCCTAAGCGTGTATGCGTCAGCAATTGAATAGTGCGAGAAAACGTGATAAGACCTCGAGTTGATCGGTACAACGATAAAAAACCTGGACATGGGATGCTCTACTAATTTCATCATAGATTAACTGTAGTGACAGGAGAGCGCAAATGAACCGTGCCGCAGTACCGTGAAGGATCTTCTTATACCGAATACCGTTAGCCGAAAGGATGAAAAACCGCACCCCACAGGGATCGGTGATACCGTAATAGCGCACATTAAAATTAAAATTACCGAAATAACGCTTGAAAAAAGCCCAATACCGCAATACCGTAAACCTCCTTGTCTCCCTCCATGTATTTCACCTTACGCTATCTTTAGTAACATACAGGGTGTAACATTATGGCAGGTTGCATCTCATTAAAGGCCAAAAGACATTTTTTTTCCTCCCATTTTTATGGGGAGTTTACCTCTTATCTTGGGGTAACCTTATTCTAATAGACCTTTTTACCGATACGGCGGCCATACTGAATTAATTCGATTTAAGGAGAATTATAGGATGCCCAGGCGGCATGAGCACATTTCGTTTGTATTTTCGAGCACCTTCTGGGACATTTTTCTTAAAGTTTTCTTAGAATAAGATTGTAATGGGAAAAGAGATCCTTGTGCCGTGTTTGGATGTAATAATGATCGCCATTTTCTAATTTAGTATTAGAAATAAGATCTTTCAGTGCATATTTCTCGGCAAAAAAGGCGACCATTATTACATCCAAACACGGCACAAGGATCGTGTTTCCCATCAAAATCTTATTCTAAGAAAACTTAAAGGAAAAATGTCCCGAAAAGCGCTGGAAAATACAAACGAAATGTGCTCATGCCCCCTGGGCATCCTATAATACTCCTTAAATCGAATTAATTCAATATGGCCGCCGTATCGGTAAAAAGGTCTATTGTCCACATGTAAAAACAACTACTGATTCAAGATCACTTTCAAAATTACCTTAGAGTGAATTGCTTTAGAATGAACATTGAAAATCTCTTGTTCTTGACAGCAGCGTGACAGTTGGATGCTGTTTCCTCCAATCATATCAAGCCCAGATCAAGCAATGGAAGTTGAGGACGAAGAACCAGAAAAAGAGGAGAGTCAAGAGGAGGACAGCAAGTTCAAAGCTCTCTCTTGCATAGATCAAGTGAGCAGTTTGGCTTAAGTGTTTCTCAGTGGGTTGAATTTTACATGCATTGTGTTTTTGCCAGTTCACTTGCTACACTGTGTATCTAATACCAACAATGAGTATCCCCGATAGGGTTCTTCAATTCTGTCTTCCCACTCAAAACATTTCTCGCAATCCCGTAACTTATCCCGATGGTTATTTTCTGTACTCCGTACCCCGTGTATACTTTCAGTTCCAAAAAAATTCTCGCAATCCCGTAACTTATCCCGATGGTTATTTTCCGTACTCCGTATCCCGTGTATACTTTCAATTCCAAATCTCCCCCTCATCTTGTTTTAAATTCCGAGTCCCAGCCTATAAATGAGGCAAATCCTGCATCCAGGGAAACCTGTTGGCGACCAACCATGACTGTTATTTCTGCACTTGCTTGTGTCTCATTTAGCAACCCTTTGCAATGAAAAAGGCAATCAGAATTTTTTTGTTGGTTTGTTTAATCATTCCTTCTGATTTTAGTAGAAATATTCTTCGTACGCATAACCACCCTATGCCTTGTTGTAACGTTTTTAACCCGTAAACTACACTGGGTACCAGAGGTTTTTTCTCGTGTTTGGTGATGGAGAGCGGCGGATGTGTCTTGACCGAAACCATAAACGGCGCATGAAAAGTGCCTGGCACCCAGGGTGCCCTTAAACACAAAAACGCACGAACTGTTTCTTAAACACGTGGCACCACTGACTGGTTTCTTTAGCTGAAGAGGGGTTGCTACAAGAGTCAGTAGGGATCTTAAGCGGCGGCCGTGAAGAGCGCGGTCGCGCCCGAGAGGGCATGGGTCGTGACCGCCTCCTTTGCGCGGGAAAAACAAACCATAAGATTTGGTTGGCCAAATTTACTTCCGGCTGCCGTTCTCCGAGGCCACGTCCAGGGTATCTTAAGGTCTCTATATGCCATGCATCGATCCAGAGCTTGAAAATTGTCCCGTCTGGTTGTCTGGGAAAAGGGAATATTTTCCTTCCAGGCAGGTAACTTAACACACTTGCTTGGAGGGACTGATAGACAAGGTTTCGGGCAAATTGTCTTCTCACTAAACAGTAAACTGAGGCAAGCACGTAACTGCACCCGGCATTAGCAAATTTTGAAAGCTACTTGCCTGAACTTCAAGCTGCAGTTCAAGATATTTTCTCAAGCGCTGTGTCCATTCAGGGTGCAAAGAAAGTCATTTTTTACAGCTTGCCATTCGGGCAAGTTGCGGCTAGCAGTTACTAGCCCAAAACTGATTTCAACTAGCCCCAAAAATTTTTTGATAAGCAGGATTGATTACATAGTTCTTCTGTAATTTGAATTCCTCAAAAAAACTTCACTTGCCCATCTGGCAAGTAAAGAAGAGAATTCACTAGCCCGATAGCAATGCCACTAGTCCCGGGCTATCGAATACTACTTTCTTTGCACGTTGCCATTGCACTCAGTATTGCACTCTAAATAATTGTGTTTCTCGATACAGTTTGCAGTAACTTCCGTTTCTTAACTTTGTATTTTCTTCCACAGCCAGGACAGCATCCAAAAGAGTTAAACCCATATTGGAAAGATGGAGGAACAGGCCTACCATCTGAGAGAGAGAATGCACAGGAAACCAGACAAGTACAAGGTAACTATACCAAAACCAACTTCGTTTTAATCAATAATTCCACAATTTCAAGTTTTTAAATTTCTTGGAGAAAACTCCTGATAAGCTAGGTAAAACGGACAACAAAAACATGCAACTTGTTTTGCAAAGTTGCTGCAAAACGATTTTAAAAGCAATGTTGCGATAGGTTGCAACAACCTAATTTATTGCAAGACAGGTTTGAATGTGGGTGGTAAAACACGCGACATCTCTTTTCTACTCCTTTTGCACCAATGTTGCAAAACACGTTTTACGTTTTTTGTTGCCGGTTTGACCGTACCTGCAA